TGCCACACGGTCAGCTAATTGTTTCCCCTGTGCCCCGCCCCACCAGACCGAGTTCTACACTCTGTTCAACGTGGCGGTGCCGGGGCTGCTGGGGGAGCCCGCCGCCTTCCGCCGCACCTACGAGAACCCCATCTTGCGGGGGCAGGACGCGGACGCAAGCGACGCAGAGGTAGGGGAGGCGCGCCTCTCTTTCCGCTTGCGCCTGCTGCTTGCTGTTTGCTGCTTAGGGGAGAACCCGGTGCAACCAAACTCTTCATCAGCCTGCCTGCATGCAACCGCTCCTACGTGCCGGTGATGTGGGTTGGGGCGTGTACCGTATGGTCAACATGCCCGCCATACGCTCATCCTGATGCGGTGGGGCGTAAGTAGCTTTGATCCACTGACTTAACTCTTGCCCATTACCCTCCCTCCTCTCCCTGCCTCCCCCCCTCTCCCCTCCGCCCAGGTTGCCCTGGGTGCGGAGCGCAGCGGGCAGCTGCTGGAGCTGTGCGGGCGCTTCATGCTGCGGCGCACCTGCGGACTCATGAAGCAGTACCTGCCGCCAAAGGTGGAGCAGGTGAGGTGGGGCCAGAGGGGAGCAGGGGGGGAAGGGAGGGAGGGGAGCGGGGAGGGAACGACCAAGACCAAGTAACAGTGAGGGAGGGAGGGGGGATCTCAGTAGCACAGCCTTTCTTGCCCATCCTGTCGCCCTGTCAGTGTGTGTAACGGTATACACAGTACAGTATGGTGGTTGAAGCATGCTGCCTCGCACCCCGCATCCCCCGCGGCCCCCCTCCGCCCCTCCGCAGGTTGTCTTCTGCCGCATGAGCGGCCTGCAGGCGCGACTGTACGACTTCTTCCTTGCCTCGCCGCCTGTCGTACGGGCGCTCCAGGGCCGGGCAGCCGCGCGGGATAAGGCCTCCGCAGCTGCGGCGCGCCGGGCGGGCAAGGGGGAGGGAGGCGGCAAGGGAGGCGGAGCGGGGAAGGGCGGTGAAGGGGGAGGGGAGGGCGAGGAGGGAGCAGCGGTACGAGGGGGCGGTGGAGGTGGAGGCGGGAAGGCAGCCGGGGCGGATCTGTCGGTGCTAGCGGCCATAACGACAGGTGCGGGCTGCTGGGGTCTAGGGAGGGGTCGGGGATGTTGGAGGAGAGTGAGATGACAGTGGTGGTGGTAACTGGTAAGGGCTGGGCATGACAACGTTATATAATCGCGCGGGGCATGAAACCTGGCAGCTTACGGTTGCTTTAATACGGGCGTTGCAGGGCATCTCAATTGTTCCTTTCATGCTTCGTGTTTATGACCCATGGGTCGTTAGTTGCTTGCCTTCACGCCTAATTGATCCCGTTTCCCTTTCACCCTCCGTCATGGGTCTTTGTACGACATCTTTGGCAACGGCTTCCGTGCGTCACCTCAGTCAAGAAGATGTGCTGTCATCCGGATCTGGTGGGTAATCTTGTATGGCATATGTGTGTATTAACTTGTGCGTATCTACTCTTGCTCCTCACGCCAAGTCCCGGTACCTTTATCGAGGCAGGGCGCTCTGCTCCTCTGCATACGTTATCGACACAATATCCGACTCCTTCGGGGGCCTCCTGCATTCCCTGTGGGCAGCTTCCTCCTAACCATGAAAGTTATGCCCTAATGCCGTACAGATCTACAGCATGTTTGGTCCCTCATCCGGACACGGTGCCGGCTCCGCGGCCGCTGCTGCTGCTGCCGCCGCCGCCGCAGCGGCGCAGCCTCGTGCCCCTAAGCGCGCCGCTGCCGCCGCCGCCAGCGCCCTCTTCCCCTCCGCCGCTGGCGGTGCTGGCGGCGGCGGCGGCGGCGGTGGCGGCGGTGGGTTCAAGGAGGGCGCGGACGGGCGTCCGGTGGTGACGGGCTTCGAGGGCTGCCTGCCGCTGTTCGCGGACGCGGGGGTGTCACCCGCCTACAAGCCCGGTTCCTGCCAGGCATACCACAGCGGCAAGGTGGGGGTGGGATGGGCGGAACGAAATGAAAAAGGAAAAGAAAAAAAGAAAAAGGATGCCCTTTGGGAGCATGGCGAAATGGAAGAGGTTGTGTCCTGCCGTACGCCACATCCTATGCATTTGCAAGCAGCTCCAACATCTTCTCGGCTTTGCCCTGCACAACTCCTCGCTACCCCTCCCCTACCACGCACCCCCCTCCCGCTGCCCTGTCGTACACTCCCCGCCGTACCCAGGTTGCCGTACTGGAGATGATGCTGAAGGCGGTTCGCGAGAGCGGCAGCGGTGACAAGGTGGTGCTGGTGTCCAACTACACGGAGGCGCTGGATGTGCTGGAGGTGGTGAGCAGCAGGGGGGCGGGGCATAGGGGGTGGGGGGGAGGGTGAAGAGGAGGAAACGGACTAACCGCACGACAGGGCTTCATCATGAGTTGCAACATGTGGGAGGGGTGGGGCAGATGCCATGCGAGCATGCGTGCTTGCAGGTTGCGGCCACGTCGTACGCATACACAAACCCCGGGCGGTACTCCGCAAGCCTTCTCCTGGATTGCGTTCTCCTCTTGCTCTCCCTCCCTGACCCTCATCCTCATCCCCCTCCTCACCTCCTCCTCCCCTCGTCAGTTTCCTCCTACTCCACCCCTCCCATCCCTTCGCTCCCGCTTCCCCCCTCGCAACAGATGTGTCGTACGCACGGGTGGGTGTCGCTGCGGCTGGACGGCAGCTGCTCCGTGAAGAGCCGGCAGCCTATCGTGGACACCTTTAACGACCCCGCGCACCCCTCCTTCGTGCTGCTGCTGTCCTCCAAGGCGGGCGGCGTGGGGCTCAACATCATCGGGGCCAATCGGCTGGTGCTGTTCGATCCGGGTGAGGAAGGGGAGGGGCGGGGAGAGGGGAAGAAGGGGGCAGTGCGGGGAGAGGCGGAGAAAGAAGAAGAGAGAAGTGCGTGGTCTGGGGGGGAGGAGGAGAACTATGTACCATGCTGTGAGCGGGGTGTGCGGAGAGGAGGAGCGGGCAGGTGAAGGATGGAGAGGGCAAGGGTGGGGCAGCGGAGGACTGCTGCTGTGGAATGCAATGACGCATGTGGACCAGGAGTCAGCTGCCATGCCACCAGCGTGTTACCCCTGACGTCCCGTTGCTGAATGCCACCACCTCATCACCCCCTTCCCTCTGTTGCCCATGCGCCCCCGCCCCCCGCCCCTCTGCACGCACGCATGCATATGCAGATTGGAACCCCGCCAACGACCTGCAGGCCATGGCTCGCGTGTGGCGGCAGGGGCAGAAGAAGCGCGTGTGGATCTACCGCCTGCTCACCACCGGCACCATCGAGGAGAAGGTGGGGGAGGGGGAAGTGAAGGGAAGGGAAAGTACAGGAGGCGTGTGCCCCAACCTGTGCCCTTACTGCCAACCCCCCAATGCCGTATAATTACCAGCATTACAACCTACAGTACCTTTACTACTACACTAGCAGCCACACAGTGCCAACATGTCCAATCGCTCACTCCTCACCCTTCCCTATGTCTCCTTCACGCCGCCCCCACCCGGTCCTCCCCTTTTGGCTTGCCCTCGCTCTTGGTTTGATAACTTCTGCTTGTGGTTTGCCCCCTGCCCCCTCCCCCCCTCGCCTCCAGGTGTACCAGCGGCAGCTAGCCAAGCAGGGCCTGAGTGCCGCCATCGTGGACGACACGGCGGCGCAGAGCCGCACCTTCAGCCAGGAGGAGCTCAGGGCGCTGTTCGAGGTGGGGTGGTGCGGGGGGGTGGGGAGGAGGAAGGAACTGAGCAGCCGTAGACGGGGGTGGGGGCAAAGGATGGCGGGTACGAGTAGATGGTGCTTAACTACTAGGGCTGGGATGGGAATCGGCGACTTGGGTTAGGGATCTGGGAGGGTATTGCGGAGGTACCGGTATAAAGGTTTGCCTTATAGAGGCAGGTCTTGACCTCCTTCAACCCTTCACTCTGGCCAGTCCCTTGACAGAGGCAAGAGTACGCGCCGCACCACTAGTTGCACTTACCACGGCCCCATGTAAGGATGTAACTGCTTCAATTCTTTCAAACTATGTAACCAAATTCAAACCCCCCCAGGTCAACACCACCACCATGTGCGACACCCACGGCGCCATCAAGTGCCGCTGCGACGGCTCCGCAGCAACCGCGAAGACCAAGCAGCAGCTAGCCAAGCAGGCGGCGGCCGCAGCGGCAGCGGCTGCAGCAGCTGCGGCAGCGGCAGCTGAGGAGGACGAGGGTGCCGATGACGGCGGCAGCGGAGGAGGAGCTCCCAAGAAGGGCGGTGATGGCGCGAAGGGTGGGGCCAAGGGCGGCAAGGAGGAGCACGAGGGCGGAGCCGTGGACGACGGGATTATGCAGTGGGCCCATCTGGCCAGCGTGGCGGATTCTGTGGATCCGATTTGGAGGCACGTGTCGTCCTGGCTGCGAGACAAGTTCACCACGTACCTATTCAGCGATCATATCATTAACGATGCGCCGCAACAAGTGCAGCCGGTGAACGAGGAGGAGGAGGAGGAGCAAGAAGCGGAGGAGGATGTGATGGCAGGTTGTGACGATGTCGACTATGGGGACTACGTCGGATAATGTGAAGGTGCTGATGTAGCGTGACCTGAAATGCTTAGTTCCAATAATTGGAGCGCATTGTGTGATTGCGCCATGATGCGCTGAGGGCGTAGAGATGTGGGCATGTCGCATGCTGAGCTTGACCCTTGTGGCATTGCGGGCTGAAGGCGCGCGGGTATGGTACAATGCGCAGATATATGTGTATATGCGATACTGCTCCAATAAGATGCACTTACGGGCTCCAAGCTTTCTCGGCAACATATGGCTTGTTGTTGCGTTACACCACTGTAACACCCCTCGGCGTTATTTGGCTTGACTTCTTCGACTCCGGTCCCTGGGTGTCAACCTGCTAATCATGTTAATACTTGCGGTGCTCACCATTGTAAACATCGTCCCGGCGTACTTGAAGTTTCTGGGTTTGGGGTAACGGTACGGCGTATGGGACTTAGACGATAGATTTCTTGTTGCCATACACTTCCCCAATCTTATTGCGTTCGTATTTAAAAACCTATATCACGCGAAGTTTTCGAGACTCAGATGCGCATTCTATAGTTCAGGCGATAGGGAAATGTCGCTCGGACCCTTTGTCTTGCCCTTTAGGGGGGAGCAATACAGGTGCTAGAAGTTTTGTTGCTGCGACACAAGACTGTGTTGTTACTTGATGACGCTGTAACTGAACGTTATTGTTGCGATTGTTACACCATGTGTCTGCAGTTTCGCTATCAACTTCAACTCCAAACCAGAGGAGAAAAGCAACTACGATTTAGCATGTATTGCTTTCGGTAAGAGCGTATCACGATGTGAAACCTTTTACGCATGCTGCGCTCTACCTCAGGGCCACACCACAGCAGCCCTATCAGTTACTGGTATTTGGAATTTCGTTTGATGTAATATTCCTTGCTGATTGCAGATGTGAAGGGCACTGTGCATGACACTTTGCACGCCCGCAAGCCCACGGCCCTCGATGGCGCCCTGGTTAAAGGCTTCGAGAAACAGGCCCTTCCGGAGGAGGCAGTGCCCGTGGAGGGCGATGATGTTATTTACATGTTTCCCAAAAAGTTTGAGCGTCAAGTAGAAGTGCTCATGTTCGTGGCCAGCGCGCCAACCATACCCGGAAAGAAACACGACCTCAGCAGCACCGGCAAGCTGGAGTTTGCGGTTTCGTATACAGGTAGTTGCACTGGGGGATCACACGGGTTTGGTTAGGAGGATGAGCTGTTTGCTTGGCTTAGTGGGGGGACTGTTGCGTCGGTTATTGGAATATTATGGTCCAAACGACGGTTTCCCAGCCCAAAACACCACATGCAGCTGGAGCAAGTAATTGGGTCGTAAGCAGCATACCCATGCACTCAGGTCAATGTGTAGATGCACCTCTGTAAACCCCTAGCCCAAATCCTGGTATCCCTTCTACCCAACATCTTGTCTTGGCGTCCCGACGCCTTCACCTCTGACCCACGCAGACACGAATGGTAAAACGTTCAACCAGACCTTCGACCTCAAGTCCCTCACGCAGCCGGCTGCCGGGACTGAGGGGCCGGTCTCCACCATCATCGTGGCCGTCATGTACCTGCAGGTGAGGTGTGGTGTACAACACGGGTTGGGGCAGCGCAGGGCGTTGGATACCGGTAGAAGGACGAAGCCCAAGGCAGGGGCGGGTACCGCAGTAGAGCTGGTGTCCGCAGCATCGCACACCATAGCACCTAGCGCCTGCTAGGATTTACGTGTGGAGTTAGGAAATGGCCTTCACATCGCAGCGCATGGTCTTGCAGGGACTGCTACATCCATCCTCCCACACCCTTGCACCTCTCACGGTCTCACCCAAACCTCGCCCCTCCTTCCCTCCCTCCCTCCCTCCAACCTCCTCTGCCCAGGCCGAGGGTGGCTGGACGCTGCGTGATGTGGGTAGCTGCCACCCGTACGACAGCCCGGGTCTCATCGTGCCCGAGATGAAGCGCGCCATTCTGGACCTGCGCGACAAGCACAAGGTGTCACTGGACGCGGCAGACAACCTGGTGTTGGATGAGGCGGAGAGGGTGAGGAGGGGCTGGGGCGGTGGTGAAGAGGGAAGGGGAGGGAACCGGCAGCATGGGATTAGGGCTGGGTCGGGCGGAGTGGCCTCACGCGGCCGACAAAGCAATGGCAACAACCTTCATCCCTCGCCCTCCTCTGGACAATCCTACTTCTAGGCATGTGTCGTACATATGTTACATAGCACCCGTTCCGGTCCTGCCCCATTTCCTCACACCCCTCGGCAGATCCCGGTAACGCGGCAGTGGCAGGACCAGTCCCTGAGCGACGCCGCCGCGGGGCGCGCCGCCGACCCCAGCGCGCCCACCCCCGTTAAGAAGCTGCGTCTGGACCTGAGCTGGACCTTCTGGCCGCCCCCGCCGCCCACCGAGGAGGGCGAGGAGCCGCAGGAGGAGCCGGCGATAGAGTTCAACCTCATCATGTACAACAAGGACGTGAGTGGGAGGAGGGGTTGCATGGGGGTTCGGCTTGGGGCGGGGTGTGGAGCGTGGCTGTATGCCGGCGAGAGGGAAGGGAGACGGATAACGGAGCGCCAAGCCGCGCCGCTGGGCATCCAAAACGCGCCCTCCGTACCACAAGTCTTGTTTGCCCTCCCCGCCTTCCCTCAGGGCGAGGAGGTCCAAAGCGTAAGCAGCGGCAACCGTGAGGCCACCGGCTCACATGCAGGGCGACCCGAGCCTGAGGAGGAGGAAGAGGAGGAGGAGAAGGAAGAGGAAAAGGAGGATGAGGTAAGAAGCTGGGGAACGTGGCGGAGGGTCCTTGGCGTGCGGCCAGAAGGGGTGCAGGATGGGACGGATGACTTGGTGTGGGGAAGGGGTGGGGGTGTGTGAGGCGGCGCTGCACAGGGTACTTGTCACTGTTGGCCAAAAATGCCTATCCCATGGACCCCCGCTCTCACCGTCGTCGCCTCCGCATGCTGCCGTCTCGGCTCCCTAACCCCACTCCCACACACTCCCTCTTCGTTGCACTCCACCCCTCACCCTCCGCCGCAGGACGAGGAGGGCGAGGAGGGTGAGGAGGGCGAGGAGGCTGTCGCCCCGCAGGAGCCGCCTTCGCCCCCTCCGCCGCCTAAGGTGGACCCCTACGAGTTCAAGGAGCGGGACGTGGTGTATCTGGAGCTGCCGGAGCTGCCAGCGGAGGTGGGGAGCGCTGGGGGCGCGGGTGGCGGAGGAAGCCTGGACCCCCTTGAGAGGGGTTTTCCCCTCGTCGTAATAAGTACATTTACCCATAACCTGTCGCATAACCCTCATACATTGACCCACACAACCCCCCTCCCCCCCCCACACACGCCCCCCAGGTCCGCTCCATGGTGCTGCTGGTCACCAACTACGACGAGGAGCAGGGCTTCACGCGGGTGCGCACCGTGCGCTGCCGCGTGGTGGACGTCAGCGCGGGGGAGGCGCCGCTGCCGGGGTCTAAGGCGGCTGTGGCTGCGGCGGCAGCGGTGGCGGCGGGCGAGGCGGCACCGCCCAACCCGGAGCGCATTCTGGCGGACTTTAGCGTGCTGTCCAAGTATGAGGCGGATAAGGCGGTGACGCAGGTAGGGGTGGTGGTTAGGGCCGGATTTTACCGGTACCGCGGATACGGTGGTGTGCACTGGGCCCATCGCTCGCTGCTCTGTGGATATGACTTGGATACCATTTGCCTTTCCCACCACTAGGGCCTCCTCCACTGCCCACCACGCCTGCTGCCTTTTTACACACCATGCGCACCCTCCTTACCTTCTCCTGTCTCCCCTCACCCTCCTCACCCTGCTCCTCCCCTCCTCCCCCCCACCAGGTGGCGCTGCTGAAGCTGTACAAGGAGTACTCCGACTCCGCCTACAACGTGTTCCGCGCGGCGGCGGTGGACGATGCGGCGGCCTTCGTGGCGCAGGAGCCCGAGACCGTGGTGAAGGCGCTCAAGGAGTACCTGGACACCAACAAGAAGGTGCGGGAGGACAGGGGGGCGGAAGGGAAGGGAGGATGGATGGATGGGTGGGTAGCTGAGAGACGCATGGAGTGGTAAAATGCCATGAAGAAAGAGGTTTCAGTAGCGCCGGGCGCGGGCGAGAGGGGCTGCACTTGACAGTGTCTTGTGCGCTTTCAGGAGCTTGCCAACATACGTGCGCCCACGCTTGTCCTTTGCGTGTCTTTTCCCTAGCTAGGCCGGGTACAGTCATCAGCAATGAGCTTTATGTCCTTATCGCATGTCCTACCCAACCCTATGTTCCTTGACGTTCCTCGCCCATGCCACCCGCACACGACCCCCGCAGCAAAAGGCCACGGAGGCTGCCGCGTTGGCCGCTGCCGAGGAGGCGGGCGAGGAGGTGACGACGGACCTGCGGCCGCACAGCTGGCGCTTCCGCACGCTGGGGCTCACCTTTGGCGGGGACAGCCTGGAGGCGGTGGAGCACGACATCAAGAACCTGGTCAGCTTCGATGGTGGGTCCCTTGGAGGGGCGGGTGGGTGGGTGGGTAGGTAAAGAGACAAGGCACGGTGGTTTGATGTATTAAATGCCATACACGGTGCTGCTATATACCAGGGCACTTCATATAAGATCAAGACAAGTGGATTGGAGTGCGTATCCTTCTTACTGTGCCAAAATCTTGCCCCTAGTTCACCCAACCAACGCCTTTCTCACATGCACCTCATCCCCCGATCAGGCGAGCTCGCCCCCGGCGCTGCCCGAGTATGCGCCACCAGCCGTGCCACCTTCCCCAACGGCGACACCTACTTTGGCTCCTACGCCAACGACGTCAAGCACGGTCCTGGCGTGTACGCCTTCGTCACCGGCGCAGCCTATGCGGGCGAGTACGCGGGCGGGAAGCGCCATGGCCGTGGCGTCATGGTCTTCCCAGACGGTGGCACCTACGTTGGCGAGTTCGCAGCCGACAAGTTTGAGGGGCAGGGCCAGTACCGCTACCCAGACGGCTCCGTCTACACTGGCGCTTGGTCCAATGGGCAGAAGCACGGGCGTGGCGTGTACTGGGACACGGCGCGCGGGTGCCTGCAGGGCGAGTGGCAGAAGGGGCTGCTGGTTGGGGAGGCCGTGTACGACCAGCCGGCGTTGAGGTTCCGCGGGGAGTTTGTGCGCGGGGTGCCCGCGGGGTCCGCGTCGTACACGCTGACGAGTCACCGCACGCTGGACATGCCGTGTTTTGCCGCCAAGGACATCCAGTCCATGCAGGGGCCCACGCTGTCGTTGCCATGCGCGTACGGCATTCCGCCCGGCAGCGGCGACGAGCCGCAGCTGGATGAGGATGGACAGCCCATTGAGGTGGGGCGGATGGATGGGATGAGGGGTAGAGGTGCGCGAAGGGTGCAAGGGTGACCCAGGTGGATACGGGTAGGTGAGGAAGGTCACGCCCCATGCCACGGCCGCATGCAATCCCAACTTCTATGGGCACCACAGCTTCGCGTGTCTGCATTTGCCGCGACCCTCCACAGGACCCCGACAAGCCGCCGCTGCCGACGTTCCCCAAGTACGAGGGTCTGACATACACCGCGGAGGAGCTGCCGCTGCAGGTGGAGGACACGGTGTTCCCGCCCGAGGAAGGCAAGCCGGTGCCCATTCCCTCGGTACCTGCCTTCTCCGTGGCCGCTGGGCTTGTGGCATGAGGAGGAAAACTGGGGCCGAGGGAAGTCAAGTGAGGGTATGGGCATTCGCATGATCACTAAGTGCGTAGTGCTTATGGTGGGTTTCATTGCAGGAAACTGCTGTATAGGCAGTGATGTGTGCAGTGGTGTCTGGCTGGCTGGCAGTAGTATTGGCTGGCAGGAAGCAGTGCGTCGCTCTTTGGTAGCGGCAGCCGCAAGGGCTGAAGGCCATCAGCAGGGCATGCCGCATGAAGTAATGTATTGGCAGTGTGATATGGCTGGCAGAGGCGGAGTTATGGTGCATGGAGTTACCGTCATTCGGGAATGGCATCAAAGGGTCGAAGCCGTGAAAGTAGGCATGGAAAAGGTGAAGGGACGCCGTGGCGGCTTTGTTGCCATGCCGTAATTTGCTGTGCAGCGAGGGCTTGTAAGGCGCTGGGGTAACTATGGTGCCATGTGTTATAACCAACATGTACATTTGACGAGTTTGGCAGGTCGGCACTGAGACCAGCAGCTGTAAGTATCCCGGCTTTGACCCGACACCCTTGCTTAAGCTTGGCAGTTCCGTACCTTGTAACTTATGGGATAGATGTATGGTATCTCTTGGTGAGCTTCGGATGACATACTCAAGCCAGGTAGGTTTACCCATCGTGGCGGGTATGCAGGAACCTGAAAGGCTAGTACCATGTACATGCAAGGTGAGCGTGTTCCTAAGGGGTTTCCAGTTCCTCGGCCATCGGGACAAGCCAAACCCTGCCCGACCCGTAAACATCAACCGGGATGAGGTGAGTCACGTACATGAGGCGGCCAGCAAGAAGTCAATTACCAATCTGCTGGCTGCAAGGCCCGAGGGACAGGTCACGTGGGACATCCAGTGGGCCCAACCGGGAATACTTTCTTTGGGCCCAACCGTGGCTACCTTGAAAAGCCCGATGTGCACTGTACACGCTATGGCAAAGGCCTAAAGGGAAGGAAGTGTTTCTGTCCAAGGCGATTTAAACTGGTACGGATCTAGGCATGCATTCTTGTAGGATGGGGCATCACTGTTCTATTGTTTAGAGTGGTAAAGCTGCACACACAAGCAGAAATATTTAAATATATATTAGAGGAACTTAGACAGAAACAAACGTATACGCGGTTTGCTCCAATTTGGACGCGAACAGACCCGAGCGAACGCAGTGCACAGTATTAGTTATGCCAACCATATATACAGTCTAGTCCACATCGTATGTAGTTATATGTAAAGTTAGCGGGCTGTCTGGCATGTGACCTGCAGCATCATGGCTGACTCTCCTCAACCGGCTGAGGAAAGCAATGTCTGTGTCGCTGTCAAGATCCGACCGCTTTCTCCTACGGAGTTGGACGACGGATGTCGCGAGAGTCTGTTCGTGACACCGGGGCTTCCTCAGGTAGTTGCTGGTAGTCCGCGTAAGAGGAGAATCCATCAAAAGCTTGAATACGCTAAACACATGTAACAGGTGTCAACAGGTCAGCATAATTTCACGTATGACTACGTCTTCGGCGAGGGCGGCACATTCCCAGACTCCCTCTACGTCAAATGCGTCGGGCCGCTTGTCGATGGACTTTTCAGAGGATACAATGCGACAGTATTTGCTTATGGGCAGACGGGGAGTGGGAAGACCTATACGATGGGTAGCGAGTACAAACCAGGTGGTAAATGCCGGGGCGTAATTCCGGACACCATCAACGACATCTTCACACGCGTCGAGGCAATCAAGGACCGCGCCGTCACCGTCCGGGTTTGCTTTGTAGAGATCCACAAGGTACTGTGCCTTGCAGCCCCTGTTCTCCTTGTTCTAGGGTAATTGCAGGTGCTGGTAGACGGGAGGAAAACCCAACTGGCACGGGGTATCGCTTCCCATATGCGACCTTTTCAGCACACGTATGCCTACTAGCCACGTCTTGCTCCAATCTTCTCATCATCAGGCGCTCTTGGGTGTCCTGCTTGTCCTGTAGGAGGAGGTGAAGGATTTGCTGCTGCCGTCCAGCAGCGGCCCGCGCCCTGCGGTGACCATTCGTGAGATGCAGAATGGCGGCGTCGCGCTGTATGGGGCTGTGGAGAAGGAGGTGCGCAGCCGCGAGGAGATGGCTGAGGTCCTTGAGATGGGCACGCTTTGCCGCTCCACGGGGTCCACAAACATGAACAACCGCAGCAGCCGCAGCCACGCCATCTTCAGCATCACCCTGGAGCAGCGGCGCCAGGTGCAGCTGCCCACCACGCCGACGCCCAACGCGGATGCCACAGGCACGCAAGGTGGGTTGTGTAAGTTGTGTAGTGGGGACGACGCATATTCGTCCCAATGCACATCCTCTTCTTGACATCATGGCATCTGGGTGGTCAATTGTTCGTCTGGGGTAGCTGAAGTTCCCGGTGGCCTCAATAGAAGCAATAGCTCCTCTGTATAAGCGCGCGGATCTGGGCAAACATCGACATGCGTCCATGCAGGCGGCGACGAGGACGGTGAGGAGGATGAGGAGGCCTCTGGAGAGGAGGGCGAGGCCCTGGAGGACTTTCTTGTGGCCAAGATGCACCTGGTGGACCTGGCAGGTAGCGAGCGCGCCAAGCGTACCAAGGCGGAAGGTGAGGGCCTGAAGTGGGGGGTGGGTATTGGGCGGTAACGCACGCACCGCTAAGCGGATTGGCAGCTCTTTCCGTCGTCCCTAAAGGCCATTTTTGAGGCGTTCAATTGGCGTGCGAACCCCCATGACCATGCTTACCGCTGCAGGTGCACGACTGCGGGAGGGCATCCATATCAACCGCGGACTGCTGGCGCTGGGCAATGTCATTAACGCCATCGTCGACAACCACAAGCACGTCCCGTACCGCGACTCCAAGCTGACGCGACTACTGCAGGTGCGGATCTCTGCTGGAGTCAGACTGCTTCTTACGTGCTAGAAAGCCGTGACCTGTCATGAGGGAGTTGTTCCATATAATAGCACTGACCACGCTGACCAGGGAGCCTGTCTGTGTTTGCATGTCCCTAACTCCTGCAGGACTCCCTGGGTGGCAACAGCCGGACAGTGATGATTGCTTGCGTCAGCCCTGCCGACAGCAACTTCGAGGAGACCCTCAACACGCTCAGGTAATCCTTATTAATGCCATGACGGTCTCACGTGCATCTATACAATGACGTCACCCACTTACCATTCTCATGGACCGCACAGGTACGCGGACCGCGCACGCCACATCCGCAACAAGCCCGTCGTCAACCGCGACCCCGTGGCAGCGCAGCTGGCGGTGCTGCGCAACACGATTGCGCAGCTGAAGTCAGAAAACATGTCGTTGAAGCGCGCTCTCACGGCGTCCGGCAACGAGGGCGCGGTCGCTGACGCCCTTGCGGGGCACAGCGGGGGAACCGGGCTCGGGACCAGTGCGCTGGAGAGCGTCATAGAACGGCTGACGCAGGAGGTCGATGCGCACGAAGCAGAGATCTTCCGGCTCAATGCCGACAAGGTAGGCTAGGTATACGGCAAGTCTGAGCCATCCGGCCTGGGCTCTTGAGGTTGAATCCGCATGGGTGCATGCATTCTTTAAAACCGTGCGCAATCAGTACTATAACTCTCTGGCCATCCTGAGCTTGCCGTCCACACCTGCCGTTACGCCTCTCCCGCCATCCCCCGGCCGTCGCACAGGAGGAGCTGCGCCGAGAACTGGCCGCCGTGACGGACAAGTGGCACACCGCTCAGGCGCAGTGCGATCTGCTCCAGATGAATCTGGCAGCCTGTTCGCGGCACGCGAGCCAAGGCGGCGTGGGTGGGTCGGAGGACACGCCCATGACGCCCGGAGGTGGCGCGGTGCCGTTGCCCAGCTTGGACATTGTGAAGGGCTACGTGGCGCGTATCTCGGAGCTTGAGACGGAGCTGAAGTCCATGAAGTCACTGGCCTCGCACTTGTCGTACACGTGAGTCTGGAGCTTAGAAGATTAGCCTACTAAGCCGGTTGCTGCATGGGTTAGCGGCCCTAGCATGCTGCAACCCCATCGCGTAGCCCCTTGCATGTAGCCCAGCAGCTTTTGCTGACCTCCTGCTGCAGGCGCCGGCGCGGCCACGCCTCCGAGCACCGGACGCCAGGTGGCATGAGCGACACCGAAGGTATGCACAACCGTCGCTCCAGGATTGTCCATCAATTTGCTCCTGGGCACTTGACTGCATATTGGCTGCGAAGGGGGACTAGTTCCGTATACTTATTTCGGTCCATGGGTTGCCTACCATGACAAACATAGGCTATGTTGCATAGCCGGAGCTTGATGGCTCTCCGTCGAGTCATCTTGGCCCACCTCTGCATTAGTTCCAAATGCAACTGAGACTCGGATCCTGACTAATCCTGCAGGGCATGGTACGTCGCCTCTGCGTAGCGAGTCCCACGTTGGTGGTGCCGACGGTGAGGCCGACGAGGACCCGGCGTCCGACCAGCACCCGGAGCTAGCGGCTGAGGAGGAGTACTTCATGGCTGAGCTGGCGGCGCACACGTAAGTTAACCACACAGCCCTGATTAAAGCAGTCCTTATGCACATGGATTGCGCTTTTTAGGCATCCCTAGATACCGGCACGGACAGACGGACTCCGGGACTGATGCCTGCCCTCGTGGCAAGTTTCTGACCTTGCGCACACCTGATCCGCAGTCTGAACCAGGAGAAGATGAAGAAGGAGGTGGCGCTGCTGCAGCGGCAGCTGGAGGCTAAGGAGCGCAAGATGGTCGAGCTCATGAAGAACACCGGCTCCATGCCAGCCCTGAAGCAGCACTACGACCGCGTGCTGGCGGAGCTGGAGTCGCAACGGGACACCCTGGTGGCGGAGCGCAAGGCCCTGATGGACGTAAGATGGGGTTGCTTGCTGACTCTTGAGCACTGCTGTGCTGACTCGTTTAACGCCTTCGAACTGCATCCCCGTAACCTAAACTCCTCCGCTGCCCTGGGTTGTAGAAACTTGCCGCCGCGTCTGCCGCCAGCGAGGAGGAGCGGAAGCGGCTAGAGGCCTCCTACCGCGAGCGCATCCAGCAGTACGACGAACGGCTCAAGGAGGTGCGATTCGCGTAGAATGGCAACCCTAGAGGCCGGCTACGGAGGGGACCAACGGCGCGTGAGACCGTCACTAGGGGACTAGGAAGGGATACAGTTGTCTGTTTTGTGACGCGACTTCTCCTGCCTCCCTTTCTTTGTCCCACAGGTCCGGAAGAAGGAGCGCGACTACATCGCCATGCAGAAGCTTAAGCAGCGCACCGAAGAGGCGCACCGCCGCCTTTCAGCTGACATTCAGCGTCTCAAGCAGCAGAAGGTCTCCATGCAGCGGCAGCTGGAGGCAAACGCTAAGAACTTCGCGGCATGGCGGCAGCAGCGCGAGAAGGAGCTAGCACAGCTGCGGAAGCAGAGCAGGAAGGACCGCGCAACCATTCAGCACCTGGAGGCGATGCAAGCCAAGCAGAACGCGGTCTTGCAACGCAAGATCTCGGATGCCAACGCGGCGCGCAAGCGCATCAAGGTGCGTGTGTATGTATTACTGTTGGAACGATGGCTGGAATTGGTTATGTTCTCGTGCTGCGGTCGGTGAGATGTCAACGCAAGTGACGGTTACACAACAGTGTACGTATTGCTCACATAAGGAAGTGGCTTCCCTTCTGTCTTGGTTAACTGCCGTGCAGGAGTTGCAAGAAGCAGTAAACCGCAGGACGGCGGCGGCCACGACGGCCGCTTCCCAACAGCAGGCAGCGGCCGCGGCTGCGCAGCAACAAGCGTTCGGTGGCAACGTGGAGATCCAGCCTAACGTGCAGGTATGGCAATCGTCCCACGGGTCATCCTTCTTCGTGCATGGGCCTCCATGCCCTTACTGCTCGACCCGGGTTGCGCATCTGCGATCCATGTATGTATCGTACGTTTCTAGTTGTAACCCTGTCGCGCGCTTTCGTAGGCGCCTGTACTACGGACGGACAAGGACCGCCGGGAGTGGCTCCTGAAGGAGCTTGAGCTCTGCAACATGTCTTGTGAGTTCCGCAAGGTCATCGAAGGCGAGCTTGCGCAACGCGCGGAGGCCAGCCGCAAGCTCAGGGTGAGACTCGCGTCTTGCAGCATGCTGCAGACACACCTCGAGAGGCCTAGATGCCACACTTGCGTTACCGAAACCATATGGGGTTGGTTCAAGCAACGTCCAAAGGTGACGTCCGTCACTAATTTAGCCAACTAAGAACGTTACGTCCTTTGCTTGTAGGACCTGGAGAAGCGGTTGACCCTATTGGATCAGCTGCAGCCTGCGAGCCCAGTCTTGATGGCGGGTGGTGCTTCCGCGGTTATGCCTGTCAGCCCGGGCCTTGCTGCCGCTGCGGGAGCGCTGGCGGCGGGCCCGGAGGCGCGGGAGAAGCTCATGGCCAAGAGGAAGGAGCTGGAGGACAAGGTCAGTACTCGGATGATGCTTAATGGGGCTGTCTTCAGCAGTTGCATGCATCCTTCTTTCCACGCTGAGGTCCATGTCTCCTTCGATGTATAACATGCTTTCATTCTACCCCTCCTATCCCGCCAGTTGGCATACCACAACGCGCAAATCAGCGATCTTCAGGCGCAATGGGAGAGGCAGAAGGCGGAGGAGGAGTCGCGAGGCGGCGGTGCCATGGACGTGCGGCGCTGGGCTGGGCTGCGCAACGTCGTGGAGTGCCGCGAGCTGCTGCGCACGCTGTTCAGGCTCAGCGTCGAGACAAAGTGAGCCTGCACCGTGCTCCCCGCCTGCAGCTTCGCCTTATAATCTTGATGTCATGCAAAGCATGAACGCTCCGTGGCTGGGCCACCCTGTGCTGCAAGCTTCGGTTCTGGGTCACCGACGCAAGGGTTGTGTCGTGAACTAACCCCTCGTGTTGTTTTACGCGCAGGAGCTTCTCTAATGACCTCACAGTCGACCTGTGTCGGTGCACGGAAGAGGCGGACGTGCTGCGGGTGCAGCTCGAGGGCGCACAAAAGAAGTGCGCGCAGTACCGCCGTGTGGCCGCGGCCATGCAAGCGGCTGCGGCTGGCGTCATGTCAGTGCCGCACCACAACGGTGTCTCCGCGCAGGACGAGACGGACAAGCAGGCGAGTTAACCTGAGGCCTACTCACCGGTTGCCGAATTCGTACTCGGCTTTACCTGGCTGTTCCGGAGTAACACGTGTTCATGTATCTTTCAATGTGGCCTGTGCGGTAACCCATCCAAACCTAGGTTGCATGTGGGCCCTGTTGCGAACGTGGCGGCTACTGCCAACTCGGCATGCTAACTTCCTTCTGACCACTTCAAACCCCTTCCTCTCAGGTGGACGCCGTCCTGGAGGAGCTGCATGTGGTGCGCATCAACACGCCGGCGGCGGCGAAGGCCGCCAACACCCGGGAGCCGGCAGCCGGTGAGGCTGCATCCGGTACTCCCGCGGGTGCTTCCACTGGAGCCGATGGAGGCGGGGACATGGACATTGAGATGGAGGATGTGGAGATGGATGATGTGCGCAGCCCGGACAGGCCCAACGACGCCGCCAGGGTACGCCATACGCTGTAATCTGACGTTTACTTACTTAGAGACGTTGCTTTAAGGGTTCCACGGATGGCCATCTTTTTCGGCCTTGGACCTCGTCTGGCTGTTGCCAGCTGCACCCATGCAATGGAGTCTGACCTGTGATCTCTGATAACCCATGGCCCCTTTAGGCCCTGAACTTCCTGAGCCCTGTCCCGCCAAACACTGGGCGGCGAGAGATGTCACGCCAAGAAGCCCCTGGAGCGGCGCCTCAGCGCTACTCGCCGGAAATCGTTGGAAATGAAAGCGAGGACGACGAGGAGGACAAGGTGGGAGCAGCTGTGTAGAAGTAACTTGGGATGAGGTCATGACTGGTCCAGTCCCAGCATGCGCCTGTAGTCATTGCTTAGTGCGGCGTGGTTCTTGTTCCCGGCGGTCCCATCAATGCAGGCTTGGCCAGAGGTACCAGAGACCAACGTTGCTGTTCGGAAGCGCCGTAGCGGCGCTGGCAGCGGCGGCGGCAACGGTGAGATCAGCGCCGGCGGTGCTAAGCCCATCAAGGTGGAGATGTCGGCCTCGGCACGTGCGGCTGCGGAAGAGGTACGTCCGTAGCCTTGCAACGCGTTGTCTTACCTTTGTGTACTTATGCCTTGACGAGCACCTTGCCCGCCTTCCAACCACAGGCTCACTTCTCTTCTCCAACGCTGCAGGGTTTCACATTCTCGCCGCACTTCCCGGCCTCTGGCAACGGTGGCCCAGCAGCGTCCACAAGCCCGCCGATCCGCACCCAAAGCCCCTCCCAGACGCCTTCCTTCCGCCGCTCCACCAGCAACAACAACATGGGCCCGTGGGCACGTTCCTCCTTGGTCCAGCCTACCTCGGCACGCCAGTACACGACGTGGGCTTCGTCCTTGCGGTCCTCCTGCACGCTGCCTGTGAGCAACGCCGGTGACATCGCGCCGGGCCCAGCTGGCTTGGCCCGCTCGGGTTCTAGCCTGGGCAGCATGCCGCGCGCTGCACATTTGGCTGTCGACTCTGGTGCGTCCAACAAGCGGCTGCAGGCGTGGATCTCGCCGGCCAACAACGGTCAAGGAGCCTCCCTCACCGCAGCGGCCCCGAGTGACAGCAAGGTTAGTGGCGCGCTTCGTGAATCTATGGACTACCGTGCTGCTATGATGTCAGGGCTCCAGCACAGTCAAAGCCCTTGCATTGTTCGTCAGCCGCAGCATGCACCCATCACCATGGTGAGCCCCCGCGCCAGCGCGGTGACTCCTCCACAGCAGCTCATGCGAAACAGCAGCAAGTCGACCGGAACTATCTGGTCGCCGCGGAGCTCTGCGCGAGCATCCCATGAGAACATGCAGCCGGGTTCAACCCCAGGCAGTGGAAACGCGATGAGCACTGCTGGCAGCGGCAAGGGCACGCCGCTCGCAAATCACTACAAGGAGAAGGCAGCGGCGGCACGGGAGCGCAACACCGTCCTGCGTGTCAGCATGCAGCGCAATTTGGAACACCTTGAGTCCCCCCAGCAGCCGCGCTTCGCCGGTGGCCTGGGGGATGCAACCGGCGGACGCCTCACGTTTGCGGGCGCGACGGGCGCCGTCGTGTCCAGCCTGGATTGTGAGCAATGTTGACCGACCGGGATAAACTACATGAGGCAATCTCGGCATGCAGTGGGGTCGTGCAACGGAATGCTCAGCGATCCTGGTATCCCTTCTTAGATGGTCCAGTCGTGACCTATTCTGTTATAGACGGCACTTACCATAGTGTTCCGCTGTGTTGCCCGCCCTCCCTCAGCTTCGCGAGCCGGTGGCGTCTTCCGGGATAGCGGGGCAGCGGCTGCCGGGCAGAAGCAGCAGAAGGCAATCTGGAGATGACAAATGAGCTGAGCGGTGGTAGCGGAGGTGGACCTACTCTGGGTTGGGGTTTGGACAAGTCGCCACAGGCGTTGATGCCATTACGGTTGACTCGAACGTAGCCCCGGACCTAATACCTTTGTTTGGAGATGGAACATATCATGGGGTCTTCGCTACGTGGACTAGGAAGCGGCTTTCGGGGCTCAAAACTGCTAATACTAGACCTCTTTTTCGTTATGTACGCAGCGCCGTAATCCAAGGCGGCTGCAGCTTCTTTTCATTGCGTCTTTCTGCGGGTATTGTATGGATGCATAGAGCATCACATCTTTCGCGGCAACCCCGGTTTTCGTTGAAGTATCTTGAGAAGGCTTTTACTGGGCCTTTTCGCGTACAGAGGATAACGCAAATGCCTCTGCCTAAATCGCATCGCCGTTTTTCGAGGGTTCCGTACCAACTCATAGCATCTTGACGGCAAGTGTAACATTTTCGAGTATTGCTTCATGAATGGCGCTTACAAGGGACGGTTTCCAAAAGTCATGGTGAGTATAGATTTTTCCTTTTTGAGACTAGTGCTCCAAAAGGCTGGTGCAAACGCCGGGCACCTGGTGCGTACGGACGAACCACGGCGAACTGCCCATTCGTGCAGGGTAGCGTGCTAGCGCTGCCAAGCAGCTTCTGATGTATATCACAATGTATTATTTAACATAAGCGGGTCTGTCGGGCATGACGGTTTACTGCAGAAGGCAAACAGGCGTTAGTAAACGACGGTTCGGGTTCCATATGACATGGGTGAACACTGGTAACCGCATCGCAACATAACCAATCATACTAGAACATGTATTTGGTTGCCTAAGGCGAGGTAAACGCTAGGAAGCTGGCTAGTGACATCCAGTGGTTTACAAACTTGCCAAAATTTTGGCAATGAACGGGCACGTTCGGGGCAAACCGCGATTACGCACTTTAAGACATAGCATGTTTGCACAACCCAAATTGTCAATACCACGGGCGTTGCTTCTAACGCTGGTCTTGGGAGTCCTTCTGCCTTCAGCACAAAGCCAGACAATCGACTACGTTGAAGGTTAGTGCCCCAGTGCTTGTGTAACGAGCCACGGATTACTCAAACGCTGCACAGGAGGCTACGGCAGGCCGGATACCTGGTTAGCTACTCCGCAAATTCCGAGTGTCCCTCTCGCATCATTCTCCACCAACCGCTTCCTTGCCCCTCAGGCGAACTCGACGTGCTCATACCTGAAACACATTCACTAGTGTATGTACTACGGTCTAAGGAGGGTGCCCCGGCCTCGTTAGTTGTCAACGATACGACGGCTGCTACGCTAACTCAATATGCGGGCTACAACCTTCGCGTCCGGAAGTCCAAGAACAGTACCGCCAGCCCCCCTGCCTCCCGGCGCCACCTCCGTAATTTGCTGTCGACAACTCTGCCTGATACGGAGCTTGTTAGCATTGATGGCTTTGAGGTTTTGGGCCGGGCTGATCCCAGTGCTGGCAAGGACGTTGTCACCGGCCCCACCAACATTGCGTCCGTGGTCTTCCTGTTCAGCTTCTACGGTGCCTGTAACTACAAGAGCCTTTGGAATGCCACCAGTTTCCGCGCTATGTGGACCAATGGGCCTGATACCCCAGCGAACGCCGTTACCATGCAGAACTATTGGAGCACCTGCTCTGGAGGTTTCGCAAAGATGACCGCTGCACAGCAGACAATTGTTGAGGTCCCGGTGAGCCAGCTGGGTGTTCAGGGGAATCTGGATAGCTTGTTTTGGGTAGAACGGGACCAAAAGGGAGCGGCATGGAGAGCTGTGCTGTTGCTGCTCATTGCTCGCTCACACGCTAAACCTTAGAACTAGCCAACCGTGTGGCCTGTTGCGTATACCATACCAGGCTTGTACCAGTGTATGTCTAACGAAGTAATAATTGTGGCGTGCTTCGAAGAGCCCCGTAACGTATCGTGACGGATTGTGACGTGAGCCCTGGTTCCGTGCACCCATTGTGCTGTCTGCAGATGCCTTGCGCGGGCACTACCGGCGCTGGGGCCTACAACTTCACAAATCGCTGTGGAGACCAGGTAGCTCAGGGGTTCGCTCTGCAGCCTGATGCTTAGCAACTGCCCAATTGTTGTCATGAGAATTCAGGATGCATACAGCTACTCATACCGTGCCGAACCCCCAAATCAAGACAAGCAACTTGCTACCGAAGCTCGGGTTGCCTTCGTACGAGAGGTGTTTTGCACTGCAACAGCCATTCCGCCTGTACTGAGCGCTGCTACCCGCTTCACGTTGTGACATCATGCTCGTGCCTCAGGAGCTGTACGGGTGGATGAACTACGGGGAGGACTACGCAACCAAGACACTCAAGCTCAACATCTCGTCGATCAAGCAGCGCATTGCCGTACTGCCCAATGAGATGAACGCCTACTGCCCTTGGGCGGGTGAGTGGGGCCTGGGCTGCAGGAGGGAACCAAAGAGATGTAAACTTCCCTGCATAGCAAAGAAGCAAAGGTGCACCGCACTGCAGCTTATACAACTCAAGCCCTTAATTGTACCCAAAGGGTAACGGCAACGGGGTTGTAGGGTGGCTTAGCCGATGACCTTGGAGTCCCCTAGCCCCTCTTCCGCAAGCACCCAACTATGATAGGTGCCACCTCCTCTCCTGTAATAACCTATAACCGTCCTGTGCCCCGCTTTTCTGTGCAGGCCTGGCGTCCGTAGGCTGCGGAGGGACGCGCTGCTTCGTGTGGGCGAACGGCGGCGCCTCGGGCGACCTGTCCTTGTACTTCCACGAGATGGGCCACAACCTGGGCCTTATGCACTCCAACCGCGTTGGCAGCGATGACGAGTACGGCGACTACACGTGTGCCATGGGCAGGTGGGAGGAGGAGGTGCAGCAGGGCGGCTTGGCGGCTGGGGTGGTGTACATGGGTTGTTGCGCCTTGGGAGTGTGCATGGTGGTCGTGTCGGGTAGGCAGCTACGAATGTAGCCCTGTGTGCACTGGGGCCTCATGGTGCCATTGGTTCCAACGGGTAAGTAACGGGAAGCAAATTAACAAAAACATAATGTGAGGGCACATAGCACTGCAGACACCTTCTGCATGCTTTCTGCAACTCGCCACCCAAAGCAACCTCCTGCCGGCCATGATGCCCGTTTGCTTCTTCTTTGGGGCACAGTTCGGACCCTAGTTCCCCCATCTAACCCCATCCTCCCCTGTTTCGTTGCTTCACAGTCTGTACGGCTGCTACAACGCACCTAACAATTGGCGCATGGGTTGGGGCTCGCCGATACCAGGAGGCCACTTCAACAATTCCAACATGCCGAAAGGCACGTGGATGCCGTACGTACTGCCCTTCCAAACCCGTGCCGTAAACTCCAGCATCCGCATTCTGCCCGACTGGGCTCCTTCCGCGTACGGCAAACCTACCACAAAGACAACCTTGTCTGTACCGGCTTTCTTCATTTCCCTGCGGGTACCGGTGGAGCCGTACGAGAAACTGGATCCAGCTCTTGTACGGTATCCCGGCCAAGTACTGGTACACAGCTTTAACGGCACGCAGGTGGGAACCATAAACGTTTGCCCTGTTTAGGTTACAAATGTTTAACGTATCCTCCAGACGCCCGGAACACATGCGGCACATCTCGTATCTCACATGCCATTAGTTGTCTCTTTGGGAATACTAACTGCTCTTCCCCTTCTCCGTATGCCCTACCATACCTACTGTCCATCTCTCGCTTTACCTGCCTCTCACGGTGTTCCTCTTCTCCTACCTGCAATCTGCACAACAGGATGTGAGCTCCTACGAACGGCCAACGCTGCAAGCCGTGCTAAGCCCAGGCGCCGCCTTCACCGCGCCCCTACCGTACGGCATCACAGTCAGGGTGCTCAACATCAGCAATGCGGCGGGGGCCAGCATCATGTTGTGCAGGGCCGCTGTGAGCTCGGAGAGCAAGGACGACGGCGGCTGCCAAGACGGGCTGGATAATGACTGTGATGGACTCGCGGTGAGTTGAGTTCCCGCACATCAGGACAACGATAACGACGACAAGCGCCTGGCATGCTAGTAGCCGTTTGGAATAGGGCTGCTCTCATGCGTAATGCGTAGTGCTTTACCTCCCGCGCTTGTTTCGTTCGTTTTTGTATGCGGCCTGAAACCGCCGATCTCCACCCCGTCGTTCCTTCCTTCCTCCCTCAGGACGATCAAGATCCGGATTGCGGCCTTGTCCCAAGTCCTCCACCGCCAAGCCCATCCCCACCCCGGCCACCTTCTCCGCCCCCGCCCAAGTCCCCGCCCCCACCCAAGTCCCCTAAGCCGCCCCCGCGACCCCCGCCCCCTCCAGTTCCCAGGCCGCCGCCTCCCCCAAAGCGCAAGTCTTCTCCTCCACCGCCGTTCAAGCCTCCTCCACCGCCGCCTCCGTCACCGAAAAACCCTCCTCCGCCGTCGCCGCCCCCACCGTCCCCTCCGCCGCCGCCACCACCGCCACCTCCGCCGTCGCCGCATCCGCCACCTCCGCCCTCGCCGCCTCCGCCACCTCCGCCCTCGCCGCCACCGCCTAAATCACCACCACCTGCCAGCGTTAAGCGCCCGCCTCCTCCCACCACCAATCGCTCACCCCCTCCGCCACCGCTAAAGTCCCCACCCCCACCTGGCACTCCGCTCTCACCCGAGATGCCTCCCAGCACCCCAACCAACCCGCCGCCACAGAAGAAGAAGAAGAAGCCCCCGCCGCCGACGGCTTCCTCGAAGCAATCCCCGCCGCCCCCTGGGGCGCCTCCCACGACCCCTCAGCCTCCCTCAATGCCACCGTCAATGCCTCCGTCAACACCGACAACACCCCCACCGCCACACCCACGATCTCCCAAACGAAAGTTCCAACCGCGCCCGCCACCAAAAGCCGCATAATTTGCGCCTAAGCCGCCGCCTAAGACAATGTAGACGGCGGCCACCGCCTAAGGCTCCGCGCATCACAGCATACAGGCTCCCGATGGAGCAATCTGCTATCTGGCTCATGAGTCGACTGCGGTTTTCCGGCATGGATAGCCGAAAAAGCCGCCTTACCTAAGTGGTTGGTGCTGGTGTTGGAAAGGAGCACGTCTGCCGGACATGGGGTTTACAGGAATTTATTGAGACCGGTGAAATATGCTTATGCGACAGTCGTGATGAAAGCATACCGGATGATGCGTGCTGTGACCTGTGCCGCTTGTACGGGTTAAGTCATCATTAGCCCTGCAAAAGGGCTGTTGTACATACTGCGCCTGTGTTTGGAGATATGCATGTAGGCGTGGCGTCATTCCTTGCATAGTGTGGATATTGTATGTATGCTTCTGTTCTTGCATGCGGGCGTATGTAGGGACATTCGGGTCCAATAGGCTTAAACATAGCCTTGACACCAGTGTGCACGTGGCACTGTTGCCTACATGGTAATATGGAGCTTGAGGCCAAATCGCCGTTCTCCGGGTTGTGTTTATAGACCGAACTCTTTGACTGGAGACATTCCTTGCTTACGTATATGTGCCGTCTCGTGGGTTTTATTTGCTCCGCCAGTTTAAAACTACTCATTACCCATTAGGCAAGCAGGGGTTCTGCTCGCGGGAATCAATTCATTTCGGGCCATTCTGAGCGCTGCTGCTGTTCGTACAGTAGCTCCTTAGGACAAATCCTGGGCCGATATGGATTTTGTACAGTCAATCGCAGTAGGCGAGGGTTCCGTCTAAGTTTCCGGGCTTTATTAGGACTAACATGCTTATGGCGATTGTCGCTTTCCCGCCCTTGAGGACTTTACAGGGTACATTAACTGTCAGGTTTTCGCTAGCTGTCAGGGTTGCCAGCTGCCAGATTGAAGTTACGCTGTACCAATATATAAAGCGGGGCAGCACATTTTGTATGATATAGAGACTCTTTGCAATAACTCCAATTATCCATGACCACAGGCAAAACATTTGAAATGGTAACGAAGATCCAAATTTTCTCGTCGCACGCAGAACTTGCATTATGGTTTAGTTATGAAAGTCTCTAATGCGCCTATATTTCCTGGACCTAGCATTCAGGAACCGGCTATTTTCCCGTACAAAGTTACGAAATCCACTTCACGAGCGTAGCACACGCAGCTTGGGCATTAACTAGGTTGCGAATACTGGAACGTGACATACAGAAAGTCCCCAGGGCTGCAAGCCATCAGCCTAGCTGTCAGCGTTGCAATGTCTGTTAGGCAAAACACCGACGACCTGATTGTAGCCCTCCAGAAGGGCGAGGCAGCTCTTGAACAGATTGCACATAAGCTGGAAGAAGAGGCAGAGCGGCGCTTCTGTAAGGGCGGCGAGGTAGGACTCAAAGCCACATGGCTAGGACATCGGTAGTTCGCTTGCTGACGTAACATTGTGCATGCATAGGTAAACCCATTGCAGCTTGCAAAACGCGTAAGGAAGTTAGCCAGGTAAGAATGTGTCTACCTTTTACGCTTGTCCTCTTTGCTCATCTACACCGCGCCCATTGCCTCACAGCGAGCTCCCCGAGCTCCAAAACTCCTGCCGGGATTTGCTTAGCTCGAAGCAGGTATGCGCGTGGCTTGGGAATACTTTCTGCCAGTATGCCGTGTGGATTAACACAGCATGTTGCTGGGAGTGCAGGGCCTCGTGGATGCCGCTCAACGGCAGCTGGCGGCCAACCACGCCCGGCTAAAGAAGCTTTGCGAGGCAGCCGGGATGCAGCCCGGGGACGAGGACGCTTTCCAGTCCTTCCAGGCGAGCATGAGCGAGTGGAACAGCAAGCTACACCACCATAGCGCAGCTGCTGGTAAGTGTTTTTGTCTTATGCTGCCGTGTTTTCAGCGCCTGCCACCAGCCCTTCCGCTGTCTTCATCGTAACGTTGGCCAACAGGCCAGCAGTTTTCGCGGAAAGACCTCAACAACGCGTTGGCGCACGTCGCCATGACGTCCAACGTCTGAGCACAGCATCGGCACAGCGCTAGGGGCAATAGAGGATCGAGGCCACTACGGACGAGCTTGGTACTTCGTCACAGGTCTTCAGCGCCATACGGACGTGGGTGGAGCTTAGTTCGGCACACCCTGTACATATACTCTGCTTTGCAAGGATGCTGCAAGATGGTCATGTTGCTAAGCCAGTGTGAGCCAGCAATGCGGGCAACATTGATGGGGACGGGATCGTCTTGTATAGGTATGCAGGACCGTAGTCTTTAAATAAGTGGGAGGGAATCCTATTCCTCTTGTAGTATTGAGAGACACACATGCATGACATAGTATTATGACTTTGTGAGTAGGGGTAAAGAGGAAACAACTAACCGACCAGTGGGGTGGCGGGCGGGATTACTATGCGGCAGTAGCTAGACGCATCTTGCCGGACGTCTGTGCCAAGTAGGGTGAGGCAGTTGTCAGAGGTAGAAGCCCAGACCGCCATTTGGAGCGGCCATAGGCGATGTGAACTTAACCGACAACTCGGACGCGCGTTTAGCACTCCGCAAAGTAGCTTGGTAGATCGCAGTCGAATGCTATGTTAGATAAAGCTAGGTTACTGATTTGGCGCTTGGGACGGTGATTACTGAGCCATTGGTACGACGGCCTTCGCGGCATCGCTCGCGCGTATCCACATCGGTTGCGTATAGCTTCATACGAATGCAACAAGCAATCCATCTCCTTTCTATTTTAGACTACTGTCCAAAGATATCAGCCGGCAAAGTCGCAAGCATGTTACAACCCTTTGTAGCGGACATGATCATGACGAATTCATGGGCAAATAGAAGGGAATGAAGCGGGGCACTGCAAGTGATCCCATTCATAGGCCAGCACCTGTTGCGCGTTTGGTACGGAAGGCAGCAAGAGACGGTCCGCCACGCAAAGACTGCTTTAGAAGCAAACAGCACCAAATACCCTTACTCCTGCAATACCAATCGCGGCTGTTATGACCAAGACCAAGACTGATCCGTCGCAGTCCACTTCGGACGTGCCGGAGCTCCCAGCGGCCGCGCCGCTGGCCCCGGGTTACGTCACGCCTTGCCATCAGCCACCCAAACACGACCATCGCCCTTGTGGAACTCCGGCCACTGCATACGAGGCCCTCAAAGCATGCCAGCGCCGTAGCTGCGTAGCTGCTCTCACAGGCGTTCCTTGCCACCTCTTGGGTGCCAGGAGCAGGACTCAGTCAGAGCGGTTGACGCCGGCTGCCCTTCGAGACCGCCGCCAACCAAGAGTTTCCCGCAACGCCCTCCTAGCCACCGTGCCGCAGGGCACCCAACTGTGTCACGACGCACTGCCCGGTGCCACCGCCCCACATGCAGCCAACGGCAAGCCTCAGCAACAGCAACAGGACAGCCCGGGGCTCCAATCAGTCGCTCTCCAGCCCTCCCTGCCCACCATGCAGGCAGCGCACGCAGACACCGGCAGCCGCAGGGAGCTCGGCGTCTGTGCCGAGCAGGGGGTGAGGAAGCATTGGTGGGAGACGACCGCGCCCTTCTCGGCGGTTTCTGGTGACTGGAAGAAGCTGGAACTGTTAGCCAGGTTGCAGGTGATAGAGGCTGAGAAACAGGAGGCCCTTGATAAGGAAGATGCGGATACTCGCCTAGTGGAGATTGTAGCCGGCGGCTTGGAGGACAAGGCTCGGCGGCGGAAGCAGGGGAAAGACGCGCAGCGGCGGCAGCGATTCCAATCCAAAGGAGACGAGAAGGAGGCGACTAAGGATGATTTTAAAGAGGTGGTCGTAGAAGCTTTGCGGCGGCGGCGGCAGCAGCGGCAGCACGAGCAAGAGGCCACGCGGAAGGAACATGTTGATATCATGCTTAGTTATACGAAGCTCCTCGGTCCCATGAACGTGGCGGCTGAGCTGGTGGCGGCTGTTGCACGAGCAGGGCAGGCTGGCGGCGGCAGCAGCAGCGGCAGCGCCGCCGCCGTGAGGAGGCCCGACCAGAGCCTGTTTGCGCCTGTGCTGGTAAGCCGTTGACAGGCCAAGCCGTCTCCCGACCGGTATTTACAGCAAGTCTGCTGCTTAACACAATTGGCTAGTATCGCCGCCTTATCACCAATTCAAGCGCAACGCTTGTTTCCTTTGCAGGACCAAGGACCCGCGGGTCAGGCGTCTCGCGCCGTGCTCATGCTGCGCTGCCTAGCGACCGCCTGGGAATGCTTCTGCGGCAGCAGCAACGAGTGGGAGGAGCAGCTTGCGGAGACCTCCAAAGGCTGGGCCGTGTCGTTAGCGGGGATCCTGTTGTCGTACCACGGCTTGCCTCCCATGTCTTTCATGGAGCTCGCCATCCTGGTGGTGGTGTTGCGGGAGATGCAGGTGTGGGTGGACTGAGGGGGGCTTGCCCCGATTGGCCACGTGGCAAGAAATTGGGGAATTCCTACAGCCGCCTCCCAAGAGCTGTAGACGTCACCCGTTGTCAATGCGTTACGGCTGCGCCTTCAGCTGCACCAATACTCCAACCACCGCACCCTCCCTCCCCCTCTTTTGCCTCCCCGCCAACCCCCGCGCTGTGACCCCTCAGGACAACATACTCAGTACCACGACGTCCGGCCCCTTGCTAGACGTGTTCCCAGGCTCTTGCTTCAGCCTTGTTACCGCCTGCAACCTCGTCCGCTGCGCCCGAGAGATGTTGGGAGCAGCCGACCCGCCGGCTCTCCCATGCGGGTCGCATCACCTGGCGCAAGCGGCTAGGCCCGAGCAGGGCAAGGCAGGCCCGGAGGCGGGCTTGGAGCCGAACCCGGCACAGTCGCGGCGGCACGCAGCGGATGCGGCTTCGGCGGAATGCGGCTTGGGCGGCGCTGGCGAGGGCCGCGGTACCGGCGCCAGCAGTGGCAGAGGCGGCGGCTCAGGCGCGCCCGGCAATGATACTGAGGAGGAGCGGGAGGAAAAGGGGGGTGAGGAAAGCAGGCCGGCTGCGTGGGCAGCCCTGCAAGCCATCGATGAAAGGGCAGCCGACGCAGCCGCCCCGCCTGCAGCTGCAGGGGCTGCTGCCGCGGCTGGAGGCGACCTACCTGCCGCTGCCAACCCAGCGGCCGCGGCCACCGCTGCCGCGGCGTCTACAGCGCCGTTGGGCTGCGAGGCAGGGATGCGGCTTGCGCGACGGCTACCTCCCTACGGCTGCAGATACAGGGATTGGCTGTCCTTGGCAAGGCACGGCGCGTTGTGTCATGTAAAGATGGCGCTACGTGCAGCCAGCCTCGCTAGCCAGGAGGGTATCTCGTTCAGGCAGGCCTACCGTACAGCTGTTACCACGCACGCCGATATTGCGGAGCACGATGCTGCTGCGGGTGCAATGGAAAGGGAGCAGCAGCACCCACAGCAACAACAGGAGGATCAACAGCAGGCACGGAAGCAGCGGCACCGGCAGCAGTGCTCGGCATCGGGTACCAGTGCGGATGGAAGAGCTGTGACCGCAACTGCTCCGACGGCCTCGGCAGCGGCGAAGACTGACGACGTTCCTGCAGTCAACGCGGAAGGCAGCAGCGGCAATGATGCTGATGCAATTGGGGATGAGGCCATGGCAATGAGCATTGCGTTACTCAGGAGGCTCGGCAGCACGCCACCATGGGAGGCTACAAGGGCAGGAACGGGGACTGCGTCCAGCGTCAATGGGACGAGCGTGGCAGAGGTGCTGGTGCTGAGGCCCGAACGCAGCTGCGCGGCCGCACTTTTGGACCCAGCTGGAGGTGGCGGGATTGCGGCGAGCGACCCATGGGTCCAGCGAACGGAGCTGGTGCGGCTACTGCTGGCTGTGTGTCTTGATGGGGTAAGCACATGCTGAGGAGGCAGCAGGGCAACCAGTAAAGCATTAGGCAGTCACAGGGCTAGGCACGTATTAAGGTGCACCCATGGCACCTTGGGAAGCCCTCTTGGTTCGAGGTCTACATGTCGATTAGGTCGCCAAGCTCCCCTTCCGGTTCACCTCACCTGGTTCCCCAATCGTACTGTTTGTCACCAACGCCTGCCCCTTGCTCATCGTGCTACGCTGTCGCAGCAACGGGTGCGTTTCAAAGCTCTGGGTGACGCCGCCATACAACTGGCAGCGGGCGCCACAGCAGCCGCCAACACCCTCCTGCTCAGGGAACTCGTGGACAGACCCATGGGTCAGGATGTCAGCCAACAACAGCTGCGGTCTCGCATCGCCCAGTTGCCGCAGTTCGGGTCACAGTGGGTGGTGATGCAGCTGCTGCCAACTTCTGTCTCATCGCCTCACCAGGCGGCGTCGGCGGTGGTAGGCTCGCAGCAGCCCCCATGCAGCTGTCAGGAGGCGTTCTCCGTCTCGCTGCTTCCTGTGGACGACAGCCTGTCCCAGCGGGTCGTGGAGGCGGTAAACTCTAAGAAGTAAGTTTGAGCGGGTTAGGGTGACAGCTAGCCAGGATGCACGGGAGCGTCATCACTAGCAGCGGCTAGGGGTTTCTGTAGGAATCCCTGCCTGCTTCGTGCCTGCTGGACGCCGCCTGCCATGTAGGTTATAGCACCCGCTAAAGCGACTCGCTGAGCGCCCGCACTCGCGCCCCACACCCCTCCCCCTCCGGACCGTCTCCCGCCTCCATGTCATCCCTTCTTGAGCTTGTCAGCTACATGTACCACATGTACTACATGTATCACACCACACATTGGAATTTCTTCTTCCCCCTCGCCGCGCCCGCACATCCTTCGCAGTTGCGTCATGACAACAGAGCTGCATCCCCTGCCCTGCGACGCGCTCGTGGAACTTTTGGAGCTGCAGGGCTATGCTGCTGTGGAGTGCCTGGGTCGCGGCGCGCTGCAGTTCGCGGCACGGGCACTCGCGAAGGTAAGCGGCTGTTGTTGACGGGAACAGGACCATCGCCATGCAAGGCTATTTGTGTCAAAGCCGTACCATGTCCTTGCAGCCAAACTCCCATGTTGCCCCCCTGGTTTCGGCGGATGTCACTACCGGTGCCTCCGCCCTATTATCTCCCACACCATCATCCCACTTCCCACACCGCCACCATTGCATGTCCATGCCCCTCTCTCGCCCCGTTTCTGCCCCCGCTCGCCCCTCCCGGCCGCCACACCCCCAGTTGCACCTGCAGGCTCTCCGCCAGGGGGGGCAGCTGCTGGTGCTGCCGCTACTGCGGGACTCCTCGCAGCGCCAGATGGCCGCCCTGGGCGCGCTGAGGCTGGCGAAGGCGTACTCGACACGCCTGACAGCTGCCGGCCGGGGTGCGGATGTGTTGAGCGGTGGCGCCAGCGGGTTGGGCGGGTCTGAAGGTCCGGACTCGGAGGACGACGACGACGACGATGGTGGTGGTGGTGAGAGCAGCAGCAGCAGCAGCGACGAGGAAGGTGATGGCGGTAATGAGGAGAGCAGGGAGACAGCAGGAAGGGAATGTCGGCGAAAGGAGCGGCGGGAAGCCCGACTCAGGCGGCGACAGCAGCGGGACGTCGCTGTTGCTGCTGCCTTGTGGCACTTCTACTGGCGGCCGGGGTTTAACCTGGAGCTGTGCAGGCTGCTGGCGCTGTTCGAGAACCAAGAGGAGCTTCTGGTTAAGGGCTGGGCCCTGTTGGACGGCGGCAGAAGCAGCAGCAGTGGTGGGAGGCATGGTGAAGCCGAGATAGGGGCGGCGAAGATGGAGGAGGCACGGGCGCAGTGCGCGAGGCACGGTGCGCTATGCTTGGCGCCTGACACGTGGCTGACGCTGGTGGTGGTGAAGACGACGGGTCGGTGATAGCGTTTGGGCTGCAGTGCCGAAAGGCGCTTTGTTTGCGACGTGCTGTGCCGTATCGAGCTGTGGGCTTGGTAAGGGGATGGAGGGATGCAATGGGAGCTAAAGGGTTGCCGAATTGAAGTTGCCAAACTCTCGGTGGGCACGGGTTTGAGAAAACGGCTGAATGTATGAACGCGATTGTACTGAAAGGGACGAATCCTGTAGGCGGATGGGGTCATCCTGCTACAGTTGTTCTAGGCCGGCGAGACAATGTAGTTACCGTAGTCGAGGGCTCATTAGGAGCCATTACGAAGGTAAACAGGGAAGTGCCCCTGTCCATTCCAACGGGCTACATGCCAAAAGCTTTTTGGGCGGTTGGGGCAGACCGTTGCCTCAGAGGCCCCTTTGTAACCACTTACAACGGTCACCTTACAATAGTGAACCCTCATGCACGGCAGAAAACAGTAGCTATCCACTCCCTTCACCTCCAGTCATCCTTGCAAACGCAGGACAAGAGCTCATTCAGGACCTACCACCGCCCCCACCGCTCGTCAGTCGCCTCGCCAGTTTCCCTTCCCCATTTTTACCCTATATTCCGTACACCCCCACCATGCTCTCCACCTGCTGCCTGCACACGATGCACTCCAGGTCGGGTCCGCGGCTCCTCAGCAGCTCCGCACACTCCCCGCACACGCCCGTGTGCACCATGCCGCCGTGAAGGAAACCAAACTCACGAGCCGCATCCAGGCACACCAAGCAGCTGCGGTCGTCGGTATCACCGACCCGTGGCGAGGAGGAGAAGGAGGGAACGACAGCAGGGCTGGGCGCGGCGCCGCTTGAATTGCCTCCAGCGAAGGCAATGTTGCAAGTTGCCATTACGGCTTGCATTGCAGGGGGGCCGGTTGGACCGGGCAGTGGTGTTGGTAGCGTTGGCGATGCGCAACCAACGTTGTTAGGCAACCTCTGCTGGCTGCCGCCTCCATGCAGGTTAAAACCGCTCGCGGCAGCGGCGGTACCTGGACCAATGGCGGTAGCCGAGGTCGGTAGGGGAGGCGAGGTAGGTGTCCGTGCAGCATTAGCAGCAGCAGCAGCAGCGCCATTAGCTGTCGGGAGTCTTCCTGCTGGTGCTGGTGGTGACAAGGGTGTCGGTGATGCAGTTGCGTTGATTGCAATAGAACCTCTCTCCCCAGCTGCACGGGAAAGTGCAAGTCTGCGGCGCAGGGACGATGGCGCTGCTCCACCAACCGGGTGCGTGTCGGCATTGGAACAACCTGCTACCACGGCCGCTGCTGCTGCAGCAGTCGATACTGCCCCTGCTGATGCTGCTTCAGGGTTTGCATTCCCTGTTGGCCCACTTGCGCGCGAAGCAGCCCCCTTGGGAGCGCCCTTACTGCCCCTCTTGCTGTCTTTACCGCTGGTACGTGGAGTAGCTGAGCCACTGCCGCTGTTGTTTGTTGTCGTCGCACCTTTGCCTCCTTTTGCTGTGGGTTTGCTTCGTGACGATGGCCCAACACCTGCATGCTCACTCGAGCCCGCTGCTGCCGGCTCAGCCGGCAAGGCGGCACTGCACGTAGCAGTCCCTGAACCGCTGTCCTCTATAATACCAGCAGCAGCAGCAGTACCTTCCCCGGTAAGGAAGCCCCCAATGCGCGTCACGCCAGCAGACCCCGCACGGCAGCATGCGGCCAGCACCTCAGCAAAGAACAACACCGTGAAGGCGCACAGGTGGTACAAATACTCTCCAATACCGATACTGTCTTCCACCTGCTCCTCACTTTCTGTCCTTTCTTGATTCCTTTCATCCCTCGATTTCTCACTCTTGTTGCGTTTGTGCTGCCGACCTATCCGCTGCTGCTGCTGCTGCGGCGGCGGCTGCTCATTAGTATTGCCCTGCAAGTCAGGACGCAAAGAGCATCGGTTGGTGGCAACATAGCAGGATAGGATCTTGGCACCTTCCTCGCTCCGCCACCACCCCCTGCCCTGCCAACCGTAACCCGTGTTTTTCCCTCAACCCACCCACTGCAGCCTCCCCTCACCGGCATCGGTACGAGATAGGCCAAGGCCGCCGACAGGAGCCACTTCAGCACCAGCAGCGCGGGCCCCAGTGTCACGACCAGCAGCACTGCGACAATTGAACGCCTCCATGCAGCGCTGATTCGGTGTTGGGTCCGCATCTCCTGTGCCAGGTGCTTCCGTCGCTGCTCATCGCCGCCCGACCAAGGCACCAGTCTGCAGCCGTCCTCACTGCTGCTGCCGCCGCCACTGCCGGTATAACGGAGGGAACCGTCAGGCAGCGTTTTGAGGAGCTCAGACCAATCGGGCTCCCTTTGACACGTCTTGGGATTACCGGTAGCTGTCGGTTTGCTGACATCCTCCGACCCCGCGCCAGTCTCAATCAGCCTCGTCAGGTAGTCGCCAAAGCAGCTCTGCAGGTGGCCGCAGCTGTCGAAGTCACAGGTCCTGCCGCTACGGTTACCACTGCCGCTGCCACATGCGCCAAAGGGTCTTGGTGTTGGCACCACGCCACAGTGCCACATCATGGCCTGCAACGTCCGCCACAGGCGGCCCCCCACTCCGCTAGGTCGGGCAAGCAGCCGCAGGCGTGAAGGCCTTAGACCCAGGGGCAGGCCCTCCTCGGTGAGATTTATTCTTCGAAGGGCGTGAGCACGATCGCGGCACCCCTCAAAGTACGGCAACGCACGCTTGGCGCAGAACGCCCCCGGTTGCTGCGCGTCGTTCGTAAGGTGATCAAGTACATCCTGAAGCTGTGTGCATGAGGGGTGGGGATGAAGAGCAGAATGCGGGTTAGGTGAGACAACGGCAGGGCGTGGCGGAGGTCTGGCGGCGGAGGCCTGATTAGGACACACAGCTGACCGGATGTATAGCGAGCCCCAGGTCACGACACCAAAGGAGGCCCAAGCCCGCAACCTCTAGGCCCACAGCTCGCCGCAGGTGTGACACCACCTTAGATGACCTACCCATTGAATGGTCGTCTTCAATTTCATGTCTCTCCAGCACTCCATTCCGCTGGCAATCAGCACCAACGTCAGCAACTGCAGGCGGCACAGGACGTGCCGAACAGATGGGGTTGCATGGATCTTAGCGATGCAAGCGAAATGGAGCCCAGTGCCTTTCTGGCGTTCTCAGGAGAACAACCGAAAGTGTGCCTCTGCACCCCATCCGAGTACTCCAGTACTTCACCGTCCGTTCACCGCCCTACCGGCAGTGCTAACGACCCTGGACATGCCAAGCACCTCACCTCTGCAGGGTTCCGAGTCCTAAAGCGGCCACGCCAGGTGTAGTACGGCCGCAGCGGTCCCGGCTTTAACAGCAGTTCATCGCTGTCCTCCAGGTAGTGGTTCTCATACTCCGCCGCGTCACCATCACCTCCCTCACCGCCGTCCGGGGCCGGCAGGTACACTCCAGGCTGTATGGGCTCCTCCTCCTCCACATTGAAGTGCGGCCGACCCTCCAGCTGCCTGTCGCAGTCCCCGCACCACTGGTGCTGCACCTGCAGGCCCTCCAGCACGCGGTACAAGAGCAGCTGGGAGGACAGGGACCTGGGGAGGGGGCGAGGGTTAGTAGGTAATCGAAACGGGGTGTAAGCGGGCTGTGAACGGGCTGTACGGGAGAGGAAAGCGAGAAAGGACAAGGTAGGATGGTATCCGGCCTACATAGCCACAGGGCTCACAAGCCCTCATGTGCAACTGGTCAACTCGCGAAAAGCGGCACCCATGCGCATCGCTCCCACCTTCCAAGCTCTGCCTCCTCGTGTTTGCTGTCCGCATGCCAATGCGTCGTGACATTGTGGACGAATAGGAATGAAGTAAAGCTGTCAAGATTTAGCAGGCTTTCGCCGGTTAGCGCCGCGCTGAAGTCTTCATCGGTGTGAGGCCAGTGGCCCAGCACGTCCCTCCAGGTGAGTGCGACTTTGAAGTACGGCCTTGCCGCGGTAAACGAAAAGTGTAATCCTGCAGATCGGAACACATACGCACAGAGCATGCAGGCAGGGGCATACACGAGGAGCTTTCGTGCAAGGCTACATAACTTCGAAGAGCCCCTGTCACTTCGTCGTCGTGCAAAACGCCCATACGCACCCGACTGCTAATTTAGTGCCTCGCGTACTGGTCCGAGTTACGTCCAACACAGCAGCTTCCCCCCCCCCAACGACCAGGAGCCTCGTCATCCAGTTTGTCAGTGTTTCTTTATTTTTACCCCCCCAACGACCTCACCACGCATGAATGTGGAGTACGTGTTATCAACGTTGCTCAGAGCACGTCCGCCGTCCATGCCCGGCGTGAACGTCATGTCAGCGTACGCCGTTACCACGTCCTGCGGGTGCCAGTGATGCTCGGCCCTTTCCGCACGAACCACAAGGCACGCCACCGGCAGGGCCTCGGATACATCACCAAGCTTGTCACGCCCGGCGTATAGGGCCCTGCTTTCGGGCATAATCTTATCGAAACAGTCCATGTAGCCGAAGACATCATCTGGCTGCTCAAGAGTCAAGGACCTGCGCCGCGGGTAGGAAGACGGCGATGAGGGATGGCTAGGCGGGGAACGTACGGGTTACAGGGGAAGCCAGTGGCGGGCTATTGACAATAGGATCTACTGCAATCCCGTACTGTGGAAACTTGCCATAGCATGCCACCAGCCGGGAACGCCGCCGAGGTAGCAACTGCTTTTGTTCCTGCCTTTTCCTTCAACCTTCTCTCTTTCCACTGTGGGAGTATAAAGGTAGAAGAAAAGGGAGGGTATCTTGAGTAAATTTGCGGCCGGAAAGTGGGTTTTTGGTGCACCCAACACCCCATTTACTGGTTACTGATATAGCAACGTCTAGCGCTGTGGGTTGCCTGATGTGAGCAAAGTGGTACGCACTTGCAGCACGCCAACGTGCATTTGTCACACCTGGACTGCGGCCAAAAACTTTAAGAACAAAGTTTCCCGATCGCGCGCCTTAGCCGCCCTCCACAGATACGCAGGAAGTTTGGGCCATTGAGCACTGGTGAATGGAACGGCTTCGACTGGCTGTCTCGGCCCTTCAATACACGGAACAGGGCTCATACTCCAACTGCATAAGTTTTGCTCATTGACAGCAACCGTTTCGAGGAAATCCATGTTTTTGGGGCGGTCAGCTAACGCATTCAGAAGCATTTCGTTATCCGCCTCCAGCTGCGCTGCAGGAAAATAGTTGGAGCTTAGTTGCTCCAGCAGAAGATAACGGAAGACGGCTACGTAAGCCAGGATGCCTGCGCATCCTACGCACTTTAGAAGGGCCAGTCTGGTTAAGTAATCCATTTGGACAGAGGAGTTTGCAAACAGTGATAAATGTGTGCAAACAGTGATAAATTTGTGGACATGAAAAGGACTTTTTACCATGAACCGTTGTTAGCTCACCTAAAGGCCGCCTATGTCCAACCGGCATAGGGCCCTGGCTAAGCAACTTCGCTGCCGCCGATCCCGCCCAAGCCGGTTACAACCAGACACCTCATTCACATACCTGCGTACGTCCGTAGGTACCTTGCGTGCTGCCATTTTGCTAACGGTTTGGAGCTTGACACGGGTGCACACACAGTCGCCGCAAACATCTAGTGCCAAACTGGAAAGTAACGTTCGACTATGACAGGTTGTCAGCTGACCATGACGGCGGCCATAGCAGCGCGGCAGCTGACTGCCGCTTTACGCCCCACTGCCAAAGTAATTGCTTCAATTGCCCCAACCTCCTGGAGCCCGTCAAGCCTAACGGCGATCGCCATGCCTCTTGCCCTATCCGTACACCCCCACCATGCTCTCCACCTGCTGCCTGCACACGATGCACTCCAGGTCGGGTCCGCGGCTACGACATAAGCAGAGTAAAAAGTACGCGAAGCATGCAAGTGCCGTACCTAGCAAAGGAGCCCCTGGGCGAAATACAAGCGCACCTGCAAGCGCTCTTCCGACTGCCAATGTCGCCAAGCCGACCCAAAAGCAACAAGCCGACCTTGTTCAGCACGCTACGAAATCCAAGGCCCTTACCGCTGACAGCACTGACCGCCAATGCGCAGAGCCGCTACTAACTAAACCATGCTGCAAACCAAACCATTTACTTGTACGGCACGGACTTTACTGTTACACGGCAACAACGAACTGCCGGGTACGGCAACTATCTATCTAAATCCTTCCATGCCCTGACCTTGTCACTTACCTGCTGCACATTCCTGCGTATTATTACCGGCATATCCTACGGTCGCCATTCACCACTACGACTCCTTACTTAAGCGGCGCCTCCTCAACCTCCTCGGATTACGTAGCTGACGCTCGCTGCCGTACCACCACCAACGTCACCACAGCCTCCGTGCCGTACTCCTCATTACCGTACGGCCGCCACGACCGCTGCTTTCCGCTGTTGCCACTGCCACTGCTGCTGTCCACATCCCTGCCCTCCTCCTCCACCAGCCCCAGCAGCCGACACGACTCCCGGTTCAGCGCCAGGCGCCGCCATGCCTGCCATCCCTCTGACAGCGCCCATCTCGCACCGCCCTGCAGCTCCACTCCCTGCCCTGCTGCCTCTGGGGCGGTCGCGCCATAATCGCAGCAGCAGGCCCGCAGAATGCGGTCCCGTGCCTCTTGCAGCCTTACCTGGTAGGACGGCCTGCAGGACACGAAGGGAAGGACTTCTAGGCCGCCGGAGGAAGGGGAGGGGGACCCACCCGCTGAGGCGGCCTCGGCTGCGTCCGTGTTGCAGGGTTGCAGGGTGTCTAGGTGGGCCTGCGTGAAGCACAGGAGCGAGGGGAAAGGGGTCGCAAACACGGGAAAGTGGAAGGCGCGCTTGGTATCAGCATTCGAAAGCTCTTCTTCCATCCGAGCGTGTGCTCACGCCCGCTTCCACTCACAAGACGCCACGCCCATTTCTCTCGCCCCATCCTAACCTGTGCAATCAGCTGCACAGCCGCCCTGAGTGCCGCTCGGCCCCTGCACACCACCCGCGCGCAGCCAAAGGCGCTCAGGCAGCTGTGCAGCAGCGCTAGATGCTGCTGGAAAGCCTCCCGGCTGCTGCCGTCCTCCTCCTTCCCGCTCCTCCCACCGCCATCCTGGCCGTTATCACCCTGGCGCCCTGCGCCCCCATGCGCCTCACGGCCCGTACGCCCCAGGCCCCCCCGTGGCGGCTCAGCGCTGTTGCCTCCACTTCGATCGGCAATCGGCTGCCAGCAGCCCGAGATGGGGGCTTCAAACACGCAACTGCTGCGGAGAGAGAGAAAAGGATGCGAGGCAAGAAGGAAGCAGCGGGGGTTAAGAGTGTTTGGCCTGAGCGGCAGATGGGCCTTCGTCCAGGAAAGCCGACTCACTAGCTGCTAGCTACGCCAGTTACGTGCTCCACAGGATTACTTAACCTACACTCAGTGACGGCTATAGACAAACAGCGCGTGAGGTTTCACGGCTTGTCACGCTTAACCGCTGAAATTGCACCAACAGCGGAGGCAACAACAACACCTGCCCCCGTATTCCGATAGGTACCACCCACTACAGCAAGCCCAACCTCCAAGTTACCTCGGGCTGCTGCTCGCAGAGCGGTCTGCAGCCTCCACCACCCGCCGCCGCCGCCGCTGCCTGGTCTCCAGCGCGTACCGCCACAGCCCGCGAATGCGCTGCCCCGCTGCCACATCAGCCGGCACTAGCGTTACCTCCACCGCCGCCATACACTCCTCACCCGGGGCCCGCTGCGCCCCCGTGTCACCAGCGGTGCAGTGTCCTGACGACAGGGACATGCAGCAGCCGCTGCCTCTGGTGCTGCTGCTGCTAGGGTCGCCGCCGCTGCCATTGCTGCTGCTGCCTGCAGCACCGGAAGCATGAGCGGGGCCCGGGGGAACAGGCCGTGTCGTGGTGGCAGAAGGCTGCTGGGTTGAAAGGCTCAAAGGCAACGGCTCAAAGCGAAGGAGGATGGGTCCGTCGCCAAGTGTGGTTGCAACCGCAGCGGAGCCGCCTGCTGTCGTCGCTGCTGCAGAAGCAGCCGCAGCTGCAGCTGCTGCTGCTGTGTGTGGCTGGGCTGCTTGCCGCAGCCAACCCACGTTGGCTGCATGGGCCACCACCTGGTGCAGGCCGGCGTCTCCCAAGACGCTAAGCCGCGTCTGTACCTGCATGCCAAGCGGTGCCAGCGGTGTCACTGTTTGGAGTAGTGGCACATATATTGAGCAGCCTACATAACGGTACGCTGCGACACCCAACGTAGGCGCAAGAAGAGGGGCTGTGGAATTGGTGCTACTTGGCCTACACGTACCCGCACGGATCCCTCCCGTCCTTCCCGTGCTTCGGCTGTACCCTCCAAAGGAGATCAACATTAGGTAAGCCGTACAGCTTCCCCTTACAGTCAGCTCTCCACGACCCGCTTCTGTGCACGCGTCTTACCCCGTCCAGGGCTGCCTCGAGGACCGCACGAGCCACCCTTGCCACCTGAGCCGCCAATCCGCTGCCGCCTTCCCGCCCTGCAGTATCTCCAACGTCGCCATCGCCACTAGCATTGCCGGTACACCCCTGATCTTCGGAGCTACCGCCGCCGCCGCCACTGCCGCTGCGGCCGCCTTTGCAGCGCTTGGCATCGCCGGCGCTGCAATCACCCCCGCTGCTGCCCAGGCTACACAGGGCTCCGGCGGGGCTCCTGCTGTTACCGCCTGCGCTGCAAACAACCCAGCCGCTGGCTCGTGCAATACCCCACCCGACGACGAGGCTCTCGCCGCTCCCGCCTCCGCTGCACCCGCTGCGGCTGCTCGCAAGCTCCGCCTCCGCCTCCGCATCCCATGCCACCAGGTGCGGAAGGCACTTCAGGACGCCCAGTCCGAACCTGCTGAGCCGTTCGTACAGCTCCTGAGCCCCTTGAGCCAACTCCAGGGATACCCCACTGTCGCCGCCATCACGCCGCTGTGGTTGCGGCTGCGGCTGCTCCTCCTTCCCTGCGCGTGTTCCTTGCTGCTGCTGCTGCTGCTTGGCCGCAGCCTCTGTTGTCCGCAGAATGAACTCAAGGCCCTCCTTTTCCACTTGCGCCAGCTTCAGGTGCTCCTTGTACGCTGTACGGAAGCGCTGCGTCAGCTTCTTGGGAGCCCCCTCCTTGGCGCGCTTGGCGGCCTCTCGTACGGCAACCCCATGCCGGCTGATAACGGTAACCACCAGGTCTTCCAACTGCCAACTGTCCATGTGCGACAGCTGGATGAGCACCTCCGGTGGCGGTTGCGGGGCAGGCGTTCTGGGCCATTGGTGCGCCTGCTGCAGCAACCGCTGGTAGTCCTCCTGTGCTCGGAGCCACGACGCCACGACACGGTAGTTTTCCCTTGTCAACGTGTCAAGAGCTTCGGTAACCGCAGAGGAGCAGTGTCGTACAATCCGCACCAGGAGCTGCAGGCTGCCTACGCTCGCGGGCGCTCCGGCCGGCAGGCTGACCACTGAATCGGCATCCGAAGCCAGGAAGATCTGTAGGGATGTGGGCGGCAGCAGGCGAGGGTCAGTAAAGCTGTCGGAATTTGCATCTTTCCTGTGCAAGAAAACCGGGCACTAGATTCACGCCCGTCTACAAGACTGTGAAACTGACAAACGTGAGATGAGCGTACAAGAGCTAGAAGAGCTAGGTTTGCAACCACAGGGGCTCTACGCCCCAAGGCCAAAGCCCTATCAGCACGCATGCACGCATGGCGCGTCCGTGCGTATCCAACCCATCCCAGCGACGTCAGGGCTCACCCAGAGGTCGTATAGCGCGCGTGTCAGGACCGCCAGCTCCTGCAATGGCAAGGCCGGCAGTCCGCAGTGCACCAGCAGGGAGTCCGCGAGCAACAGGGCGCACTCGGAGTGGTGGTGAAGCGCTCCCCCGCCGGTCTGATGATCTACAACAGGCGTCGGGGGGGCCTTGTGGGGCGGTAAAGCCGCCCCACCCGCCCCAGCTGCGCATGACAGGAGGAAGTGTGCAGAGAGCAGAGCCACGGCCCTGCTGGTCCATGTCGCGTCATGAGCACCCTGGTGTGGAAGGAGGGCAAAAGATGTGATGATAAGGGAGGTAAGGGCCTTGGTTAAGGCGCTACAGTGATGCCGGTGTGGTCGAAAGGGCATATTCCGTTCCAGAGTCCTGGTTGTGCTGGGCGTTGGTTGGGTTGAGTTGGTTGTGGTGGGGCGGGCAATGTGCGCTACATGTTTGGACGCCAGTGCGGTAGGGCGCACATTGTAGTAACAAGCATGGGACAGTGCATTCTAGCTAGTCGCATGTAAGGTGCAAATGAGCACTTGTTATGCGAGTACTGGCCGCGAGTTATTGCTAACCATGTATCGACGCAAATGCAGTGAGCCAAACGCAACCAGGGCAGCTGCAACTTAGTGCCACGCACCTGCTGTACTCCCACACCCTTCCTGGGCAGCAGGCTAAACTCCTCCCGCTCAACAACAGTAGCAGCAGCAGCAGCGCCTGCAACCCTTACGCCAGCGGCAGCCCCAGCGGCTCCTCCCCGCTTCAGCGCTCGATGTGGCCTCCCGGTTTCCAAAAGCCGCAGCACGAGCCTCTGCACCGGCAGCATCCCCACAAGCGAGGCCAGCTCCCCCAGCGCCACGTTCGTCCGTACCGACAGCTCCACAGCCTTCTTGCTCAGCAGTTTGCCCTTCAGGTTGCCTGCATGCGCGTCTGCTGCGGCATGCTGGTGCAGGTCCGCAGTAGCCCTGCACGCTGCATTGCAGGCCCTGGTGCCCGCCGCCAAGCGATGCCATGCGTCGTCGTCCTGGGTGAGGTCGCGAGCGGCTCTGGCAGGCGCCGCAGCGGCGCTGTCAGATGACGAGGGGTGAGGCCCCGACCCAGGCTGCCGCTGTGAGCAGGAAGCTGAAGAAGGAATGCTGCCGGTCGGTACGTCTGTTGTCATTGCTGCTTGCTCGGGAGTCTTTGGTTCGGGCACGCCAGATGCAGCAGGCGGGACCGGCTGGGCTGCAAGAGGAGGTGGATGAGGCTGTGGTTGTGATGTGGCTGCTGTGCCTGGTATGGGCTGGTCGTGTAGCGCTGTGTTCCCTTTCGCTGCCTCCTTCAAGCCCGCCCCTGGCAACCCTCCATTGCTGCCACTTGCGTGCGCTGGTTTCGCGGTGTGGTCTGCAGTTTGTAGACGTGATGCAGCATATCGCTGGCTGGGCACCTCGGCTGCCTGCGGATTTGCTGTGGGCGGAGTGGCCAGCAATTCCTCCGAGGTTCTGGAATCGGGACCGTGACCTGTAGGTGCGGAAGGCGCCGATCCCCCCGGTGGCATGCTTGAACCATTATGCCCCGCGACGCATGTGTTGCTGCCAAACATTGTCAATGCCGAGATCGCTGAGGCGCGTTGATCCGGTCGATATATGCCCGCTCGGCGGCCTCGCACACCTGCCTGCGTGGCTCTGTACAGAGCTTGCTGCCGCATGCTCACGCTCAAAAGATAGTTTGGCACGCCCGTTAGCTCGGATACGACGGCACGGCGTCGTGAAGCTGCCAGACCAGGGGGCACCGGATATTCGTCCTCATCGCTACAAAGCGAAGCTCCGTCCATGTCTTCCATGGTAGCGCTGAAGCTACCCGCTGAACCCAGGGGGTACCCAATCATGAACCTTTAATTAACGACACTATCTCCTTTATGTGGATGATCTGGGGTGGTATCAAACAGGTAACCCGCATTCGTTTGGTAGAAGAGAAACAGGCGCACCTACAAGTCCCTGCGACGACAATCTCAAATCATTCTTACTTTGTCGAGTTCAAGGAAATCGTTAAGCCAAAGCACAGTTTACAATAAGCCATGTGACACGGCACACTTCCTACATCCTAGAGGCCTAGTTACAAGCGCGGCTCTAAGCAGCCTATGATAGGTTTTACTCGTAAAGCGATAGCACAGAGATCATAATAGTAATCATGTTTTCAAAGTCATGTACAGCGACCGTACTTCTTATGGCGATCCGTCCGACTCCATCACTCTTGCCCGTCGCCCCAGGGTTCACTAGACCGCCATGTGCTAGTGTGAGTGATTGCCAAGTGCTTGTCGCCAACTCACTCTCCGCAGGCACCATTGAGATGGAATATCCTGAATGGAAAATGCTCGGGTTTCTTCCGCTGTACCCCACTTCCCCCGCCTATCGCCCATCGAGCATGTTGAAATTTGTGCGGGCTACGATAGCAATAGTGCTCGGAGCGCGCAGGCTATACTCGTGCACAAATCTGTTGCGTCGAGACGCCGTGATTGCCATGTGGGTATGGCCACGTGGGGCCCGTGTCCACAAGAGGCCCTTGCCAATACTGCTGCAGGATTGAAGTTCACGGTTGAGACTGTTACATAAGCACTGAATGCCGCAACTTCTGAAACCACCACCACTTCATAAGCGCATAAATTCTAGCCCAAGCACGGGGCCTTATACCATCCCAGGCAAACACCATAAAAAATCGCCACCTCCAAGCGCCTACGAACATGAGGCACATGCAATATGAGCATCCGCAAAACGGAGCTTAAGTGCTCACAACTACGCCACATAAACACGTTGGAATCTTGCACGCGTAGGAACTAAGTCTGCTGGCCAGTCCGTACGCCTCTCAACAGCCTCTACGTGCTCAGACGACCTGCCATGATTGCATTCCTTAGGCAGCACTTTGCACGCAGACAGGAGCATGCAACGAGGCACAAGAGGCGCAAAGCATGCAGTCCTACACAGCATACCTACCCTGGCTGGAGTTCGTAAGAAGCCCTGTGTCAAGAACGCGCGTCCTGTCGAGCCAGGGCCCGAACACCGAGGGCCAAACCTTCACGCCGACAAAGGCGCGCAGGCAGCGTCATGGCACTACAGCCTTTTTGGTATACCACCTGGTGCGTTTAGCTGCATGGCAGCGGCCTTTCAGAACACCATCAGTCAGCCTATCGTACACAAGAAACGCGGTCATTCTCGCATAGTTAGCGATATTAGGACGACAGTGTTGATCCGCCTAGCAATCGTCCCAGGGGACGCCAGCATGGGCTAGCCGACCGACCACCAGAGGCAGGCCACGCCACGCACACAACCTTGGCATTGCAAAAGGAACACTGCCCGGCGGCGCGTGGCGCCTTAACGCGTTATACTGACACCCTATAGCCGAAGCTGACAACGCCTCACAATAGCTACTGCACATACAAACATACGCAACATTCCTAGCTTCGGTTTCTCTGTCAAGCCGATATGGGCATCCTCAATCATTATCCAATCCCAGATTCACCCCAGTCAAAGCAGTAGACACCTAAGCTTGACACGAGTATCCCTCCGCGCGTCAGGCCTGTACCAGGCCAAACAACCGCCTAAAAGGGGCTGCTGGTCTGCTATCAAGCGCAGCGCAACAGGATGTTCCCCTGACAGGAGGACCCCTGACTGCAAAACTTCATCGCTGAGGATCACACCAAGTCCTGAACTCCAAACAAAAGGAATGCTCCAGACAATTAACCATGAAAGTGAACACTGCATGCTGTTTGTTAACTAGAGACCAGACGGGGCCAGCGTGAAGCTCTTCCCATCTCCCAATTGCTGCCATGCAACGGGCCAAGCGTGGCCCTCCACCCTGACGAACCCACGGTGCGAAGGACGTGGCAGAGCACAAACTACTACTGCCAGCGCAGCCGCTCACCGTGCTTTAGCTTCCACTATTGTCTTCAGCTGCAGCATCCTACCCACCAACCCGTTCGCTCACCTCCCTCTCTGCTGCTCTGCTCACTCCGAAATGCGGAACTCCACCCCCATCATCTCCTTCATCTGCTCATACGTGACAAACGCGATCGCGATTGACGGCACCACCTTGAGGTAGTTCGGCCACAGTCCCTGCATGTAAAAGGCGAGCGCAAGGGGACCAATGTGTAAGTGGTTCATCAATGACAAGGCGTGTGAGGCTCTCGTTGCAGAACGCGGTACCCATTCGACTTGCAATAAGCAGAACCCCAGGAACATCAGTCACGGAGGACGTTTCCAACTCAGTGGAGAATCCAAGTCTTGGGACGCAATTAGGTTCAAAAACGGTTTGCGCAGGGACAATACAAGTCGTTGTCCCAACACAAATGCAAACTCTTAGCGGCGGCGCGCGTGGTCAACGCCGACCAGTCCCACCTTAAACAGCGCCTGCATGCCCTCTTCCCGCACTGTCCGCACGAAGCAGTCCACCATGCCCCGGTACGCCACGACTTCACCGGCGTGGCTGTGCAGCTCCTTGGCGCCCTGCCAACCGGACACCTGCAAGAAATAATACGGTATGCGCACATCAGGTTTTGCCCAGCGCATTTCCCCGGCAATAACGGCATCGTCAGGTGCCATCACAGGCTGCTCGGTACGATATCAGGCCGCGCTGCTTGGAAACACGCTCGTATTGCGGGTCTTAACTAGTGAGGATTATGTACAGGAGAATTGACGTGACCCAAATCCCCCGATAGGGAGCCATGATTACAAAGGAGGACCAACCAGTGGGGTGCCCGTTAGTGGGAATAGTTCGACTGTCCGGCTGAGTAAGTTCTCCTTGGGCTAGAATCCAACTGTAGCAGCACTTCACGGATTCTAGACGACTTTAGATTACCCACCTGCAACCGGCGGCGAGCGACGTCGAAGGGGTAGGCCACCGTCTGGCCCATGGAGCCCGCCACCGCACCGCAGCCCAGCCGTGCCACAATGCTAATTTCGCGTTCGTCTCGTAGCCCTGTAACAGAGTAAGGAGAGATAGATAGTAGTAGGGATGCTATAAATGAAACGGTCGTAAAACAACGAAGTGGGAGTAGCCAAGGGCCACACCCCTTCCTTCAGGTCCACGTTCTATGGCATCCCACTGGTCGCGGCAGAAACCAAGTGCCGCGAGACGTCCGGCTTTGATGAAATCAGACCTACCGTACTGCTTTATGAGCCCGGCCTTCAGCGTCTCGTAGACGGCGAAGTTCAGGCCAACGTACGGCACGACCCCGATGACGCTCGGCAGCCAGCCTTTGTAGAACGCCAGTGCGCCCTCCTGCAATGGCACATAACGGCCGTAGCCAGTCAGCCAAAGATCAGCTGAAAGAGCCTACGCCTGATTAGGCGCCAAGAGACAAGGCCACAACCAAAGGCCACAGGGTCATGGTAACTCTGGAAAGAGAGAGGCAGGGGCCATTAGGGGGCCTGACACCACAACCAGGCACGCCATTCTAAGGAGATGCCGCGTAGACATCATGGGGTAGGGTAGCTACATACCAACATATGAACCACCATACTCCTACTCCCCGAAGTCTACCATACCTGCTTTATGGTCTAACATACCTGCTTTAGGATTAATCTCGCGGCGTCAACAATGCCGCGATACTGCTGGTTACGTCCCTCCTGCACCGTTAGCCGACCGCGGACCATGTCCAGCGGGTACGTGGCGCTCATCGCAATAATACCTGCGCACGCCCCAGCTATCAGCCGCAGACCGGGCGTAAGCTCGCCGCTGCCCGTCGTTGCCCGGTAGTGGTCGGACATCTCCCTGTCATTTGGGGAGGCAGGGCATGGGCGTTAAAATGCAAACCGCTTGTTGCCGAGGACTGGCTGCGACCCCTCCTCACGCTTACAGCGGCGGGCAACAGAGTATTATACTGTTGTCGAAGCCATACCTGCTGAGCTGCTCATAAGTTAGGAACTTGACAGCTGAGTTGGGGATAATGCGGACGCAGTTGGTCCAGTTGCCCTTCATCATGCCCTTCACGCCATCCGTTTTGGCCATTTGGACAAGGCCCTACGCGACGCAGAAAAATAGGTGAACAGTGAGGTGTACCAACATGTCATAAGAGTTTGCCCTCGTTATCAGCGCGCGTTGATAGGCACTAACCGATCCAGCCACTGATTTGACGGCTGCGATGCTCACCTGCCAAACACCACGGTAGATTTGCTCGTTACCTTGCACCTGCATAAGAATTTTCAGGCGCTCCAAGGGCGCCACCGCGGTACGCGACCTGCAGAACGCGCGCAAGGGCTGCTTTACACGGAGACAACGGGACTTCACAAACTAAGGGTTTAGCTGACAACCAATATCCCAGCAAAACCAGGAACCACTTACAGGCCACCAGCGACTCCACCAGCTACTAGCGACTTGCACAACGACGCAATTGATGGCCGTGTGCAGGTCACCGCTCCGGTTGGGGTAGCCGGCTGAGCCCCTTGCTGGTTGGTTCCATCCTTGACAGTGTTGCTCATGCTGATAGTTGCAGCAGCAGACATAGTTTTGCTGGTAGCTGGTCACTGAACCACTGATGATAACCCTCACGAGCCCTGGTCTTCGCTGCACTTGAAAACTGGCGTCTGCTACACCGTCAGCACTCTTCTACTGTTGCCTTTGAGAAGTTATTGCAGAGAGCTGCTTCAAGCGCTCTTCTGCACTTAAGACACAAGGACCAACATTTGGGTATAAGAGCAACCAACTAGAAGAGAAACACAACACAAGGGGTCGTATCTTTACAAGGAGCAGCTGAGTTGGTTTTGTGATCGCTGCAATTTTATCATACTGCAGTAATCAGTTGCACATCATGTACAGTTAGCCGCCAGGCGCCGTCCAGGCCTGCATTGCGTAGAAAGGATACCTTAATTTATAAGCATTCTATATCTACGAGTTGGTCTGGCTTTCATAAAAAGTCAGTGCTTGAGCCCACCTTATCCTTAACGACTGTCAGCGACCCGTAAATACAGAGCCCTTTATAACTGTGCAGCGGGCGTACCGGTATGCTTAAAGCCCTTCTATAGGAGCAAGCAAGGCCAACTAAGCGCGACCTTATCCTGCACTGCATGTCACCGACACTCCGGCCCTATCGAAGTCCGCGGCGGGTCCGTAAAATGAAACGTCATGTCGTCATATCGAACGGGACCAAAGGACATGCGTTCCTTCGCTTGAGCCAACGCAGCTTCTACGCGCCCCACGGGTCGTTGCGCCCCGGATACATGCTCCTCTTGAACGGCATGTGCTTGTCCGTTGTCTTCATGAGGGCTCCGAGGAAGAAGATCTTGTGCAATAGCCTTGTTCCCCTGTGACATTAGCCCATTAAGGTTAACTCCTGGGTGGCATAGCCGTAGCCCAGCGTAGCCGATTGGCAGTTCCTAAGGTACCGGTACGTCCCTACCCCATGCGCACGTATATAGACTTTGAAAGCAACATACTGTTAGGCCTAGGCCACTAGTGTTCATACCCTTCCCCACTTGCCTTCCAATCGCTTGCGGCCTGCCTATCCGCTTCTCCGGCCTCCTCTCTGGGACCCAACATCCAGGCAGGTGGGGGAGTAAACTGCAGGGGCGGGATGTCATGTGGGTCGACGACGGGCGCCTCCGAAACCAGCCCAAGCTCCGCCAGCAGTCCGCCTCTTGCCGCCGCGCCGCCAGCTGTCTCGGGGTGCACAGGTGGTGTAGACGTAACTGCGTGCCCTTGGGCGCCTGGTGGTGTTGGAGCGGCATGGTATCTTGGGGGTATCTGCCGGACCATGGACAAGTAAAAGGCCAATGAAACGGGCATTAGTAATTGCATGTACAAGCCTAATTGGCAGAGGTATGAAAACATCCTTACTGTTGGTGCTGCGGTCGGGCACGACACATAGTACGCTCGACCTGGCAACGGGGGCAGCTTCACATGCGCTTGTACACCACTGCATGTGCGCCAACGAACCTCCGTCGTATTAAGCCTCCTCCGTTGCCGTTCACTCGCACCTTGGATGCAACGGCAACGGCAATAGGGCCCTGCTGGATGCCCCATGAGCCGGTGCTTCCCGCTCCATCATCGTCCATGTGTCCCGCTCCATCATCGTCACATCTTGTTGCTGTCGCACCGGTCATGGCAGCAAGGCGAGCTGTGTTGCCACCCATGCCAGAGTCGCCGGAAGGTGGTTGTGAAGGGGTGGCAATCTGTAAGAGTTATAGCGGGTAGACTGACTTAGGTTGCGGAATAGCTTCGCGGTTAGATGAGGCACGACAATGCACGTGCTGCGTTATCATTTATACCATCCTGGGCTTTGTATGCGAGCAACCCTTTAACAACTACCGATTGCAAGCAGCAGTAAAATCCACCGAGCAACCGCACAGGTAGTTGGACCCAGACCCCTGCGTCGTCCCTACCTTGGGAGGACCGCAGCCGAACGCAAGGGGGTAGCCAAGCTCGTCCGCGTCCTCCACACCCCAGCGACTATCGCCATCGTCGCTGCCGCTACCCCCGCCTGCGTCAGCCCTTGCCATGGACTGCCGACCCTCATGCCGTGCTTGACCTCTCCTGCCCTCATCCTCGTCGTCTTGGTCTTCGTCAAAAGCGTCCATGTCATCAGAAGTCATACCAAAGCGCTCAAGGGAGGGACCCCAGTCCCTGGACCCTTGAAGCCCAGGGGTCGCCTTCCGTTCGTCAGACAGGACTTCCTGGGCGGCCGCAGCCGCAGCATCAGCGCTGGCGTGGTCCAAGGTCTTGCTGCCAAACGGCCTCCTCTCATCCAGGCCCTCTCCGCTCCCGTCATCACGGCTTGGCACGCCCCCCTCGGTTCCTGGCGGCCCAAGCCGTGAAGGCACCGGAGTGCCGGCGCTTGCCCCTGGTGTGCCCGTTCCCGCAGCATCCTCGGCTGGCGTGACCAGCTGCGGCGACGCGAGCGGTGCAGGCGGGCTCGAAGCGGCAGGTGCCGCACCTGAGGTTGAGTCCTCGACAGCAGACCCGGGCCTCTTGCGCATCCGGCCCCCTGTTACTTCATTGGCGAGTCGTGCATCCGCGCGGCGCAAGGCCGTGAGGTCAAACGGCATGACGGCCGCAGCCTGCGCGCTGTGCACCTGGCAACCAGGATTACAGTTGGACAGTTCACATCAGCATGTAGCAGCAGTACGGCATGTGACGCCCACAAGTGAGAAGGCAAGCAAGCGGGCTGCAACTTGCCCATGCGCGTATCTACATGCGGGCTTGTAAGGACCTGTAACCAGCTTTCAGTCACGCCGCCGCTGCCGCCCACCTGCTCCATGCGGCTGCGGGCGGCCTGCACTCCGCGGTCCGGACTGCGCATCTGCGCCCACTGCCGGCGCCTGACGTCGCTAGCCGGGTAGCGCACTACGGTGACGCCGGCTCCGGGGTTGGCCTCCAAGGCCACCTGCAGGAGGGCCGCAGAGAGCGAGCTGCTGCTTGCAAGTGCAGCCCAGTTCATGCTGCACGGTACTGCCGTGCACGGTGTGTTTCTTTATCATCCGTCAAACCCAAATGGGACACGACTCCAAGCCCCATGCCGCGCACCGTCAAAACCTGTACTGATGTGCCCTACATGGAATTCGGTGTTTGAAACCGGCTCCGTGCTCACCGCATCGGGATACAACGATCCCCTCTTGGGCGACACGTCATCCGCATTCCCTCCGGGTGGTGATCCTTGGGCTCGGGCCTTCACCCCGCCGCCCTCGCTGCCGTCCCGGTCGCCCTCCCAGCAGCTGCTGTTGCCAGTCGACCCGTCCTCACCGCTGTCCTCATCCTCCGCCAAGCCCTCCTCGTACAAGTAGTGCCCGCCACTGCCGTACGAGCTTGCAGCAGGGGAGGGGTTCGCGTCCTCGTCGGCAGTGACGTCAGCAGCACCGCTGCCGCGGGGATAAAAGGAGCCGTAATCGTCTTCTGCAGCCGCGACGGTTGCTCGTGCAGCTGCAGCGCTGCGCTCTAGCAGACGCAATGCCTCCTCCAGGGCTGCAAGAGGCGTTGAAGAAGCGTCCTCCGCCACGTCATGTGCCGCCGTCGTTGCCGTACACGACGGCGCCGGCAGCGTCAGCTCGTGCGGAAGGTAGACGCCCAGCTCGCGGATACCCAGCTGCAGGGGAGTGTTGGGGAGAATACTGCCGTCAGTTCACCTTGGTAGTGCGACAAAGTCCTGTTAACCGCAACTAGGAAGTAGCCAAAGCTGGACGAACTTCCGTCTTGGCATCTTGGGCTAGGACGCAAAGAACCGTTTACATTAGAGCCTTCACATGACTCATCTCCTTTTCCTTCGGCCCTCAGCCAACCTGGACTGCTTACCGGTAGCTGCCACACGCACCTGGGGAGCCGCCACTATGGCATCCGCCAGGGCTTGGATCTGCGCCTGCCGCCGTCGCTCCTTTGTGGGCACCTTACGTGGCTGACCGGTGGAGGCTGCTATGGCATGCTCCCGGAGTGCCTGCTCCTCCGCCACCTGCTGCGCTACCAGCCGCCTGCGAGGCAGGAGCGAGTACGGTTCATGACATGGCATGAGAGCTCGGCCGCAAGACAGCGCCTTCCATATATGACTTTTTCAGCTTAGCCACAAAGGTGTGCAAGCTCGTATGCCGTTTTGCGAAGACTAATCGACCAGCAAGTCACTCCCGGCTATGCGCTCGTCGGTGGAAGCTACAGAGGTAACCAAAGACAGCTTCCCCCCAGACGCGGACCCTAGTGAGTAAAGGCTAGGGGCCTTCGGGTGCAGACCGGGTGCCTGGTTGAGGGTCCTCCTTACATCATTCCACCCGCGCACGGCCACTTACGCCAGTCGGCCCGGCATCATGTCGCCTCCCTCCGTCTCGTTGGCCGGAACGCCGCCCCTGCGGCGCCTTGGGTAGTAGGGCTTGGACACCGGTGCCGACCTGGCCGGAAGCAACCGCTGGTCATGACATGTGCGCGTGCGTCAAGAGGTGGGCGAAAGTGATCCAAGAAGCCTCCCTGGCGGCAAGTGCTCAAGCTGCGTGACGTGAAGCGCTTGGTGGTATGGCGAGGTGGATACCTACGACGACGCGACGAGAGCAACTTCCCCCCCTTACTTTGCTGTCGCGTAGATACCCGTGACGGTCATGCAAGCGGCGCCAGCTTACCCCATGCGCCGCTCCCCGGTGCCATCCACCACTTGCAGCTTGCTGATGGTCCGGGACGCCTCGTCAACGGCTGATGCGTGGCGAAGCGCGCGGGAGCTGCGTCTCGGGCAGTGCACAGGTACGGCACCGGAGGTTTGCAGGTGCTGCAGGACGGAATTGCTACCAAGATTCGGCTACCCTTATCAGCTGTCACTGATGCCCGCATCCTACCTGTGCCTTGCTTTCCCAGCCCCTGCTCCTGCCGCTGCGGCGGCAGCTGCAGCAACTGCCGCAGCGCCTCGCGCTGCGTGTTGCGCCAGCTGCGCCTTTAAGCGCACGTTTCGCGCCATGACGGGGTTGTGGGCGGGATCTAGGGCCTGCTGCCTCAGCTTCCGCCAGGCGGGCTGCTGCTGCTGGTCCTGGGGCTGTTTGGTGCTTGCCGCGGACGCATCTTTGGCTCCCGTCAGCACTTGTTTGCCGACCAGGAGGTCTTTTCCGGGCGAGCAATTACGGGGCGCGTGAAGGGGGGGAGGCAAGAGGTGGGGGACCAGCATGCAACAGTGTTGGGCTTTCATGTCAAGGACAGGGAGGGCGCAAACGCAAGTGTCAACTACAACAAAAGGGGCCCGTGTGCGTGGTTGCCAGGTTCCCGACGGCAGTGAACGGCCTTACTCGTATGGTGCATGTATACAGGCGGCAGGCCCAGCTCCGTCAGTTCGCGCGTCAGTCGGCCACGTCTGTGGAAGATTTCCTGCCGAGCACGTGCGGTGCCGCTTTTGGGATTCCCATGTTGGGCAGGTAACGCAACGGATTGTACACGCGTGCCGCTTATTCCTGGTCTAGCGGGCCCCACATCCCGGACGGGCCTGCCGCCAACAAGCTCCGCAGCCCCGACGGCTGCATCGTGGGCGCTGACACCTGCTGGCAGCTGCAAGGGCGATGGTGGCGGCAGCGGCGGCGGGTTGCTGTTGTTGCCATGTTGTGACGCGGCGTCTCTTGTGATCTGCTTGGCGACCGCAAACGTTGCTTCTAAGGATGGCTGGTTACCTTGCACCGCCATATCCGTGTGTCCGTGTGGCTGCCATGGACCGTCTCTATGGTCGTCGCCAACTGGTTGACTATGTCCCACGGCAGGAACGTTCGATGACGTGTCATGGCCCTCATGGGTCCATGACGCTGGCGTTAGGGACCCGGCACCAAGCAGTACGGTTAATGGATCTTCCTGATTTGGCTGGTCGTGCACATGCGGTTGAAAAAGTATAGCTCCTGCATCGGTGCTGCTGTACGGTAGGCGGCGGGGACTAACCGCCGGGCTTGAGGTTAGGGGAGCTCTGTGCGTCGAGGTTGGTACAAGACGGCCGGAGGCATCCTTAGCATAGGTAACAACCTTGAGGTGGGGCTTCTGCCCTGCGAAACGAGTTCGGACGCTTCATGGAGGTCGCAGTAGCAGCAAGATGCAACGAGACTGCAGCCGAACAGTTTAAAGCAGCTATGCTTCTTGTTAAAGTTTACCCTTACCAGACGCCTGGTCACGCTTTCTAGGGCTTCCTCCCCGCCTTGTGGTGCGGTCGTCAACCTCCATGCCCGAGGGACGCCAGAGGGACTGACGCGCATACGTAATGCGATGAACAGAGATACGCTACAGCAATTGTTTTGTCGTTATTCTACTTGCGACGGAGAGGCACATCAGGCTGATCCCTTACGCACCACTTCCCGAGCTCGCTAGCTGATTTGCATACTACATTAACTTGCAATACAAACGTAGAAATGCCAGACCTGTATTTTAGACGGCAGAAATACTCCTGCACGTGTGGTGCTAGCCATGTACGGTAATGAAGTAGTCGACACCAGAGTCAGCTTCCTGAATAAAGCAGCGAAGCTGAAATATTGTGAGCCACAGCCAATGCTGCTCCGATAGACGTCAAAGCGGGAGCAAGCAGTTAAAATTACTTGGTAGCTAGTACACGCTGCTGGCGTAGCTATGCTGTTGCGGCAACCCCTTTGGAGCAGGCATTCTGCCTTTATAGAGCTGCCAGCTGTGCCTCTTAAGCGTAGCATAACAGGTTGACGACAGGTCCACCAGCATAGATGGGCTACCAGGGTGCAACATACACTTGATGTCCCGAGGTCAAGGTCCACGAAACCCGGCCATGGAAAACCTTAATATCACCGCCTATAACATCATCTATGTAGACAGAGGGCTTCATAACTTTTGACCAAAAATATGCCCCGAGGTTGTGTTGCACCGAGACACGCCGGAATCCTGACTTCCTGATAATAATACCTTCAGCTCTTACGTCCCCCATCATAATATACCGGTGCGCCAAGGAAAGTAAGGACTGCTAACATTGTCGGAATGGCAATCTTCAGCCCTTACGTTTGCCCGAACCGTTGTGAAGGACGGCTACACGTTACTGTAGCGTGCGCCACGGAGGTACTTGCTATGAGAAAAGGCAACGCTTTCACTGTCACTGCACTTTCACCTTCCATGCACGCCTTCCGCGCATGCCTGCAACGAAGCCATTGAGCCATGTATATGCAATTGAAGTGAAACATACAAATGGCATGAACCATCCGCTGCCACAGGATACCAATTCTTCGTAAGAACCTAAGAAGCTATACCAGATAGCCGTACTGCATTGACACATCCCTCTCTGTTAGTTATTTTGTCTATTGCTCGGGAAGTTCATTGGGCTCTTCCTGTAAGCCTAAAACGTCCCATATGTATTCAACTGCAGCATGTTGCCTTTCGGCAAGGGGGCCTCTACGTAACCCTTGGCCCCCTTAGGTAGACAATGCCCACGATGGTGAAGTTGTGCGTATGGTTTGTCGCTTGCTGGCTAGTTGCTCGTCTAGCGCAAGCGGACAACATCACGGTCTCTGACCAGTGCGCGGTGCAGCTGCAGCAGCAACAGACTTATTATGAAGATATTTTACTGACATATAAGACCCAATGCACAAGTAGGCCGCTCAGGATTCTAGCTCCTAGTACTTTCACCGACTGGATTTCACGTCAAGCAGCGCAGTTCGAAGAACTCGTAGGCATATCCGTGAACATGACGTTCAAAGACTACTTTCGGATTCCAAGCCTTATTGATTTACAGCTTTCGGATTGGGCTCAGCAGGACGTGTGGATGGTGGACGGCGCAAGCTTACCATACCTGGCATACCGAAACGCGCTGTTGCCCCTAGACAACTGTATAGAAGCAAATGCGGCTGTTGGGTGGAGCGACATACACCCGCTTTGGGCGTCGTTGTCGAGGGCAGGCAATAAGACGATCGCTATGCCAGTTGACAGGTAGGAGCGGTCTTGGTAGTGGTCCATGGAGCGGACGTGGTCCGTGGAACAACCTTTTAGCGAAGTGTGGTCTAGGGGCTCTGCTCTTGACAGTTACGAAATCTTGGCTGCAGTACACCCTGTGTTCAGCCTCTTGCACCGTCCGCTTGGGTTTACCGGCGTTCGGTTTCCAGCAGCCTTAGCACTTCTAGACGAGTCCCCGTGATCCCACCATCATGGCATAGCTTAACTCCCCGCTGACTTCCACCTTCACCCCTACAAGCATCCAAAAGCTCACCCAACCTGCTATCCCATGCCCACCCTTGCTGCCGTCCCGCTCCCAGTGACGTTTTGCTGCTATACTATCGGCGGGACACCCTGGATGCTTTCAACATGTCCGTCCCAGTAACCTGGGCCCAACTAGCGGACCTAGCTGCTGCCTGGAACGCCCGCGTTAGGACCGTGCCACCCACTGCGGCAGCACCCGCCAGCAGCAGCAGCGTCACGTTCCCAGCACCCGCATCGCAGCTAACGGCGGCCCCTCCAGCAGCCCCTCCCAGCAACTCCACAGCTTCGGGTCTCGCAGCACCGCTGCCACGCTACGGCCTGTGCCTCAATGACGCCGCCGTCTGCACGTCTAGCACGCTGCTGTCCGCCATCCTGGCCTCCATCACGCAACAATGGGGCCCGCAGACGGGCTGGGCTGTGGACCTGCAGCAGCTTAACCCCGATGTTGCCGTACGGGAGCTGGTCAATGGCACCGCCATGTACCTCGCGCTGCAGACGTACAGCTCGCTCGCGGCGCAGAGCCCCTCGGGGCTGGAATGCCAGCAAACTTTGAGCATGTTCGCTCAGGGCGACTGCCTCATGACAATCAACTGGGGCCGGCAGTTTAAGGCCTTGCAGGCTGCTGACGTGCCAGTGCGTGGGCTTGTGGGCATCACCCTCACGCCCGGGAGCTCCCAAATATTCGACCGAACGCAGGGGGTGCTGGTGCCCGCGGGGCCGGATGCCTGCAGCGACCCCGTGCAATCCGCCTCCACCACCGGCACCAGCACTAGCACTACCCCCACCGGTAGCAGCAGTGCCAGCAGCAGCAACAGCAGCACATGGGGCTGTCGTGCACCCATGTTGGCGTACGGCGGCACCTTTGGCGTCATCGGCCTGCGCAACAATGCGACCTACCAGCAGCTGGCCTTCCAGTTCCTGTCGCACCTCACCTCCAGCGCGGCGCAGTGGGACGGGCTGCTGGACCCCAGCAGTCCGGTGGAGCCGGTGCGGGTGAGCATGATGCAGCAGGGCGCGGAGGCCATGCTGGCGGGGCTGGAGGACAGGCTGGTGCCGGGGTACGGCGATTTCGACCCACGAGATGCCAAGGCCTACCTGGCAGCGATGAGGGAGGCGTTTAGCAGCCCGAATGTGGGCGTGGAGCTGGGCGCCCCTGGGTCGTTTGAGCTGAGGTGGGGAAGTGAAGGGGTCTGGCACGGTGGGGGTAGCACAGTGGGCGCATGGGGGTTCACGACCACGTCTGAGAGGGTGGCTGGTTCTTGGATCTGATTGATATACGTGTTGGTTGGCTCATTGTGAAAAGCGAATGCTTGTAATGAGGGGTGGTACGTACTTGGCCACTAGCTTCCCTTTGCTAGGCTGGAGAAAGGTTCCTAAGTGGTAAATGACCGCAGCTGTAGCACCCCGCCCAAGGCCGCCCCGCGCCGCTGCCGCAATCCTGAAGCATGGCCCCTTGCCCCATGTGAAACACAGCGATCGTAGCCGGTGCGCCAAAGAGACCCATGCCTTCACTCTGCCCCGTCACGCACCTCCTGCCCCGCAGGCTGTCCATGGAGTCGGCCATCACGGCGTACCTGCAGGGCGCCGGTGCGGCTGGGGTGGCGGACGACATGGTGCGGGACTGGCTGGACGAGTGGTCGCGGCTGGGCTACAGCAGCGCGCAGGTGGTGGCGATCATGAGGGGGGCGATACCCCCCGGCAACGACACGGAGCAAGGGGAGACCGACACGGTCCGTCGCAAGGTGCGGAGAGAAGCCGGCGGGAGATGGCAGGGAAAGAATGACGGCTGCTGCGCCGTGGGGAGATGGACGTGAAGTGAAGGGGGGATGGGATTAACGGGAACGACTGAGCGGATGCGGATGGGAAGTGGCGGGCCACATGCCACGGCAGACGCCACGCCACGTCTAACCTGCCCTAGCTGGGCACACCCGCATGGCGGCCTGTGAGGAGAGGCCGACGGCGCCCCGTTGCTCTCCTTCCCTCACACCATCCACGCCTCCTCCCCTTTCCGGACAGGCAACGCGTTGGGGTATCGCCGTTGGTGTCTCCTGTGGTATTGGGCTGCCGGCTGTGGTGGCTTTTTTGACGCTGTGCTGGTGCAAGCGACGCAGGGCCCGACAGGCGCTGCTGCGGCGCATTATTGCGCCCACGCTCGGCGCCGAAACCTCGCTTGTAGTTACAGGTGGGTGGGGAAAGAGGAAGCAACGAACTAACCGTGTGACAAGGCACCACAAGACCCGTGGGCGGGTAGTCGTATGAACGACAGCGCGTGGCGCTTGTTCCGGGTTCAAGCGGGCCAGCATGTTGTCTCCTGCCTTACGCCGCCCCGTTGCCTCCCTCTCACCTCTGCCCTTACCTCTGCATGCATGCAGACATCCAGGACTCCACAAAATTCTGGGAGGTGTTGAGTAGCGACGTCATGGTGCGTGGTGTGTGGTCCCTGCAGCGGGATATGGCTGCGGGTGCAGGCGGCTCCCGGCGGGGTTGCTGCCATTGTTCAGCTGCCTTTCTCCGTGGCTGCTACTGGTGGCAACGAAGCTGGGGATTACTGTCGCTGACTTCACCCCAAATCCTGCATCCTGTTTGGCAAATTGTGCTGTGGATGGAACGAGATCAACCCCGCTTGCGCAGCTAGCCAGATTCCAACTCATCCTCGGAACTGTTCGCGTCTCTCACTGAATCAGTGCCGTTGGTGCTTTCAGGACTATGCTATCTACCATCATCACTCGCTGGCTCGGCGCCTCATGCTGCAGTTCCAGGGATACGAATCGGCGACGGAGGTAAGGGCCATCTGACCCGGGGACTAGCGGGCTGCGACAGTCAATCGAGGGACCTGCATCTGGGCACCGCGAACAAGGCGGGAACATACCAGTAGCTTCGGCAGCACTGCGCACTCAGCAGCCCCTTTCTTTAATTATCCTCACGTCAGCGCGTGCCTCTGTGCTACGTCCTCATTTCCAACCTAGCCCCCACCCAGCATCGCGCTTAACACATACCTTGCGTTTGCTGTGAATGTTTGCTTGCAGGGCGACTCGTTCATCATTGCTTTCCAGACAGCCGACGACGCCGTCTGCTTTTGTGCGCTGTTTCAGCAGGTGAGGGGGCAACAACGCGCTTATCGCAAAAGGGTGCCTTGTCCTCCGTGGTCCCCGTGAATGGCCGGAACAGCTGTCACGGTGTCTTGAACTCTCGTCCGGACACCCATATTTGGCTGAAGGCCACGAAGCCACGTGATAGCGCTACCAATATAACACGTTCATGCGACCTGAGCTATTCAGCTGGGACGCAACACGCCGTGCTTACCCGCCATGTCATTGTCGCCCTCCGCAGGAGTTACTGCTGGTGCCCTGGCCTCCCGAGCTGCTCATGCTGGAGGGTTGCAAGCCTGTCTGGATGTGCAGGAGGTAGGGCTGGGAGGGAGCAGGGAGGGAGGGCATGTGAGCGGTGTTAAATTAGGCTCGGCTGTTGTCTAGCAATGGGCAGGCGCCCCATATTACCGGTAGTAGTGAGCGCATTTCGGTGTCCAAATGCAAACTCTGTCACCACTATTGCCAGCTCAGCCCTCGTAACGTGGCCTATTCGTTCTTTCCACACATGCAATGTATGCAACTCGCGCGGCCGCTCACACCCGCGTTTCTACGCCCGCCTGCCTCCCTTCCTGTTCTTCCTTTCTTAACCTCAACTGCCCTGCGTGCCATACCTGCGCGCGCCCCACCCACCATGCAAACACAGCATGGCGGAGGCTCCGCGGCGTGACATCCAGCAGCCGCCCCAGCTCGAGGTGACCCGCTCGGCGGCTCCTCTCTCGCCCTTCACGCTCTCTGCCATGAGCGGAGCGGCAAACAGCGGCAGCTACCACAGCGGCGTGCGCCGCGGCCTGCATGTTGGCCCCACGGCTGCCCGCGGGGACGCCGCCGTCGCAGGGGGACTCGCTTCCATTCCCGGTGCGGCGACCTACACCTCGCCATCGCCTTCAATTGCCGGCGGAGCAATCGGGCAATTCGGATCCGTGAGTCATACCTACATGGGGCCTTACAGCGTACAGGCTGCGGCACAGCAGCAGCACCAGCACCAGCAGGACATGAACCCTCCACCGGCCTTGTCAGCACCGACGGTGGCTACTGCGGCAGTGGCGTCCGGGGCCGTACTGCCGCGTTTTGCGCGCGGCACCGCCTCCTTCGCGACCCCTGGGTCGCCAGGCACCATAGGCAGCATAGGCGCCCTGGGGGCATCTCCGCGGCAGATGAGCTTTCTAGGGCGCAGCGCCAGCAGGCTGGGCATGACCTCCAATCCCGCGGTTGTCACAACGACGATGTCCACTGTGTCGTCAGCGGTAGTGTCGGGACTCAATGCGGCTGGCGGCGGAGGCGGCACGGGCGGCGGCACCGAGCGCGCCCCGGTTAACCCTTCACAAGGGGAGGCTCGGGGAGCTGACGATGGGTTCCTGCCTGCGCCGCTCGCTTTCCAGGGAAATCCGACCACGTCATCAGTGCAGCCGGACGCTGGTCCAAGCGATGGCGGCGATGGTGAAGGCGATGGCGGCGGCTTCAGCAATGATGCAGCCGCCGCTAGGGCAGGACTGGAGGCAGGGGGCGTCATGTCCTTCCGGGAGAGCTTCCGCGCGGCGAGTGACGAGCCACTGCAGCGGCGGCGGTCATCGTCTGAAGGCGATGCCTTGGGGCTGCTTCCTGCCGACGCCACAGATGCGCCAAAGGTTCCCACGCTGACGGGCGCAGCTGTTGTGATCAGTGAAAGCGGCGCGGCTTCAGGAGCGAAACGATGCGGCAGCGGCGGTGGTGGCAGCGGTAGCAATGCAGCCCTCACGCAGTGCGGAGCACCGCCTTCCCGTTCCAGGAGCCTCGCGCGCAGCGTCTCCATGATGGGCATGTCCTGTGGGCTAGACTTCCGTACTGGGAATGACGGCGGCGACGACATGCCTGGGTTTGGACCCACGGGTCCGTCCCGCTCCGTGGGGCCAATGAGCTGCGACGGCGTCACGGCCATGGCCCGCATCGACAGGTCTGAGAATGGCAGGCTGACAGATCGACCCACGCCTACCTCCAAGAGCTCTGACATACGAACAGTCTCCGAATTCAATACCGTACTTGAATCTTGCGGCGGGGACGCGTACATGCGGCCTTCAGAACTGGGCGTGCATGTAAGCCCGCCTGGCACGTCCATAGGCTCGGTCTGCATGGCCACCGGGTTTCCGCAGCCGCCGTTACCGCCGCGACGGCAGGAAGCGCTGCAACCCACGTGCGCTAATCCCGGGAGCGAAGCCGAGGCGCAGCCATTGGACAGCGGTACGAGATCACCTGCAACAAGGTCGACTGGTCCGCTAGCAGAGGGCGTTGGGCAGTTGACAACGCCAGGATCGTTAGTTAGCCCGCCTTACAGTCCGCGCGCTGTTGTTCAGCGCGTTTCCGTACATTTTGGCTTTCCGTCTGCCTCCGCCTCTGCCGCAGCCACTGGGAGCGTAGCCGGCACGGGTGGGCACGCTGCGTGCAGCAGCGGCGATGAAGCATGGGCGTCCGCCGGGGGTGCAGGTGGTGGTAATGGCGCCTCGACAAGCATGCCCACGCCACGGCTGGCGGGACCGCAAGCTCCAGTCAGTCCACCGCATATGGACACAGGCACCTCGGCTGGAGCCGACGCCGGCGACGGAGGCCTGTCTGGCACCATGGCGCATTCCCAAGTGTCGTACAACTCCTCCTCGCCATCCGCGTCGCGGGGTTCCCCGCCTCGCGCTCCACCCCTAAGCGCCACACCACGCGCCAGCCGCTACTTGCACTCCTCTTGCAGTGGGGTCCAGGACAACCCCGACACGTCTCCCCCGGTGCCTCTCAGCTGCCGTGCCGCCAGCCGGCGCCGCTGCAGCGATATTACGGGTACAGCAGGCTTTGCCGAGTATGCGGCACAGTACAGCCCGGTTGTTACTACAGGATCGATCCACGGAGCCAGCCAACATAGTCCGACGCTTAGCCAGAGCCCATGTCACAGTATCAGCACGGTACATGAAAGCGGTCTTAGGCCGAGCCCATTAGGCCGAGGCTCTACGCAAATAGCGGCGGGCAGGAGCTATCGCTCTCGCATTCAGGGCAGCAGCGGCGGCGGCAGTGACGGAGTGGGCGGCGGGCGCAGCAGCAACAGCCGCAGCCTTCGGGGACCCTCCGTCGATGGGGCTGAAGCCACTTACCGCGGCCATTCATCTCCCCTGCCAGGCGTCTTTTCCGAGGAGGCTCTTCCAGAGGAGGAAGACCGAGTCCCCATGGACGTCCCGAGCTGCGGTGCCGAGGGCGAGAGCAGCATCGCCCTAGCGAGGGATGAAGCCGCCACCACCGCTGCCACCGCCGCCAGCGACGGCCCCTCCCCCGACGGCACCGCCAGTGTCCCACTCAACCCCTTCCGCCTCGGCCGTCGTAGCAACCTGCCAGTAGCTTTCAAACGCAGCATGACCACGGCGCAGGCTCATGCCTCCGCCGCCGGCGCTATCGTCATCGGCACCAGCCACAGCGCGCTCCGCAGCGGCGGCGGCGGCCCCTCCTCCAGCACGCCGCGCGCCACCGCCGCCGCCGCGGCCATGGCCAGTTCCACGAGCGCTTCCCGCGGCATCTTTGGGCTGGTAGGGCTGCCGTCACCGCGGCCGGGCGGCACGGGGCTGCTGGGGCTGGGCATGGGTTTGAGTCACACGCTACACGCGGTGGAGTCGCGGGCGGGCAGCATGGCCAGCATGATGCGGCTGGCGTCGCAGCAGAACCTGCAGTCGGTGGGGGACTCGCTGTGCAGCCGCTGGCGGGTGGTGGAGGAGCGCGAGAACGGCGCGCAGCTGGTGTTCAGGTGCGGGGTGGGGGGGCGCAGGGGTGGGTGGGTGGGTGTAGGGGTGGGTATGAGGGTGCAGGGTATGGTTGCGAGAAGGAGGGGTGTGAAGGCGGCATGGGCGGAAAGTGTAAGCATGCATGCTAAGGAAGGAGCATACACACGATGCTACAGAGAGGGTTAGGGAAGCGCGGTTGGGTGTAGTGGTGCCGTCGTGCGCCACGCCGGAAACACTCGTCCTCTGCACTTGTCCTTCTGCAACAACTCCCGCAACCCCATGCTCCCCACCTGGCCGCCTAACCGACTTGTGCACCGCAGGGGCTTACGCGTGCGCATGGGCGTGCACAGCGGCCTGAGCGAGGAATGCGACGCGGTGCAGCTGAACCGCACCGCCAACCGCACGCAGTACACGGGGCTGGGGCTGCAGATGGCCAAGGCGGTGTGCGACTGCGCGCATGGGGGGCAGGTGCTCATGTCGGAAGCGGCCTTCACACAGGTGGGTGGCGCAACTGAGCTTGGATGAGGTGCTGACCGTGACTGTGGTGTGGGTGGCTGGGTGGGTGGGGTTATGGCGACACGGGCTTGGGGGCCGGCGAAACCGCTGAGGGTTGCACCTTCTTTCGGTATGTGCTAAGATCTGCAAGGACAGGATATGACAGGGTGTAAAAAGTGCAGTCCACTGCCTGTTAAACTTCAACTAGCCTGCATTGTCGTGTCAGTCGGTCCATTCGCACCGTCCCAGGACGAGCGCTACCGCTAGTCGCCCATGCCGTCCCTGCAATACGGTAGTCACAATGCAGCCTGTCTTTCCCCCTCCTTTCCCGGTCCCCGCCTCACACACGTACACCCCCGCGTACCCGCTCCGCAGCTGGCTGTGGAGGGCCTGAAGGAGCGCGTGATGGTGCTGCACATGGGCGAGCACCGCATGAGGAACGAGCTGCCCGCAACCAGCATCTACTGCGGCTGCCCGCGCGCATTGCAGGTGGGTCCAAATAGGCCAAACCATAGGAAACCAGGTTGGTGAGCAGACGGCTTGTGCATTGCGTACGGTACTGACTGACGCTTGCTGCCGTAGAGGAGCGGAGGGGCATGGGCTGCTTGCTTGTACCCTGTGCGGCAACCTGGCGCTCCCTTTCTCCAGTGGTAGCCCCGTCACTTACGGCGCACACCGCTCTCGTGCCATACCTCTGACCCCTCCATATCATACCCCATACGATCCTACCAACCCGTCCTAACCCGTCCCAATCCACCCGTCCCCGCACAGGGTCGCATCCCCACGCTCCGCACCGTGCGCAGCCAGCAGCAGCACAGCCTGGGTGTGCTGGAGGCTCCCGCGGGGCTGGTGGTGGTGGTGTTCATGCACGTGGTGGGCGCCATGAGCCTGCTGGACTGGCGGGCCGACCTGGCGCACACGGCGCTGGGCTTGTTCCGAGACCACGTGTCGCTGGAGCTGATCAAGCACCAGGGCTACCTGGTGAGCTGGGGGGGATGAATAGGGATGCGTGTATTGCGGATTAGGCTGGACGGTAGGATTGCGTGTTGCTAGCTGGAGGGGAGCGGGGCAGGAGGCACGGGGACGGTGTCTCCAACCAAGGGCGCGGTAGGAGGTGGGGCCATGTTGAAAAGCTAAAACGGACTTCCTGTAGGGAGGTTCCTTTACAAAGGTGGAAGGGGTATTGGTTCCGTAGACTTCTTCTCATGCTGGCGGTTGCCCTCCCTCCCTGTCTGACTCCTCCTCCGACGGCGCCAGGTTGAGGCTGTGGATGGTCTGGTGCTGGCGTCCTTCTCGTCGCCCGCTGCGGGACTGCGTTGGGTGGTCAAGTGCCAGCACGACATGACCATGCTGCCCTGGCCACAGGTAGGGGATGACTCGCTGTGGGAACCTGCTGTAGCCTCTTTGCGTGCAAACTACCTTTTCCCTCGCTTTTCCTTACCACACACCACCACGCTCAATGCACATGCTTTGTTCATCTCTCACTGCCGTACATGGTGTCCCTGTGCCGTCTTCCAGGAGCTGCTGAGTCACGAGGCGTGTGAGGAGCTGTGCACCACGCGAGTCAACCCGTTGACCGGGGTCCAAGAGGAGGTCGTGCTGTTCAGGTGCGAGTGCGCAAAAGGGCGGGAAGCAGGGAAGATTGTACGGTGCCAGAAGCGCCATCCGTTCCCTTGTGTGGACTTTACTGCGCACGGAGCCGTCTTGCGTGCGCTTGGTGGAACCGGTATAGTTGTTTCATGCATAGGATGCAATCCTATCCTTCTTCATGCCACCCTCCTCCTTGCATCACACGTCGTACAGGGGCTTGCGCCTGAAGGCCGGAGTGGACATGGGTCGGCTGCGAGGCGAAATCAACTGCATCACAGGCCGCATGAGCTACCGCGGCCGTGCCATGAACCGCGCTGCCCGCATTGTAGCCACGGCGGGGTCGGGCCAGATCCTGGCCTCCTCTGACGTGTGGCGGGCGAGCAGTGCGCAGGCGGCGGCGCGCATGTACAACCTGACGGCGGTCAGCCTGGGGCAGTTCAACCTGAAGGGGGTTTCGGAGCCCATTGAGGTCTTCCAGATCAAGTGAGCGTGTGAAGGGCACCGGTGGTTGGTTGAGGGGAGACAGGGAGGAGCTGTGCCCCTCAGGTTCTATGAAAGGCTGGCGTGGGCTAACGTGCATAGAGCGCGGAGATGCCAACGCCCGAAGTCTCTCGAGGGCAAGGGACGCACGCCGGCCCCGATCTCTCCTATACAACCATCTCACCTGTACAACCACCTACAGCAGCACGGATCCCTCACGTGCCATCTGCCCCTTGCCTCCCTCCCTCAACCGGTATATCTTACACCTCCCTCATCCGCACCCTGCCCCTGCAGGACCGCCTCCGACATCTTCTCAAAGCGCTCTCGCGCCGTCCTCTCCAGCGTGGAGGACCCCCTGGAGCTGGACGAGCTGCCCATCGCCGACCCCACCGCTGCGCTGCACCACCATGCGGCCATCAACAACGCAGCTTCCAGCGCGGCCGCGGCCGCGGCGGCGGCGGTGCTGGCCAGCGGCGCAGCTGGCGGACCCGCTGGCGCGCTGGCGGCTCGGGTGGGCAGCATCAGCGCCGGCATGGGTGCGGGCGGGGCCGGTGGCTCCACGAGTCTTCCCGCGCGGATGATGCTGGAGAGGGTGCAGTCCATGACGGGAGGGCTGGCGGCGGTGCTGAGGCGGGAGGAGAGCGCCTCGCGCGGCGCACGGGGCAACCTCAGCCGGCAGCTGTCGCGCAATGTTTCTGTGAGGTAGGGCGTGTGAAGCTCTGGGCGTATGTCTATACCGGAGCCATACATATGTTCAATTTATACCCTAACTAGCCCTTCTCAGATGTCCAGGGCACCCGGCTGTTCTGTTGGAGTTGCTGCGTTGCTGTCCTTCTCCAGGTGTAGTCCACGCTGAATACCTTATGCTCTCTACGATTCCTCTCCTCCAGCAGGTCTCGTCGCTCTAGCCGACGCAGCAGCGTGGGCAGCCAGTACAGCGCACTGGCGACCAACACCATGGTGGCGCTTGCACGAGGTTCGTACGACGGCCGCTTGGATGTCGTATCTCCCGTGCGGTCCGGCGTCGTACAACACGTGGCAGTAACAGCGGCGCCAGGACCTGCTGGAACGACCTCTGCTCCGCAGGGCGCCTATGCAGGTATCGTACACGGGGGCCGCGTGCGGCATGGGGGCCGGTTCTGATTGAACGGGTCTTTTAATACAGTCCCGGCAGAGTCCCGGGATTTGTTTGTTGCTCAGCAATCAGTCATGGGCGTTGTCAGTTCTGATGGAACCTTTTGGTAGGAAGCATGCAACTGTTTCCCCCGTGCATTGTTTGCCCCACTCGCAAACGTACTCCTCAGACCTATCCCAGCCTATGCTCCCAAAACCTTGCGCCCTCAAGCAAACACTTCGGATGCCGTGTTTTCCTTTCCTTAACTTCCCTTGCCTCTCTCAACACTCCCCGTGTGCAGCCGCAGGCATGACGTCGCTCTACACCAACGCCCCAGGCAGCCAAGCCAACACACAGGGCGCCCTGGCGACTGCAGGCGCTCACGCCGGTGGCGGTGGCGGTGGTGGCGGCGGCGGCGTCAGCAGTCTGCCGTACGGCACCAACTTGGCACACGGCTCCAACCTCCCTGCTTCCATTGGCTCCGGAACCCGCACCTCCCGCAACTCCACTGCGGAGCAAATGGACACGGACGGCAACCGCTCCTCCAACCAGCGCAGCTCCAACCCCTCAATTCGCTCCATTGGCGTCCCTCGCCAAGGCTCGAGTTCCGTACACCACGCACAGCTGCACTCGCAGCCTCCGTACGGCTCGGCGCATACGGGCGCTGGGTCCCCCGTGCTGTCCAGGACCGGTGCAGCACAAGGGCTGGTCCGCCACATCTCAACTCTTATCCGCTCCGCTTCCAATGCCCTGTACGGCAGCTCAGGCAACAACAATAACAGCAACAATGGTGGCGGCGCCGGTGGTGCCGCTGCCGGCGTCATCAGCAGCGGGCCATTTCATGGCGCCGGCTCGCAACCGCTGTCGCCGCGGCAGCAGTCACAGTCGCAGATACCGTCACTCGGTGTTGCGCTGTCGCCGACGTTGGAGACCACATACGAGACAGGCGATTCTGGTGGCGGCGCAGGTGGAGGGGAAATCGGGGGCTACCGACGTAGGCCTTCAGGCGAGCGCGGTGTCTATGAGATGGCGGCTGGCGCCGCCGGTACGGCAGCGCCTGCGGCGGGTCTGCCCTCCGTCGGTAGTCCCACGGGTGCTCCCGCTGCGGGCAGCGGCGGTCATGGGGGCGGTGGCGGTGGCGTCCTGAGGGACCTGTTGGCGCCGAGGCTGAGAGCCGCGGGGAGCTTGTTCCGTGTGGGCTCGTTCAGCGGGTAGGCGGGGGTGGGGGGTGGGGAATGGACCTGGGTACGGCAATGGGAAAGATGAGAGTGGCTGCGATGTCTCTCTTATCCCACAAGGAGCATCCCTGAACGTCGTCATCTTGGCATGCTGTCTACCTGATCCATGCCCCATGTATGCATATCCCTGACCCTTGCTCACCCCTCCTCAGTCACGTCCGCCGCCGCGCTGAGGACGGCAACCGCGCCAGCGATTACGACTACTTCTCAACGGACCGCCGCAACCGCTCGCCGCCCGGCCGCCGCCTGGCCTCCACTGTTAGCGGCCTGCGCTACGTGGCTGCCACTGGCGGCGGCCCCGTGGGTGTGACCTCGGGCCTGCCTAGCTCCCCCGAGTCAACCCTCATGCGCGCCCCCTCTCGCCGCCGGAGCGTTGTGGATCCTTCACGGCCGCGTTCGGCAACGGTGGATCGAGCCACCGCCGGCACGGGTACCGGCACCGGTACGGCAGCCAGCGGGGCCGCGGGTGCGGCACGCACGTCGCTGAGCGGTTTGTTGGAAGGGCCGGAGGCGGGGGAGAACAGCTTTGTAATTGTTGTCGGAGAGGATGATCAGGAGGAGCAGGAGCAAGAGGATCAGGAGCAGGAGCAGGATGAGGCGTTCCAGCGACCCATGGCGCGTGTGGAATGGTCGCGTGGGGGGCGTGGGGGTTCGCTGAGGGGCGGGGTGGGGCCGGGCGCTGGGTCGAGTGCAGGCCACGTGGGAGGCTCTCTCCATGGCTCTAGGGAGGCGAACCATGCGACAATATCGCGGCTGTTTGCTTCGGCCGGTTTGAGCGGGAACGCGGGACAACAGCAGCAGCTGCAGCAGCAGCAGTCTGGGGTGATTGTGTCAGCGACGGTGGCGCGCTGGGAGTTGGGAGGACCGGTGGGTAACAGTGGTGGCGATGGAGGTGCAGGTGCACCGGCAGCGGGGAGTTGACGCAGAGGCGCCGGCGCAAGATGTGGATGAGGGTGAGGTGGAAAGGGAGGTGCACATGATTGTACATGGGCGGCATTTTCGGCTCCGTAATTAAAGCCCCAATACTATTCTACTTAGGCTGCGAGGCCAAGTTCGTGCTATATTTTCAGGAGAGGATTTAGGCTGAAGGGCGATCCCTCTACTATCCTTGCTGAATCACTTTCACTGTTCAGACTGCTGCTCGGGTTTCGTAAGACTGCCAAAAGTAAATGCTGGGAGAGCAAGAATTGCCCTTTTCAGCTGCATGAATGCTTTTTTTATGATAGGGTGGACGCCTTACTGCGTGGTTGAATTGTGGGGTTGTGTGAGGAGTGCGTAGGGTAGAGGAGATCGCTTGGAGACCATGCGCCAATCATCTACGCCAGGAAAGCAAGATTTTAATTCTTGCCCATGCTAGTTTTCAATGACTGCGAACTATTGCGCAGTAGCCAGGATTGGTGAGTGTTTGCCAGCACAGCGACCTAGCCAGGTATTGGCAGTTGACAGCGGATGTTGCATGGCTTCCAGGGGTTGTAACATGGTGTCATATACTTATAAAGGTTAATCCACTTAAGAGGAAGATGAAATCAGTTCGACTTTGTTACCCAACATGTGCGCCATGTGTGAATGCATGCCTTTAGCCCAGCTATGTACGGGCCTGTAAGCCTGTCTGCTGTCGCAGAACCTGTAAATATTATCAAAGATAGGGTATTCGCCATCTGCTCACCATGCTTGCAGCATAGAAATGGTCCTGCCCGCGCCGAATCCTTCCGTACTGTTTGAATTATGCACCCCGTGTTCGGCAAGTCGGAGTTCTCATTCCGTAGTAGTGTACTAAACAGGAATACCTTCTGTATGCCCTGCATACTTCCATACAGATAGGTGGTCCTTGGTTTAAAGCAGTCCTGTATGCGATTTTTACAGGGGAGTAAAGTCCTGTAGAAATGCCCGCTGATGATCTGGCAGATATTGTACAAGAACTTGCTAGCTTCGTCCAGGATGAGCTCAAAGTATGTTGTCATTACACCTCACGCTGCGTATCTTTGGGCATACGCGCCCTTGTATACGGAGCTTGGATGCAATGATTGTTTCATCCTGACACGCGCAGGTGCTTTCTTACAAGTGGGTAGCACGGCACTACTCCATCTCGGCCAACCTTGCCAAGCGGTGAGCACGACGCCTTACTTGCGACAATAGACTTGCGTTGGCCCTTACGAATGCGGTGTTGTCTCACAGGATATTGTTCCAGTTTGCTGAGCAGCAGCGCGATAAAATTCGTACGGTGTACTTGGTGTCTGGTTGGACCCGTCAAGAACCGTCCAACCATGTTCATCAGTTGGTGGAGGCAAGCCAGCTACAAGGTAAGTTAGCTACTTTCTAGGCAGGCTGGCGTTGGGGATGCTTTACATCACCCACAGGTCCTTGCTTCGTCGCTTCTCAAGCAAACCAAAAGGCTAAGGCGTGTCACTGCCCTGCGCGCGCCATTTCACAGTATTCCGGGAGTCCCTCGCCGAGGTCACCGGCATGCACGTATACAGGTTAGTCTAGAAAGGCCACAGTACACATTGCCCCATGCAAGCATGTTCCAGGCATCAGCTCACAGCTCGCGTTGCCCTTTTCATGCAACGGCCTTTTCCCTGGGTCCCTCCGCCCGCTGTCCTCAGCGTGGCTCCGAACCAGGCCACAAATCCCGACAGCCTCTGGATGCCCACCTACCAGCAATCGCAGCAGCTGCTCAAGGAGCTGATGTCGGGGCAGCCGAGCGCGTCCGCAGAGGCGTTCCGCAACAACAGCTGCAGCGCCGTACGCTTCAATCCGCCGCCCCCAACCGCTCCGGCAGCTGTGGCGGCAGCAGCTGCAGTGCGGCCGCCTGCAGCGACGGCGGTCGGGGGTGCAAAGGCGCAGGGACAGGCATCGCGGGCGGCTCCTCAACCCGCGCCGCTTGCAGCAGCGCAGGCTTCCACGCCGTCAAAGGACGTAGGCGCAGGAGGTAGGTAGGGCGCTATGCTCTGCATCGCAGGTTTACGGTGTCTGCAGTTCAAAGGCGCTGTGGGTAACGGGAACTGTACCGTTACATGTTAGCCCGCCCCCTTTACTCGTTGGGTCCGTTTCTCAGGCAACGCGCCTTCTGCAGCTGGCGCCTCCGCGGCATTGCGAGCAGCAGCGCCGGCGGCAGGTATGAGGAAGTCAGGAAGTGCTGGTTTCCGAAATGTCCGGTTGGTGCGGCAAGTCTTGCGCGGCTTTAGCCACATGCACTGATCGGCTTGGAAACCAATGGAACGCGAACATGGATGCAGCTCCAAGTTGTTTTAGCCTGGCACTTATCAATGCTTTCTCTGCATTGCCGTACTCTCCCCCTCCAGGATCAGCACCTTCCGCCTCACCTCCAAAGGCGCCCGGCACTTCTCCACCGAAAGCGGCAGCTGCGGCGGGCAAGGCCGCTGGCGGCAAGGGCGCCGCCTCCGCTGCGGCAGCTGGGAAGCCCTCCAGTACACTCGCAAATCTGTGGAACAAGGCGCCCGCCAAGCCCAAGGCTGCCGGGGCACCAGTCTCCGCCGCTGCTGCTGCTGCTGCTCCCGCTGTTGCATCGAAGCAGGAGCCGGCACCCGTTGCTGCTGAGACCAGCAGCGGCAGGACGGAAGAGGAGGACGAGGAGGCACTCCAGGTGGCTGCTGGCGGGGGTCGGAGTCGCAAGCGGCGTGGCGCACAGATTGACGACAGCGAGGACGAGGGCGAGGAGCAGAAGGGCGGCGGGGCGGTTGACGGGTCCGGAGGGCCTGAGGAGGCTGCGGCTGCGGCGCAACCGCCGAAAGGCGGCAAGCAACCGGCCAAGGCTAAGGGCGCCGGAAAGGTGTGTGTCTGTGTTGGAGCAAAAGGGCCATCCTGCCGTGGTTAGGGTTCAGAGGCCCTTGATGGCGTGCAATGGTCAGTTCCTCAGCAGTTGTTAGTGCTTAGGAATGTCTATCGCTGGGAACGTTGGGCCAGATCGACGTAAGGTTCGCATGGATGTCCTAGTCATCTCAGCTTTTGTACTTGTCCCAACACCAGAGCCAAAAGGAGACCAAGGACAAAGGCGGCGCAAAACGAGCCAAGCACGCTGTACAACAGCAGCCGGAGATAAAGCAAGAGCCGGAAGCCATGGAGCAGGAGCAGCCTGACGAAAATGCTACGGAGGCTGCCGGGGCGGCGCCCGCAGGGGATATAGACATGGACGAGGCCGTGCTCGGGGCGCTGGAGGTTGCTGGCGGCGCGGCGGTGCCGTCGCTACATGAGTCGTCTTCACAGCAGGCTGCAAAGCCTGCGGGTGAGTAGATAAATACTAAGGCGCTGCCTATGTCGCCGCTTGCTCCTCCCTAGGCGCCGTCCTTTCTTCCGTCCTCCTTGTGGTACATGTGTTGCTGATCATGAAGGCTGTGTGGCACTTAACAACGCGTTAATGACATCCTGACACCAACATGACACACACAAACTACTGGTCCTGCGGACGTGCAGGAGGCGGAGGCGTCAGCAAGGGGCGCAAAACCAGCCGCACGTACATCAACGACCAGGGTGAGGAGGTCACCGAGGAAGTTTACGAGGAGGGACCGGCACCGCTGCAGCCCCAGCAACCGCAGCAACCCACAGCTCCCGCACAGCCAGCAGCGGCGGCGGGCAAGGCCGCCGGCGGAACCGGGTCCGCCAAAACAGCTGCCAAAACAGCAGCAGCGGGAGGCAAAGGAAAGGTGCGTTTTGCTCAGCGCCCTGGAGGTCCCCAATGCGCCAGGCATGCGTTGCGGAATGCTACGGATGCAGGGTGGACAATCTGGACATGCGCCTTGAGGCGCTGTCTGTACCGCATGCATTGTAGCTGTCGTGGACCCCATACCTGGCTGAAACACTCTAGCTCCGGAGTTCAACCTTTTCCCTCCACGTCGCGTCCTCTTACCTACAGGGCAAGGCCCCAGCGGCTGGCCAGAAATCCATGACGGCATTCTTTGCGAAGAAGTGAGCTCTGGCGCAAGGTGGTTCCGCATCTTTGGACAGTGGTTTGGAACAGAGGGCCGGCGTTAACCGTGTCCAGCTCAGGCCCGATGCTCCCTAGGGTGGCATTAGCCGTCTCACACGACGACCGTGCATGCCAAGGCTTTCCAGTGGGCATATTCTACGGCAGGTAGTTGGCAATTTGTTTCAAACTGGGTTGTAACCATGATCGTGACGGGGCGGTTTCCTCAGGCAGCTACATGCACGGCCAGGCCGAGGCTGGCCACCGGGGGAACGATACACATCCGGCATTGTGTCTGAATCCAGTCCACAACAATTTTAGCAGGCAGCATGATAGTAACGAGGACCCAGCGAATCCAAATGCGCGAGGCCGTACCCCCCTAGTCCTAGTTGCGTAGTTACATAATACCAATGCATTAGCCAGTTCCCTGGATAGGTGCCGATCCGGGCACTTCATGGTTATAGGCAGTTCCAGCTGGTTCCAGCCACATAATAGCAAAGTTTCGTACGACAATGAATAGGAGGGTATACGAGGTAATGGAGGTGTTCACGAAGAGAAAAGATTCAGCCCGAAAATAACCAGCAATGTATTCATCAGCACACTCCGGAAACAACCAATATAAAGGCACATTGCGATCATCCTGATAACCACTGACATGGGTTAAGGATGAAGCCTACGGGTATGCACAGAAGCTCAATACCCCCTTGCAACGAATGCTCCCAACTCCTTCCAAATTCCCGGCACTGTTCCTTCTGGCAGCATGCAACGTCGAGTAGGATCAACACTCTATGAGAAAGGCAGCAATTCGACATCGCCGTACTTACTTACTACGGCAATATTACGAACGATTGGAACAACTACATTGCCCAACAACCAATCTTCTTTCTTAGGATCATGCTTGGTGATAACCCCCCAAACAGGCTTGTTACAGTATAGCGGGCACGGCGCACAACCGTACGCTATACGCTTAAGCCAGCATATGCATGAGGCTCAGGTTTCCGAGGACATCACTAAGCTATCCTACCTTTCGAACATGCGCGTCACTGCAACCTAGTTTTTCGGTAAAAGGTGTAATGATTACACCGCTGCTGCCCTTGGTGTACACTCACACGGAGGCACTGCTATCGCACGCCACTACCTGCGGCAGCTCCTCCACCCAGTAGGTCTCCATGGGCCTGGGGAAACACCGGGCACCCAGCAGGGCAACATAAGTGGGAAGGTCGTCGTTCAAGCGTCCTAAAAGACCCATGGGTCACATCCACTCCCTATTATCAGGGACAACTGAGTGTTCCCATTCGCACACGACTAGTCGTGTTCCTTTCCCGCCACCCCTTCCTCACCCTTTTCCCTTGATGGGCCTGACTCCCCGGCTCGTGACCTGGGCACCCACGGGCCACTGCTCCTGCAGCAGTGCCGCAAAGGCCGCGCTGCAGTGCACCCGGTCCGCCTTGCTGTTGTGCTCCATGCGCGCAGCGGTGTTGACCGCGTCCCCGAACAGGCAGTAGCGCCGGTTGAGGGTACCCACCACACTGCCCACCACGGGGCCGCAGTGCAGCCCCACGCGGATGTGCACGCAGCCCAGCTCGGGCCGCTCCGGGTGCACGGGGAGCGAATTGGCGGCGCGGATGGTGGCGAAGGCAAACTGAGTCATCAGGCGTGCGTGGGAGTCGGGCTGGGGCCAGCGCAGGTTGCCAACGGCCAAGTAGGCGTCGCCCACCGTCTCAACCTGCGGAGATAGCGTAAGAGCACATCAGGGAGAGCAGATATGGGCTATAGGAGTTATAGTTGGCTGTGCAATTGGCTCCACTGCCTCATTCGCTCCTCCCCGCTTTATCGCTCCATGCGCCCAGCGCCCCTCACCTTGAACAGCCTGAGGCTGCGGATTAGGTCGTCGAAGCTCGAGTAAAGGCGGTGCACCAGGTCCATCACCTCGCCGGGCTGCAGCTGCCCGCACAGGTCCGTGTAGCCAACCTGCGGCAGCAAGCAGCGGACAGGGCACCGCGGCTGGGTAGGGCTGCTGGCAGGAAGTGGGGCCACCGCCGTGAAGCTACCTAGCCACCCGCAACCGCACGAAGCTGTTACGGATCAAATCAGAGCAACGCATATGTGGGACGAGCAGCCAACCCACCACGTCCGAGAAGAAGATGGACACGCAGTCGTAACGCTCCGGCTGCACCGCCTCGCCGGCTTGCAGCGCTCGGGCAACCTGAGGAAAATCGAATGGACAAATAGCTGATTCCGCAGCCGATCGCAGTAGGGCAACCATGTCTAGGGGCTCCCAGTGAGCTGCAAACGCATGCTGAATCACATGCATGCAGTGCGCTTGCAGGTGCAGCGTGCAGGGCTATCCCAGCAATACCAACCTTCGGAGGAAACATGTCGAAGAGGAGGTCATCCGGAGTGACCCGTGGCCCTAATCCGTAGCTGTGGAAGGGGAAAAGAAAGCCAAATCGCAGAAAGGATTGGGACTTTGTCAGCAGTCAAGCCCGTGGGTGCCGCGATGGAGCCAACCCATCTGTGTCGCTGGCTCCAGCAACCACCTCACAGCAACCGTCCTAGAAGTGTCCGAAACTCCCAGCCAGGTAACTAGGGGCCAACTCACCCCCAAAAGGCATCTCGTTTAGCGCTGTAGCCCGCCAGCACGTCCATTGACTGTTTCCGTCCACCCCCACTGGACACCTCCATAGGCGACTGCCTGGCCAGCGACGCAGCCGGGAGCTCCTTTGGCGAAGACCTCGCCTCAATGTTCGTGGTACGGAGCATACCTGACTGCCCCATGAACCCCCGTTTGCTGTTGTGCATGCTGGGCAGGTTCTTAGTCAGCGCCGGAATGATAACCTGCGCAATGGTTCGTACGATGTCTGCAAAGGTTAGGCTCCCCTGCCGTTGCATGCACGACCTTGCAAGATCGCCGAGCTCGTCGCAAAGCTCGCTCAATTCGCTGAGTGCCGCTTCCGTGTCGTCGTCCAAGGGGAGCGGTGGCGGGAACTGGCCAGTGGCGGCGACACGGCCGGCCTCGACGTCTGTTGCTGCTGGAGACAGCTGCAATTGCACAGAGGATCTCAACCGGTACAATTCCGTCGACCGCATCGAGGTTGAGAACACGCGGCACAGCAGTATCCCGAACGCAAACACTGTCTGCTCGTCCCTCGGCATGCCCTGCATCGCAAAGTCAGGAGAAGAGGTGGCAGCAGCAGCAGCAGCAGCAACGGAGGTAGTGGTGCCTCCACCCCCGTCACCAGGGGCCGGCTGTAGCCCGGAATGGGCACGGCTGCTTGCTGCTGCATCGCTGCTGCTGGCCCGAGCCACATTAAACGACAAGCTGTCAGCATTGCGTGACGGGATGTCAATAGCCATCTGCCGCATCAACGAAGCTGCCAGAACAGGATTTGCCAGCAGGGACTGTGGTTGTGGCAATGGCGGCGCCTGCGGCGGTGGCACTGCTGTAATGGGCAGCTGAGACGCACTGAATAAACCTCGGCCCCGCGATCTCATGCGTGGGACGGCTGGAGGTTCAAGCTCAGGGTCTAAATGAGTCAACCGCACGAAGAGGTGCGGGCTGAAGTTCTTGTCCATGATGATGCGCGATGGCTCAATGGAGCCGGCCCAGATCGGCGGCTCCTGTGTAGTCAAACGAGGCGTCGCGGCAGGAATGGAATCGTTCGTTAAGGGTGAGGAAATCAGCAGTAGGCCAGGGCAGCTGGCTGGGCAAAGCCGTTCAGCCGACTCGTATATAGCGTGTGCTTTGCAGGCATGGCCACTGTCCCCCAGCATCTACGAGCGCAGGACAGGCAGCGGCCAGACGCGGACGCGCAGGCAGCGCTTTCATATGTCATGCAAAAGCGTGACCTGTTGCGGTTGCCTAGACGCTCGTCGCCCAAGTCAAGACTGACGCCTAGCGCCTTGTGCCGTACCCACGACCGCAGTTTGCCGTACAAGATGAGACCCACCTGCGCATGTAGGTACGCCAGCGCCTCTGCGACTCCCTGCACGATGTTGGCCTTGGTCATGAGCGGCAGGGGCACCGTCTCGTTCTCCAGGAGCCGGTCCAGGCTGTCAAACTCGTACCACTGACGAACAATCACTGGCACCACTCCGCCCCCCTCCAACAGATCCGGCCAGTCGCATACGATGCCGAGGATAGGGCAGATGCGGGGGTGCTGAAGCCGCATGGCGCGCCACACGGTAGCTGCAGAACAAGACGTGATAGGCTCAAGAGAAAGCGCGCAGCAACCGCCAACCGACCGACCGAGAAGCAACTAGGACTCTTATGACCAGGAATCTGCAGGCACACCGACCCCGAAACGCACCAAGGATTTGCTTCCGTTTGCGGCCGGAAGTAAAGCTACCCGCTGCGTTGACCTCGAAGGGCATCAACGAAGCTCCCAGCTCGTGCGGCGACGCAACCTGGCGTGCGGCGAAGCTGGCCGACAGCTTGTCAGCTAGCGACCTGTTAGTGACAGTTGAGAGCTGCAGCTCCTGCTGAGGCCGCGGCGCCTGTCGGAGCACCGGCGCCTCTAGCGCAACGTAAGCCAAGCCAATATCCTCAGACGGCATGCTGCCGACGGCCGTAGTGGGAGGGCGCATTGGGAGCCTAGACATAGTACCTTCCCTGCAAGCAAGGTTCACCGGTACGTTAGCGCGCGATGTAAGCTAGCATGGGCGCAGGAGTTCGGAAACGATAAGAGGGGCTAGGATTAAGGCACATATTCTGCATGTTTCGACTTGTTGCCCTCCACGATCCCGTTGATTGCCATCTGCCATCTACCTAAACAATCCTGGCTGCACGCCGTTGCACATTCCCGACATTCGCTACCACCAGTCAACATGGGCAACATGTTGCAACCCATCGCACCTATTGCTTTCTGGTTTAGGATCCAGATCTTGGGAGGTAGTCTGCATTGGGCCAGTTATGGTACGGCTGAGATTGCGCATTCAGGTGTGTTTGTCAGCACATGCCCGAGGTCGGAACGTGGCAACGCAGAAGGCATCCAACGTAATGGGAAGGACACCACACCTTAGCACACCACCCACCGCATGCGAGAAGGCTGCTATCCGCTGCAGCTTGGGGATCACCTCCGACAGCAGCTCCGTGGCCACCACGAGCTTCACCCGCGTGCCCCGGTACACCCCCTCGCCCGGCTCGAATGTGCCGTCCATGTTCAGCACGGGGGCGATGTCCACCTGCAGCAGACCAGGGGCATCGGCCGCGGCGGAAGCGGTGCATGAGCGCCATGCATGGGCCTCATCCCGTGGGCTAGCTAGGTAAATGCTGTGGGTCGCGGCTGGGGATGGCCCACACGTGTGCAATAAGCACAGAGTTTGATGGGCAACAGTCCAGTCTTCCCTACCGTTGCCAGGCGACGCAGCACACAGTGCATGGATACTGGTGCTAAATGCGCACAACCCCACATGCAGCCGGCTTCCGCACCTTTATGTCGCTGTGTTTGATCTCCACTGCAGCAGTGATGCTCCAGTGCGGCAGCCGTCGCCCAGCATACACAAAGCCCGCAAGCGCAAGGCACACTGCAAGGACCATAGTAAAGCCGCACACGAGAGTGATAATCGCTATTCCTGCTGGAGTCGAGGCCCAGCGTTTTGGAGGCTCGGGCTCGGGTATCGGCATCACAAGTGTCCGTTCCGCCACATCCAGGGGCAGCACCGCCGCCAGCTCCCCAGATATGACCTGCATGGGGTGCATGACACGACTTTGCCAGGCCTGCCACACAAATGCAGTTGCAAACGCAGCGGCGCACAAACCTGGGCAACAATAGCCGGGTGGAAAATGTTCTGGCGGTAGCTGTTGAAGCCTATGGGGCCGAAGAACGTCTCCATGTTCAAGGTCCTAAGCACGTAGCTCAAAACCGCGTCTCCGGTGGTGTTCGCCATTACATGGGAAGGGTGGCTAGCGTCATAGCAGGACAAGGCGCCTGCATCCCACATGAAGCTATCGGAGGTATTGGTATCGCTGACGCGGCTCAGATCGCACAAGCTGATTGCACGCTGCAATGCCGATAAGAGGACGTAGCCGCTTGCCGATGCGGCAGCGCCAAAGTACGAGGCCTCATGGCCCGTGGCTTTTAAAAACGCAGCCGCATACTCGGCAGCTGAGCCGAACATGGGGTCTGCATACGGCAGACTTGGCATCCACTGTACGGTTGTCATCGCATATTCGCCGTAACCGTCGAGGTATGTCAGGAAGTCGCTGACATTGCCCCACGATGCCAGCCAGACTGCTGACAACCGGTGTCCAATGTTGTGGAGCCTGTGAACCAACCGAGACGTGCGCTCCATTTCGTCACAGGCAATGAGCACATCGGCACCAGCCTGCGCGACACGCTCCCCTGCAGTGGAATGCGGGCACGGGAGAATCAGCAAGTGTGTAGCGGGCTCAGATACAACGTCGCAACTACCGCCATTGGAGAACAAAAGCACATCCGGCATGCCTGCAGCCCGAGGTACTAAACACGCTGCACCTACTTGCATCCTCCCAAAAGCCCGGCACTTCCGCCTCAGCTGCCGAATAATTGAAGGAAACCGCGGCCCCGAAGCCAGGGCGCAGCTCGTTAAGAGACGGCAAAGCATGCAGCGCCCCCTCGCATAGCTGTACAAAAAGAGGTGACTCAGTGCAGTACGCTATTGCAATCCGCTTTAGGCCACGCAGCGCCATAGTCCGCAAGACTGTTCCCGTGTATAGACTGGCCGGAGTGAAAAGCCCATAGACATTGTGCAGGTCAAGCTTAAACACAGAATCACGTGCTGTACAGCAATGTAGCAGCAGTCTGGAAGCATTGTTGGCCTGCATGGAGTCCTGCAAGGCGTTGATCCCGTTTCCACCTAGCAGCAGGTGGACCGGCAGGGACCCAGGGTCGCCGGTAGTGGGGTTGGGCGGCGTGCCGTGGATTAACGACTCCATGGCAGCGGCGGCGCCGGCATCGGTGCAGTCGTGGGAAACGAGCTTCAGCTTCAGCTGCAAGGTGTAGTTCCGGCCGGTGCTGTCTGCTACCACCATGGCTGGCTGTGTATCCAACATGTCGAAGAAGTACTGGTAACCAAGGGCTGTCTCGTTGTATAAGGGCGCACATGGGCCTGGAGACAGAAGGATGGACATTCGGGGTGTTAAGAGACACAGGCAGGCGACACATGTGCAGTAGCCAGGATAGGAAGCGGTCCTGTACTTGTTTGAAGCCTTACAGTAAGCTTAGCTAATTAAAACAACAACGTTCTGCAGGCATATAGAATTACGGGCCAAGGGTGCACCATATTTTCACTAGGCTTACGGTATCGCTTCTGGTGGGTGGCTGGCTGGCTGCCTGGCCGGCTTATTAGTCACGCAACGGATAAAGCTGGTCGGATTACCTAAATGAACCACGTACAGCGTCTTACCACCATAGCCAATGGTTGCCCCGATGCGAAGGACAATAGCAACCTCGGACGCGGCGGTTGTTGATGCAAGCAAGGCAACCATTAGGACGCTGAACAGGACTGCCAGCATCATGCCTTATCCAAAGGACAGCTAGATAATTCGATATGTGCTATGGAACTGGTAAAACCTAAGGGCTAAGTCACAACTGTCGCAGGGATGGCTTGCACACGTAGCTTGTATCACAGCTCTGCGTTAGAGATGGCGCCATACCCCCCATTCTGTTAAGCCTAATAGCCTTTCGGTGTCCTTAGTCCTTAGCAAGCCTGAAGTTGTGCCGCGCTCAGCGAGCAGCAGTGGATGAATGAAGACAGCCCAAAGCACCCTGTAGTAGAAAATAAACACCTCGCTATAGAAAGTCAAGCGTTGTCTGCCACGCTGGGAATCTTGCAGCACCAATTCGATAAATTCCGTACATGACATGCTTGCAGTACGGAAAGTGGCCTTCCAAAAGCCCTACCCCTTGCCTATGCTCCTGAGCAGTGCATTAAACACGGCGACATCAATTGCTTGGGGCTCTGTATTTGATAGATGGATGATTCGCGAAAACGGTTAGAAAAATCAGACCCCAGCAGTTCGTAGATACATATACGCTAATTTCGCTCGGCATCTGGATGTAGGACTATCGGTAAGTGACAGGTAGTTAGTGTTCCGCCGCGCAAGTGTGTAGGGCTAAACGGCTAATAGCTTTCAGGGCTCTGGCACCTCAGCAAATTGTGTGCTTGCGCTATAGAGCAGTTGTGCCTATTGTCACAAGGCCTACCCGTTGGCTGCGTTTGGCTGGCTCTCCTTCCATGCCAGCATTGCCGGTTATAGGCCACTGTTTTCCTCGAATGCCCTCATGCCGAAGGGAATAAACCAATCAACCGTGCGACAAGGTTGCGGGTGTGTTGGGGTTGGCTAGGCAAGACGCCAAGTATCAGCAGTTTCAGACTTCCCGACATAATATGTTACATTCCGTCTGTTAAGGCTTTGGAGGCACAGGCGCTTGGAAAATTGCACGAACTGCTCAAAGCTGCTGGCACTTGCCTGACCAGCTTTCGTCACAGGTGCAGGGCTGGCTCACAAAGCTCTGTTTACATTAAAGAGGTCTTCCCAACCAAGATCCCGACCGAGTGTGTGATGCCCATAAACCTCAACTATGTTTACAACTCCTTGCTCACGCTTCCATTATGAGTATTGTATACAAGCCCAAGGGTTTACCCGCCAAGTCAACACACCATGGCTTCGCAATAGTACAGGTTTGGCAAATTAGCTTTAGTTCATGGCGAAACTCACGCTGCTCCACACGCTACGAAGGACTCGCCACAACACAGTACCGCTCGGAGAACAGCATGAAATGGCGTTCGCCAGCATCCTGCACCTCCCGTACAGTACCCACGGCCTGCGCCACCGTAACCTGACGCGCAGTCGCAAGCCGCGGTGTCCTTTGCCATCCTGAACACACAGTCACGAGTAACAAGTACGCCAGCCGAATGCTGCGAAACCCCTGCAGGGCCAACCCACCTGCTTGTGCATGCGAGCCGTCGCTGCGTAGAAGTGATCATGCCCCCATCCCCTCCCATGATGCCATCCAGCAACCACGCCGCAGCAGAAGTCCATCCAGCCTTGCATCCAGAAACGCCACCCTCGCCCTCACATGGTGTATGCGCTGCACTTGTATGTTGTATCTGATACGCCCGAAGCCGTACCATTCCGGACGTTACCTTCCGGGGCCAACTGTGTTGGCGTCTGGGCATAGCTTGCAATGCATGCCTCAGCGGGTTCCAGCTGTACGCTTTGCCACAGCTTCCATCGTAGACTCTTGCCAAGCCAAGCCAATGTTGAGTTGGGCCATGCCTAACGCTCACGTGGCTGCCCTGTTGGTGTCCACATGCTCAGCAGTGTAATAGTTCTCCGGAGTCGCAGCCCGTGCCGCTGCAGCTGCCGCTTCTGCAGCAGCAGCTGCCTCTGCTGCTGCTGCAGCTGCCGCGGCAGCTTTTGCAGCAATGACGTCAATGGGTGCGCCCATCCATAACGAAATCTGCAAGGATGCGGATAACTTTTGTCAAGTGCAGATTAAACAGCAAGCATGGCAAGGACCTGGACGGCACGGTTCCGACCCATCCTCCATGGTCCCAACCATACCGGTACCGGTAACTGTAGTGGCCGATGTAACCGCATGTAGATTGTTTAGCAGAAGCCATGCGCCATCGCATACCACGTAAACTTGTGAGGCGCTACAATAGCTTACCATCGCGTCTGCCATTATCTGGTTGACGTTGCTTCCCTGCCCAGCAGCACTAGGTGCAGCAGCTGAGCTTGCAGTAGGAACTTCACTGCTCGTGCGCCGAGAAGGAATAGGAGGAAGGTGAGGAGGTACACTACCGTTGCCACCATGGGCTGGCTGTTCGGCTGACTGTGCTTCGACATTGCCATCGGCCTCTGCGGCGGACGGCGGAGTAAGCGGTGGCAGCCCTCCCTCCACCGCTACCTCAGCTTTAAGGATAGCGCCTGCTGCCGCCGCTGCTGCAACACCGCCTCCACCCGAATCCAGTGCATCCAGAATAGTAGTGGTCGTGCTGGCGATGCTTACGGACCTCGTACGTCCGCTGGCCGCCAGCGGCGGCAGGGAAGCGTCCGATGCTGCTGCAACCCCAGATGCTACTGTGCCGCCGCTGCTCGAGCCGGCGGCCGAGTCGCCATCGCGGCCCCGGCGTGGTTCCGTCCCGCTTGAGGACCTCCGCTGCGACACACTGCCTGGTCCCTGCAGCTGTACACATCCAAAATAGGGAAAAGAGTAAGCATGAAGTCGGGATGGACAGTACGGTCGAACCGGCCGCGTCGACAACGTTACGGTGGCATGTGCTCCGATGTGTTTCCCCCTACACATGGGCGGTGCAGCATGCCTGCGTCCCAGCAGGACCATGACCGCGCATGCGGAGACCCGTTGCGGCCCTACCTGATGTCGAGTGCCACCGGTGTTCCCGGCCCAACCGCCCGGCTCCGGGGAGAAGCTCGTGAGGCGCTTCTTGCTGCTCCGCGAGAGGTCTCTCCGGCTGCGGCCGTGCTCGCCTGCTATGCTCATCGCGTGCACGAACCGGGGCTGAGGCAACATGAAGTCCGGGTTGACCTGTCGCGCAAGGTACAGCACGCGCTCCCGAGCTGGCATTTCATTGGCCTGCAGCAGCGTTGCGTGGGGCGCCACGCAGCGGGAGAGCAAGGGCGGAGCTCAGTGCAGTCGCCTGCAATGACAAGGCTCTATGCAGGCGTCCGTAACAGTCGATTAAGGCTCTCAGCTAGCTGGCCTAGTCCACATCCCCGAAAATGCCCATCCATCTATCATTCCTGTGTGCGTGGTAAATGATATCGGTGCTTGCGCCTAGTGCTTTTCCATGGCCTCCTAAAGCGCATCACTTCCCTAAGCATTCCCTCAGTCATGCCCATCCTGTCCTACCTGCATCGCTACCCGCTCAACCTCCGCCATAGCGTCGTCGATCCGCGCATCAGCCCCCTGCAGGTCGGGTCGGCAGTGGGGCGGCTGTGGGGCGCTACGGGCTGTCCGCTGCGTGAAGCTGCCTCCCCCTGCGGCCCCGCCGGCAGGGCCGCCGCCGCCGGCTCCGCCGCCACTGCCAAAGACGCCCATGGAATCTGCCCCGACGGCCGCACCTCCGCTGCTGTGTGGGCGGTGGACTTGTACCTGCGTGGGCGAAGCCATGGCTACGGCTGCTCCAGCGCCGGAATGTGATGCCCGTGACTGACCCGGTGCTGCCTGCCTGTTAGGTGGCGTTGCCGGAGGGTGCACGGTGAAGCTCATTGGGTGTCCCAATGCTGGATGGAAAGGTTGACCGCCGCCGTGGCTTCCAAGCCAGTCGAGAGGGTCGAGAGGCAGGAGCGGCAGCCCATGCGCGGAGGCAACTTCAGCTGGGAGTGGCGCCAGGATGGATGGATTGAGCATCCGGTCTAATTTTTCAACCAGTGTCGGTGGCGGCGGAGGTCCTGCTCGTGGCGGGGGCTCTGGTTGCGGTTTTACGGTGCCGTTGGGGTTGCGCCCATACAGCTCTATGCATAGCTTAGGTAGATGAGAATGTGCGAGCCGTGCACCAGCCTCAAGGGTGTCTGCATCTGGCTCAGGTACGGTAAGGCCCTTAGATAGGAGCTTGGCCTGGACCTTGTCGACCTCAATCTCAAGCCTGCGCTCCAACCAACGCTTATGGAGTCCTGCAAGCAGGGGGCAGTTGCAGAGCAATGCGCTCACTGTTGACGTCCTGGGGGGCTGGGGACGCCAGGTTGGCAGACGAGAAGCTGCAAAACAACCCTCGCATGACGCCGTGAAGGCACGATGAATGTATATAGCTCAACCCTTATTTAAGCTTTGGCCCATGCGCAGCCCCACTGGAAAGGGCTTGCATGATACCGCATTGAGTCCAATGAGCAAGTTGTATAGTGTTGGACTTCTGCGCAGGTAAGATGCAAGGTTCCTGTTAATGCATGCACCTGTCATTTCGCCGTGAACTGTCATGCCTCCACGCTTGCGGACTTAGAAGTTAGCGACATCTTCGCTTGTTGGATGACACTCTAACTATACTATAGCATATTTCTGAGAAAGTGCTAACAACTACCGTAATTAGTCGATGGTGAACGCGTATGCAGGAAATCGGCTAGGAAACTTGTAATGTTACAGTTAAAGCTCTGCTTGCATCACACAACCTTTTTCATGTTACAGCATCGCTCATTGAAAACGTCTATGATAGCTGAGTTACTTGGAGCAAAACAATCTAGCGCTCTCATTGGTGGAAATAAGTCGTACAATAGCTTGGCCATGCCCAGCTATGTTTATATATGTATCTGCAACGTAGGCAAGGCTACATACAAGAATTAGTTTTTACAGGGAACATCAACTAAACGCTTCATCCCACCTTACCGCAAGCTGTCGCTCCGCGCCACTACCTTGCTAAACTCTACCGGCAGGAATTCAACATAGGTTCGCGTTTGTACTGTCAAGCTGTACCTTTTCAAAGCACGCGTATGGCGTGAGCTGGAATGGACTGAAACTCTACACACAAGTACTACTCATAGCGCGGTTATTCGCGGCTAGACTGTTGCTTGGAGGCGCCCAGGGCTGAGGCATTTGTCATTTGGCACCCTCTGTGTGGCGCCGACTGTAACTTAGGCGGTGAAGTTCGTTTTGGGGGTTTCAATTGCGAGATGTGGGCGACGCTCGTCCTTGCCACGTTTTTACTTCACCTGCCTTCTCACATAGCCGGACGTGGCCTCGTCTTCCGTATTGGAGCTACTGTTGGACGCGATGGTAGGTGCTCATTTTCTCGAGCCGTCACAATAATCGTAACCGATGGCAATGGATATGGGCCCTTACGGCGTATCCTGCAAGGTTTGGCTTCCCCGTATAATCATAACAGGCGTCGGGAGCCTCTGTTAGTCAGTAGCTTAAGATACGTAAACGTCAAGGAACGGTCAGGGTATTTGTTAAGGGTTTCCTATTGTGAACTTACCTGCTGTCCCGGACTTCGCCGTTTTGGCTGACCTAATCTCAACGTATCCGTGCTTGATGACTGTCAAAAACCCATTTACTTCTATCATTTTCCAACTTCAACATCATCCTCGTTCCCGCCTGCTTGCAGGTCCATGTGCGCCTCTGTACAATGAGACCGTCCTCGGTTATCAGTACTTCTTCAGCATAATGGAGCAGCAGCCGAGCATCATGGTTAAGGATGCTGTCGGAGAACAATACACTTTGCAGCTGAAGCTGAAGCTAGTTTCCCACGACTGCACCGATGGCGGGGCCGCCGCTGCCATGGAGTCGTTAATCCACGGCACGCCGCCCAACCCCACTACCGGCGACCCTGGGTCCCCGCCGGTCCACCTGCTGCTAGGTGGAAACGGGATCAACGCCTTGCAGGACTCCATGCAGGCCAACAATGCTTCCAGACTGCTGCTACATTGCTGCACTGCACGCGACTCCGTTTTTGAACTGGATCTACAACATGTGTACGGACTCTTTACTCCTGCCAGTCTTTATACGGGGCCCATACTACGGACAATGGCGCTTCGAGGCCTCAAACGTATTGCAATTGCCTATTCGGTCGAATCGCCTCTGTTTGTACAGTTATGCGAGGGGGCCCTTCCACAGCTGTCGGCGCTGAGCGGGCTGCGTCCTGGCTTCGGTGCTGCGGTTGCCTTTAACTACTCGGCAGCTGAGGCGGAAGTGCCGGGCTTCTGGGAAGATGCAGGTCAGTGCGGCACATCCTTTGTTGTGGGTTACAGGGTTGCGGTAGGTGCGGTTGTGCTTTGAAATAATGTCGTCAGATGCTACCTGCCTTCCATCTTGCCATACCCTCTGTCCATTCGCCAACCCCTGTTCCCGCATTCCACTGCAGGGGAGCGTGTCGCGCAGGCTGGTGCCGATGTGCTCATTGCCTGTGACGAAATGGAGCGCACGTCTCGGTTGGTTCACAGGCTCCACAACATTGGACACCGGCTGTCCGCAGTCTGGCTGGCATCGTGGGGCAATGTCAGCGACTTCCTTACATACCTCGACGGTTACGGCGAATATGCGATGACAACCGTACAATGGATGCCAAGTCTGCCGTATGCAGACCCCATGTTCGGCTCAGCTGCCGAGTATGCGGCTGCGTTTTCAAAAGCCACGGGCCATGAGGCCTCGTACTTTGGCGCTGCCGCATCGGCAAGCGGCTACGTCTTCTTATCGGCATTGCAGCGTGCAATCAGCTTGTGCGATCTGAGCCGCGTCAGCGATACCAACACCACCGATAGCTTCATGTGGGATGCAGGCGCCTTGTCCTGCTATGACGCTAGCCACCCTTCCCATGTAATGGCAAACACCACCGGAGACGCGGTTTTGAGCTACGTGCTTAGGACCTTGAACATGGAGACGTTCTTCGGCCCCATAGGCTTCAACAGCTACCGCCAGAACATTTTCCACCCGGCTATTGTTGCCCAGGTTTGTGCGCCGCTGCGTTTGCAACTGTGTTTGTGTGGCAGGCCTGGCAAAGCCGTGTCATGTACCCCATGCAGGTCATATCTGGGGAACTGGCGGCGGTGCTGCCCCTGGATGTGGCCGAACGGACACTTGTGATGCCGATACCCGAGCCCGAGCCTCCGAAGAAACGCTGGGTCTCAACTCCAGCCGGAGTAGCACTCATTACGCTCTTCTGCATCTTCGTCACGGTCCTTGCAGTATGCCTTGCGCTTGCGGGCTTTGTGTATGCTGGGCGGCGGCTGCCGCACTGGAGCATCACTGCTGCTGTGGAGATCAAACACAGCGACATTAAGGTGCGGAAGCCGGCTGCATGTGGGGTTGTACGCATTTAGCACCAACAGCAATGCACTGTGTGCTGCGTCGCCTGGCAACGGTAGGGAAGACTGGACTGTTGCCCACCAAAGTCTGTGCTTATCGCACGCTTGTGGGCCATCCCCAGCCGCAACCCGTTGCACCTACCTAGCTGTCCCACGGGATGAGGCCCATGCATGGCGCCCATGCACCGCTTCCGCCGCGGCCGCTGCCCCTGGTCTGCTGCAGGTGGACATCGCCCCCGTGCTGAACATGGACGGCACATTCGAGCCGGGCGAGGGGGTGTACCGGGGCACGCGGGTGAAGCTCGTGGTGGCCACGGAGCTGCTGCCGGCTGCAGCACCGCGATCGCTTCGCATGCCTCTAACGGTAGGTGTGGTGCGCTGGCCTTTAGCTCTTTAGCTCTAGTAAGGTACTGGTACATGGGCTGAGCCCAAGAGTTCTCTGCCCCGGTAAGTACAGAACGGGCCACCACTGGACTTGCTTGATGAGTGTCAGTCTAACCGGTCTCGGCTGCCTCTTGCCATGTGCCCGTGCAGGGGCATTGCTCAGCAGTTGCACTGGAAGACAGGCAAGTGCGAGCTGCCGCCATTGTTCGATGTTGCCGCTGGTGTCACAAGTGGTCGCACAAGCCCACAGCCCCTCACCTGTTTGGACCATAACCGCAGGTCCGCTAGGCCATCCCGTTGTGGTGATGTGGTTGAGGGAGCTGCTCTACCCGCACTACCCTCGACACAAATGTCCACGCAAGGGAATTTGGAGGGTCAGGCTTCTGTGAAGAACCTTCTACGCAATCAGTCTAGTGAACTCCCGACAACATCGTATGGTTACCCAGCTTCTTACGCCTTAGCTACCTCAGCTCAGCCTTGCTCACCTACTGGCCGTAGCGCCATGCGCAAGCGGCGGCAGCTCTCAGGTACGCCAGTTTTGCTCGCCTGTATGGAAGATCTGTTGTGTACAGTCCTGTTTGGTAAGACCAGCGTCACTGGTTGCGAGCAGCTTTCGGTAGCAGCTCCCTCATGCGTGACTCGCTTCCTAATTGTCCCCGCAGCTACCGTGTGGCGCGCCATGCGGCTTCAGCACCCCCGCATCTGCCCCATCCTTGGCATCGTCTGGAACTGGCCGGATCTGTTGGAGGGGGGCGGAGTGGTGCCAGTGATTGTTCGTCAGTGGTACGAGTTTGACAGCCTGGACCGGCTCCTGGAGAACGAGACGGTGCCCCTGCCGCTCATGACCAAGGCCAACATCGCGCAGGGGGTCGCGGAGGCGCTGGCGTACCTACATGCGCAGGTGGGTTTCATGGTTCGGGTCTGGCAAACCATGGCTAAGGGGCTGGCAAGCTTGGTTTGGGCATGTTTATCCAAGGTTAGGGGTCATACGGAGTATCACAAGGATCATGCCGCGACCAATGCTTGTTGCATGGTGCGCTGCAACCGGAACGTATAGCCAGTCTGCAACACACGCCTTCTTCCCACGTTTCCAGGAGCCTCCCATCGTGGCGGGCCCCATTGATGCGTCACGGGTCATCATTGACAAGAACTTTAACCCGCACTACTTCACGCGAGTCACCAGTCTGGATCCGGCCTACACTACTGTGGAGCCCTTCGGATCGCCTGCACGAGGAAAGTCCCGCAGTCTTGCGGGCCCCAGCAAAAGCTCTGCAATGCAGCCGCCCGTATTCGGACGAGTCTCCGGCTCACAGCTTCCGAACATGAGCAGGGTATCCGGAAGCCAGCTCCCTGCCCTTGCCAAGACTTCTGCATCGCAGACAGCCCCTCAGCAGCTCGGTTCACAGCCGCCACAGCAGCAGGCCCCCGTGCCAATCCCACCCGTGGCCGACCGGCCTTCGCCTGCTATCCTTCCTACTCTCTGGCCACGAACACCACTGGACGAGGCGCGTATCGATAAGCTGCTTGATGGGGCCGGTACAAATGGCGCGCTGCGCGTCAGCCCCGGCAGTACTACGGGCCCTGCTGGGCCGTACACACGGGCAGGCACTGGCCTCGGCAGCGGCATCTCCACTGGCCCGGCAGTCGCCATCACGGTCCAGTACTTGCCAAGCAAGGAGCAAGACGCGTATGAGTTTGGAATCCTGCTGTGTCGCATGTTTTCGTCAGCGCTGACGGCGGACCTGTCCAGGCGGCGCCTTCTCTCTTCGGGCCAGGTACTCGGAGCCGTGGAGGGCGAGGTTGGCAGCTCGGCAGCGGTTCCGCTGTCCCTGCAGCAGCCCTTTGAGGAGGAGCAGGTGGCTAACGCCCTTGTCGAGCTGATGGACATGTGCCCTCCCTTGGGCGAGCTGGCTGAAGCGTGCATGCAGCGGGACTGCCAGCTCACATTCACCGACATCCTGAGGGCATTGGAGCAATGCGTCATGCCTGCGTTGACGGAGAGTGCCTCTGTCATTCACGCCGGCAAGCGCACGCTTGGCGGGCTCCTGACGCCAACCCGGAAGCCAGGACTGGATCCTTTGTCGTCCATTAGGCCCGTCGCGCCCGGCTCTCGTGCCTGCGCGTCATGTGATATTGACGCACGGTGCCCGACAGGGAAGGTCTTGAAGCTGGAAGTGGAGGGCAGAAGCGCATCGTGCACCAAGCAGGACAACCTGCGCAGGTAGGTTTGGAAGGGGTGCATTAGCCCCACGGCGTTCGGGGAGTGCTTAGAGCTGTTCATGTCGTTAATGGAGGTTTCATGGGCCATAGAAGACGCCCTTGCATGTCCGTCGATGATTGCCCGGGATGGAATAGCGTCAAACAAAGTACTGGACGCTGCCGTGCTTTGCAATGCTCAGTAGAACCTGATCCCTTGCATTGTGCTCCTCGCAGCTCCGGAATTCCGACCCTCATCCGCACCACTGTGATGCAAGACGACCTCCTGTACGACATCTTTCCGCCGAAGGTATGTCATGAACCCGTACGCCTTACATGATCCTTTTTGGAAGTGGCTGTGCCGTTCATTGGGTGCACTGGGCGCCATGCGCCACAGCTACAATGGTCTTCTGCATCTTGCAAGGATAGATAACGAATGCTGTCAGTTCAGTTGGTGTTTCGTGCCACTTGGTTTCAGCTGGACGTCCTCCCATGTTCTCAGGTTGCCCGAGCGCTGCAAGCCGGCGAGGCGGTGCAGCCGGAGCGTTACGACTGCGTGTCTATCTTCTTCTCGGACGTGGTGGGTTGGCTGCCCGTCCCACATATGCGTTGCTCTGATTTGCTCCGTAACGGCTTCGTGCGGTTGCGGGTGGCTAGGTAGACTCCTACCTTCACTGCGGGGGCCCCAATTCCTGCCAGCAGCCCTATCCAGCCGCGGTGCCCTGTCCGCTGCCTGCTGCCGCAGGTTGGCTACACGGACCTGTGCGGGCAGCTGCAGCCCGGCGAGGTGATGGACCTGGTGCACCGCCTCTACTCGAGCTTCGACGACCTGATCCGCAGCCTCAGGCTGTTCAAGGTGAGGGGCGCTGGGCGCATGGAGCGATAAAGCGGGGAGGAGCGAATGGGGCAGTGGAGCCAATTGCTCAGCCAACTATAACTCCTATAGTCCATATCTGCTCTCCCTCACGTTGCTCTTCTGCTGTCGCCGCAGGTTGAGACGGTGGGCGACGCCTACTTGGCCGTTGGCAACCTGCGCTGGCCCCAGCCCGACTCCCACGCACGCCTGATGACCCAGTTTGCCTTCGCCGCCATCCGCGCCGCCAACTCGCTTCCGGTGCACCCGGAGCGGCCCGAGCTGGGCTGCGTGCACATCCGTGTGGGGCTGCACTGCGGCCCCGTGGTGGGCAGTGTGGTGGGCACCCTCAACCGGCGGTACTGCCTGTTCGGGGACGCGGTCAACACCGCTGCGCGCATGGAGCACAACAGCAAGGCGGACCGGGTGCACTGCAGCGCGGCCTTTGCAGCACTGCTGCAGGAGCAGTGGCCCGTGGGTGCCCAGGTCACGAGCCGGGGAGTCAGGCCCATCAAGGGAAAAGGGTGAGGAAGGGGTGGCGGGAAGGAACAGGGGATCACTCGCCTATCTGCAGCATACGAAGGAATGAGGAGTGACCCATGGGTCTTATAGCCGTTATAGGACGCCTGCACTGAGGCCTGCCCACTTATGACGCCATGATGGTACCCGGTATTTCCCCAGGCCCATGGAGACGTTTTGGGTGGAGGAGCGCTACCCCGAGGGGGACACGAGCAGGGCTGTGAGGACAGAAGCTGATCTGGATGCTTCAAGGCTGCGCAACGCGTCTGTTTGCAGCGGCTCCACGGCTGCCGCTGCACCACTCGACTTCCTAGCAACATGCTAAAGACCAAGTACTTGGATGGGCCCCTCAAAAACAAACACAACAAGGAGAACCGCATGTCTTTCCCCGCCTTTAAACCTGCGTCCTAGATGCGTCTTAGCTGTGTTTTGTTTGTGTGTTCAAGTCGCCGCTTACATGTGAAAGCGGTGCATCTATGCTGTGATGACCAAGATTGTGCTAGCAGGGGTACCGGCAATGAAGCGAGCGAGGGATAGGCTGGAGCGAGCCTTGTGTCACGTGCCCGAACCCCAAGAGCATGTTGGCGCAAGGTGGCGAATGTCCATGACTATAGACCCCCATAATGGTGTGCAGGCGGTATTCGCGTCCGCAGTAAGGGGTTGCATGAGGCGGTGTTGAGGGGACATGTGCTACCTCGCGTTCCGTTAGGCAGCATGCACGGAGATGATCCGTCTCAAAGGTAAGGTCAAAGGGCGGGATGAATGGCTATTACAATGGCTGGATGACTGATGCCTTCTTTTGCGCTTTCTAAATTGTCCGTCTGCGCGTTGCATGGAACAATCTACGTGCGCTGAAATGCATAAGTATTTTGCTTTACATGATAAGATAATATGTTCCGCTTGCGGTTTATGTACAGCATGAATGTGATTCTTTCGTTAATTGGCGCGCATGTAGCTACTTCATATCGCCGTAGCATCCTGGCTGGCTACGGCTCGGGGTGGTCACCGGTCACAGTTTTCCTTGTCCTGCCCGCAGTCTTGCTGTGGGTATTCTGGAATTGTGGTATTGTTCTTGTGAGGGTCGTGTTAGCCTTTGTCATTCTTGCGCACGGGAGCTGGCATACATTAAGACCTGTGAAAGCAAGAGCTTAGGTATGGTGGCCTTATAGGCACGAGGGCCGGAAGGGCAGCGTTTTCGTATACAGGGCAGTTGGATTTTGTTAGGTTTTGTGGATGTCGGTTTCCGCAAATGTTGGTTGGCCGTGGTTGACATGTCGATAGAAATACGTAAATTTCCAGGTCCTTTGCTTACAACTCGTTGAGAGCAGATGGAACCGTTGATGGAACCATCCATTCAAGCGAAGGTTGGGGATTAGGCCAGTCGCACTGTAGCTGACTGTAGGTGGGATTTGCAACATCCTAACAGCCACCCCAGGGCCTAGGTGTCACCACCGGTGCCAACCTGCGCAACTCGGTGATGCACGCATCCAACAACCAACGCGTCAAACCAAAAAGGCACAAGCAATTTTCGCTCAAGCCCATGGCTCTTGGCATGGATGGCCTTTACCGTTTTCCCTAGACAATGAACCCAACCACCCGTTTGAGCACCGTGCCGTACAAACCACTGCGGTAGCAGTCAAAGCGGCTCACTCCTGCAATAACCTTGCAAAGTATGTTCGGCGTCCCTCTCCCGCCTGCAAGCCGTACGAAGAGAAAGATGCTAAACATGTACATGGCCTTCTAACACGCTCACAACTCAAACCAAATTTGCTACGCTACAGTACAAAGACTAGATGGTCCTTTTAATACAACGCACGGACCTCACGCCTAAGGCCGACGCTGTGGCTAGTCGCAAGTCAGGTTACGCATCGCCACCGGATTGCTACACGATTGGGCGACAGTACCGGTACCGGTAATGGTGCTCGAAAGCAAAACGATGCAGTAGCTGCTTTCATAATAAGACCTCATTAATGTAAGCAATATTCGCATGGATTGTCGCGTGCGTGGTGTCTGCTGTGCATAGCATACATGTACGACAAAGCGCATCGCAGCCTCTTTTGCAAGCTTTTTGATGCATTGGGTCGGCTAGTAATGGGAGGTATATAATAATATCTAACAACACGAAAGCATCCAGTTGCATCCTTTCAGTAACAACCGGGTCACGCGCGAGAAGGACGACGGCAGACATTGGCAGCTTGCGACGCCTGACCTCTACCCAGTCTAAACATGTTACTTTTATGCAAGCGTCTCTAGCCATCCTCCGCCTGCAATCGCCGCAGTTGGAGGAGCGCGGGACGAGTCGTCACTTATCATTTACGCCCGAGCGAATGGCCTCAAGCATCGCATCAGCCGCATCAAGACGCGCGTGCAGCTGTTAACCTAATATAAAGCTATGTTGCCAAGGTCAAAGCAGTTACGCGCCTCGGACCCACATGACGCTCTTGCGCAAAAGCGAGCTCGCGCGAACCCTACCCCAGACGACGATGACGACGCGGCAGATGCGGAATGGGACGAAGAGCCGACAATTGTAAGGATGCACCAATGAACACCATGACTGCAGTCTCACTGATGCCTTTCTCACTATCGAGTTATGACACCACCGCTGGCGCGCTGGGCCACCAAACCCTTCCTGCCCAGGACAAGTTAGAGGCGGGGGAGCACTATCTGGTGGACTTGCAAGGCGAGCCTTACCCCACTGGAGTAGTTCAGGTACGACTCAGTGCACGACTGGCCTGAGAAAGTCCGTACCGTACCGCGCTGCTATCACGCATGTAGCTATTTCTGAAATCGCACCGTACCACCTGATGTCGGGTCCGCCGCAAGGGAACAATGCAGCTAAGTGGGAGATACTCTTTGCTGCCGGCCTAAAGCACTGCATGTACCGTACAATGTCACTAGCGTACATTTGTTGCCTGCTGGTATCTGTGCCCACAACGCTGCTCTGTCCTCTTATGCCGGCTAACCGTGAACCCCACCCTGCCTCTCACCTGCCTTCGGATGTCGGTGTGCGCGTGCTAAACCATGCACAGCTGCTCAGCAAGGACCTCGCCAAGGACCCGGTGAGCGGCATGGGAAGCGCGACCGCCTAAGTTCTGACGACGACGGTCTTGCTGCGCTGGGTTGCAGCAACACTTACTGTAGTGGTGGGATCGCTGCTATCCGCGAGTGCAATATGCTACCCTTTTCGGCGCTGCATGCACCTTCATGCGAGAAATGCGGCCCTGGCCCCTATCGCTCATCCCAGGTTGACTCACTTTGCAGGACCAGCCACACTTGCGGTCAAAAAGGGAGGACGCTGTGCTGAAGTGTCAATGGTACCTGCGGATTGGCGACACGGCACTTGGCCAGGCGCATGTCCGGGAGGCGCAGCGGTGGGTGGGTGGGTGTGCCGCATGTGCCAGGCGCGACTTATTTTACATGTGAAAGGGATACACCAGCATGGCTTGCATACATGCACGGCAATCCATGCACGCCCCCCCCTGCGTCCGGTGTGGTCTCCTATGGTTCGGTATGGTCCTCGCCCCCCCGCATCGGGTGCCTGCGTGCGTGTGTCATGGCACTTCCGCAGTCAGGGTTCGGGTGAAGCACGGTGTGTGTTGCAGCTACCTCCTCTTTCCCCCTATAACCTCACTGCCCCTGCACCGCTGGTGCAATTCTCGAGTCTCGGCTGTTGCCGCCCGCTGCCCTTGCTCCCTGCGGTGGTTACTACCGCTATGTGGCGGCAGGGACACCAACCGTGATGCTGGCGGCTGCAGGACCACCGTGAGGGACGCGCCGCCTGGTGCGGAGCAGCCAGTCAACCTGCTGTGGCTGTGCAGGGACAACTGTTGGGGCTCGCTGAAGCGCTCGCATATCATCCGGTGCGCGATAGCTGGGCTTACCGGCGTTATCGCTTATGAGTATGGGTACACTATAGCTGCTGGCGAGGGAGTGAAGGACATGGAAGCTGAGGGGCGGGGACCAGTTTCCAGTGAAATGTCATAGCCCGGTTGTAAGCCGCTAGGCTCGTTCCTGCATGGCAACCAAACGCACTGGAAACTCTTGGTCTTAAGCCCTGCGCGCAACCTCCTCTTCTGCCCACCACCACCACTATCGCAGCCGTGTGGAGGTCCGCAGGCTTCGTCCCGGTGACCCAGTCCCCCCGGTTGAGAAGGACGTGTACTACGTGCAGCAGTCGTACAGCAAACGCTTTAAGGTACGGCAGAGGTACAATCTCAGAGTTAGGTACGGCAGAGGCAAAGTTCCAAAGTCCACCCTGGCTCACGGAGCAAAGTAGATTGGAAGCTGTAATATTCATGGCTTTCTCCCCGAACTAGGGTCCTGTTGGTGCTTTATCCCTTAGCCGTGGCAGCCTTGCCGATCTGCAGTTCATGCACCCTCAGCCCTACCGCAACCCTACCGCAGCCTACAGCCCATGTCCCTGCCCGTCAATGCCCTGCATGCAGGAGTTTTCAGACCTGCCTAGTGCCCCCCACGCATCAGCCGCGCCCCAGCCCGCCCCCACCTCCGCCGCCTCCGCCTCCTGCAGCCGCTGCACCGCCGTCAGCGCCACCCTCCGCCCCGCCTCCTCGCACCCAGCAGCCTCCCCACCGCCCCCGCCACCCATCCCAGGCTCCGCTGTACCGGTGGCCCTAGTACCTCCGCCGGGTAGCAGCAGCGGTGGCAGCGGAAGCAGCACCCGTGGTAGGGACCGAGCCGCAAGCGAACAGAGCCCACCGTCACCACAGCATCAACAGCAGTCACAGCAACGGTGTCATGCACCTCGGCCGCCTCCAACACCGCTGCCGCCGCTGCTGCCACCGCCGCAGAAGCAGCAGCAACCGCCACCGCAGCCATCAGTTCCCCGTCAGCGCAGCCCCCGCCTGCTGCCTCCCGAGTTGCGGTACCCGGGGGACATCCGCCCGGAAGATGGGCCCCACTTGCGCAGTGAGGTTAGGATGGTGCCCTTCCTCACGCCGCGTGGCACCCCGCCGCCTGCGGCTGCCGGGGCTCGAGGCGACAACCCCAAGCTGAGGTATCGGGGTGAGGACGGCAGGGCTAAGAAGGTATTGCACATCTTCTGCGGCATGGGAGGTTTATGCATGGCGTCTGGGCGAGAGCCAAGCGGAGCAGGCGGCGGCGGCGGAGGAGGAGGAGAAGGAGAAGGAGAAGGAGGAGGGAGTGGAGGTGACCGCGTGGGGACGGGCCCCGCGGTTGCGGATGGTCCCGAGCTTGTGGACGCATGGGCCGTGGACTTGGACGACAGCGCGGCGCTGACCATGTGCGCTAACAACCGCGGCACGGTGACCTACCGCTGCAGGGTGGACGAGTTCCACCAGCTGGTGCTGAGGTCGGTGCATGCAGGGGGCTGGGTGTGAAGGGCCCTTTGTGTGACCACCAGGGCTTTCTTGTTTCACCAGGTGTCTGATGAGATGTCGCGAGCACCGGTACACGAGGGGTGCGTGTTTGTGGCACGCCAACAGCAGTGGTATGTGTCGTGTGTGGATTGCTGGCAAGTTGCCTCCGGGTCCCCAGGGACCAAGCGAGCAGGGGCACGCACAATGCATTGCCGACACACTTTTGCCACGTCCGCAACCCTGCTGGCTCCCACTCGCCTCACCCGCGTTACATGCTGCCGTACCCTCCCTCCTGGGCCACACCCCACAACCTCTTCCTCCCAGGTACAACCTCCTGTGCGACCTGCTGGAGCTGCCTCGCAGCAATCCGCGCACCAGCAACAGGAGCCCCGCGGAGGACCCTGCCGCAGACCCTCAGGTTGTGACTCCTGTTGCTGTTCCCTCTGACATGGGCACCTGCACCAGTGGATGTGGCGGTACTGCTGTTGCTGCTGCAGACGGCGGCAACGACGGCGGTGGCAGCGGCAGTGGCAGCGGTGGCGGCATCATCAACGTGGCCGCCATGCGTCTTGGGTGCCGGGGAAAGTATGACAAGAGCAAACGAAATCTCCGGCGATTTGAGAAGCGGCAGCTGCGGCGGCCCCTGAACTGCAAGACCTGCTGGCTGGAGGTGCTGGTGGAGGGGTGGGTGGACCGCCAAGGGGGGGCAGCATGGGGCGCATGGGCGTTGGTCCCCGGCGGGCATCATGTAGCGTTTCTTCGTCTGTTCTGTCACTTCTATGGCATCTTACAGTGGTTTGTCGCTGATCCTGTTGGGTAGGGCAACAAAGATATCGTCGTAACCGCAGCCTAACCAGCATTCTGCTGACTGCTGCCACTGCTACCCTTCCACAGGGACGGAGGGGCCGAGTGGAGTCAGCTGGAGCAGCGCTGGCGACGTAAGGAACGCCGCCCCGCTGCTGGCAGCCCCGGGGGCAATGAGGCTGGCGGCGGCGATGCCACCCCTTCTGGCCCCGCAGCGGTCCCCGCACCCCCCCTTTGGCTCCCTGTGTGTGTGCTGCTGGAGGGGCCGCATGCGCATCCGGCGCACAGGCAACAGCTGTACGACTTCCTGGCTGTGGTGCAGGTGGGACGTCAACGGTAGCGCCCGGGGCATGTGGGCAGCTTGGGTTACGACTGGCACCTTGTGCTCTTACCTCGCAGCACCACATCAGCCAGTAACCATGCACCACTTACTCCATATGTTCCTGCATTTGTATTGCAATACCGAACACGTCCGCACAACCTGATGTTTTGTTCGTTGGGACAGGAGGAGGAGTTGCTGCCGCGTCGTGGTGACGTGTTCATGGTCACGATGGGGCCGCCCTGTCAACAGGTGAGTAATGCCTCATGCCCGTGTGTACCCATCTACTGAGTAAGGTGCACGACATTGCAGCGCATCGCATGTACCGGTGCATACCCACCTTGGCTGCTCACCGCACTTGGCTGCTCAACAGACAAAGGCGAAGCGGCTGCTCATCCTTTGTTGTCACTGCACGGTAGTTCTTAACGGCTGCGACACTCCACGCTAGGTTTTGCACCCTTTGGCTGCTCCTTCCAACTAATTACCTACCCTACTGTGCTCCAACCGCCCCAACCACCTCTGCGTCCGCAGCTGTCGAACAGCAACCACCACGCCCCCCGGAATCACATCATGTCGGACAGCAAGAACCGGCTGGCGGTGCCGGGGCTGGGGGTGGTGGAGGTGCAGAGGCCGCCGCATGTGCTCGTGGAGCAGGTGGGGACCCGTGGGGCTGCATGGGGGTGCATGGGCGTGCATGGGCTGTATTTCTGCATGGGGCTGCATGGGCTGTGTTTCTGCATGGGGTTGTTGGGCTGCTGTGTCGAGCAGGTGCCCGGTGCCCGGGCGGGGGTTGTGTCGCGGCATGAAGGAATTCCCCCGCCGCGGGCACGGGCCGGCACAGGCTGGGGGCAGCCTGGCTATCGCTTCTGCGGTATATGCGGGTCGCCCGGGGCAGTACAGGTCCTGTGTATTGTCGTATTGTCGTATTGTCGTATTGTCGTATTGTCGTTGTGGGTGATAAGCAAAGGCCACATCATGAGTGCGAGTGCGCAATACCGCACATGTCCTCCAGGGTGCTGCTGCTTGGTACACGGCCGCTGTCTGCTAGTGGCCGCCTCACCCGTTACAGTTGTAGTGGCTTAAGCGCCTGCATGTATGCTGGAGATACGACCTAATCGCGGTTGTTGCGGCTTCACAGGTGACGGCAGGCGCTTGGAAGGATGGGGCGGTGTGGACTCGGACGGTGCAGGGGCGGCTGTCCAAGCTGGGCTACCAAAACAAGCTGGCTGTTGTGGCAGCAGGTGAGACACATGAAGGTGACGGAATGGGGATTTAACGGTCATAGTTTGGCCAAATTGAGTCCGGCTATTAACCATGTAGGGGTACGCGGCGTCTTGGGTGCTGAAAGCGTAAGGCCTGACCCATGGGTCTGTGGGGTTTCCGCTGGTTATGTTAACGCAGAGCCACCGGAAACGTCCAACTAGTAGTGCCCTCCTTCTAGGCTACCAGCCCGATGCTAGGCAAGTGCCCATGGCTCCGCGAACCGTACTAATTCATACCACCCACAATCTTATCGGCTGCTCTCAACCTATCGCCAAGCAAGCAAATGTCTCCAAACGCCTTGTCCACCAGCCTGCTTGGCGTTGCCCCGCCACTTTACATGCAATCGCAGGTGACCACGGTGCAGCCCAGGTAAGCAAGTTGGGCGCTGATGGTGGTGGCGGATGTGCGGGTGCAAGCAGCCCACCCGGCGCTAGCTACCAACGTACGCCCCGTGCCCGACATGTCTTGCATCATGCAGTAAAATGAAGCAACACGGCACCAACGGCACCAACGGCCCCAACGGCAACCGTTTCACTACTTCACTTCTTCACTTCATTACTTGATTGCCGTTGAGGTGCTGATGGCTGCGTTCAATCACACGCTGTTCATTCAGGACCGCCAGCGCCTCTTCATTGCGGGGGCAGACACGGGTCGCCAGCCCATGGCTGTGCCCCTTCCCACGCACCGGCACAAGCACAGACTCAAACACAAGTAAGATGGGGCCCTGGCCGGGACTGGGGATTGGCCAGTTGAGAACGGCCACAGGTACAGCGGGGTATAACAATGAGGCTTCATGCTTATCCCGTGATGTCCTTCTCCTCGTCTTGATGCGTCTGTGTGACCCAGGTGTTTCGGAGTGGAGTGTAACAGACCTTTTGCCGAGCGAACGCACATTCCCACAGAGCCGATCGCGCTCCTCAACACCCTCCCACCCTCCCTCCAGATCCCTGCAGGACTGTCGGCCCACCCTCCCCGAAGGCCACCCTCCGCTGCTGCCGCCCAGCCGCTGCGGGGATGCGTTGGCGGGGCTGAGTGCGACCGGGAACTACGCCATGAGCACTCTGGGACTGGCAAGGTGCATGTGCCGTGTGGGGCCCTACGTGCTGTTGAGTGGAATGACCTGCTTTGGCTGATTGGTTGGTTGAGGCTAAGTTTGGGACGAAGTTAGTCCCATGGTTGTGGACTCGCCAGCACACCGCACGTTTTGCTTTGAAGGCTCTTCATCCACCCCCCACCGAGCCTTGCAAAACTCTCTTCATGCCCCCTCTCTTCCCCGGCTGTCGCCCTATCAGCAGCGGTACCAGCAACGGCAACGGTAGTGACGGTAACGGGACCAGCGGCAGCGGCGCCAGAGGAGGCAGCGGCGGCGACGCCAGCGGCGTCAGCGGCGGCAACGACAGCAGCGACAGCAGCATGCTCCAGCACGTGCTAGCTTCCGCAAATCCGCCCCCGGGCACAACCAGCCGAGAAGTACGGCTGGCAGTTGCGTACGCCTTCACCGCGATCAGCAACGCTTGCCTGGCCCGCGCCGTCCTGGGCTTGTACGAACTCGAGTACGAATACCAGCTACGGCGGTGCTGCGGTGACGTCCAACGGCGCACGCGCGGCACGGCGCGGGATCTGGGGGAGATCGAGGCGGAGGAGGCGGCGGCAGCGGGGCTCACGGCGGCAGCGGGGGCCTCAGAAGCAGCGACGGCGGGCGTGGTTGACGTCGGCGGCAGCGACGGTGATGCCGACATTGAAGTGGTCCGGAACGGAGGTGCCGGGCGGCGGCAGGATGCAGCAGGCCGTGAGGGCCATGCAGGCAGTGCTCCTGGTGCCCGCCGTACGGGCGGCGGCGATGTCGCGGGTTGCAGCACTGCGAAGGATGCGGAGCAGGGGGAGGCGGGCAGGCGCGTGGCTCACCATCATGCGCTGGTGAGGCTCTGCTAGGAGCACCCTGCAGCTGTCCCTTGCGGCTGTCTGCGGCACAACCGTAGAACCCACCCTCGTAGGACACAAGAACCCGCACCAAATCACCGCAGGGTGAAAGCGCGAATCACCATGCAAACGGCTTTAACATTTTCAACGATTGACACACTCTGGGTTCTGTTGGGTTGGCTCTTGTTACCATGGCTGGACTCCACAGGCGGCGTTGGGTGAGGCGTTGAGCGGAGGCAAGAAGCTCGGCGAGGCAGCCACGGTAATTGCACCCGCGCGTTGGGTACAATGTTTCCAGCCCCCCCTGATGCCGGAGGATGTTCCAATTTAGGTTCTAACGGTGCGCACGAGGCGGAACGCAGCAGTGGTTATACTGACCGGCGCCTAGTTCACACAAAACCGCCGAACCCTCTGACGTCGTGGCTGCCCTGCCTTGCGCTGTCTGCCTCGCAGGGACGGATATACGCGCAAGGAAGAGGTCGGCAAAAGCAGCGCCAGTCGTGTACGAGCAAGAAGCTGGCGGCCAGTCGAGAGGTTGGAACGCAGGTGCGGGCATGGCAGGAGACATCCCCAAGCTCCTTCACTCTCAGCACCCATGCACAATGCTGCCAGGAAGGGAACTTATACGCCGACTTCCCTGCGACTCCTCTCCTTTCCTGTAAGCCTGTGTTAAGCGACATCCAAGGCATCCCAAATTTGTGCCCTTCCTTTCTGGCCACAGCTATTGCAAGCTGCTCAGAAGGCGGTTGAGGAGTTTACAAAGGTGTACGACACCTTCCGTAAGGCCCTGCAGGCCGAACTGCGGCTAGCCAGGGGAGAGGACGAGCCCCAGCCCAAGCCTGAGCCCGAGCAGGCGGCTGCAGCAGATCCCGGCCCCTCGACTAGGGGGCCTGGCTCGCGCCCTGAGTGCTCCCATAATGGTGGGTCCAACATGCCATGCGGTGTTGCTGGTGACGGAGGCGGCGGCGGCAGCGTTGGTTGTGGCGGTGGTGGCAGCGGGGGCAGCGGCGGGGGCAGAGGAGGAGGCTGTGTGTTCGTGGCAAACCACGCCGCGGTGCCGCATAGCCCGGCTGACGTTCAGCGCATCGCCCGCATTCCAGAAGCGGGCAGCAGGAACGTTCGGCTGGTTGAAGACCCAGGTGAGGTCCGTGACAGTGCAATGTACGGATTGGGCAGGGCAAGGGAACGATGGCGGGTTTGGTTGCCTTGGGCTTTACTTTGCGCAGAGCCTGCGCGAAGGACTCTTTCGAGTACGACAAAAAAGGCTCGCCCTGGGCTTACAGCCTTTGACCGGACTGGCTGGAACTAGTGGATATTACTCGATTGCCAGCCAGCACCAACGAGTGTGTGAACCGCTCGCAGGTGCGCTCGAGGCGCTGCTTCCCGGCGGCGAGCCGGTGATCCCCCCCGGACACATGTGAGTGCCGTACCGACAGCACTCGCTGGTCGAAACCGCGCTGGATGAATGACCGTTACCGTTATGCTGTTTTGTATCACGGTATGCAGCCTCCTATGCTCCGCCGTACTGGAAGTTGCGCTTCCTGTGCACACACTACGCGCCCTACTGCATATTGAACTGACGTTGGTGGTCACGTGGCCAGCAAGGGCACGGCATGAATGAGTGACGGTCTGCAGTCGTTGCCAAGGAAGTGAAAGTTACGCCGGGCAAGCCCTGGCGTGTATTAAGCGGGTGCGGCATTGAGAGTTGACCTCACCTGGAAGCCAGCACCGCCGTTGTTCCCAACAATGTTACGCACGGGGGCCACAGGGGGAGCGCTGCCAAGCTGGCCAGCGTGCATGCTCATTCGATGCCCATATTGCCTGCGTTGCCCCCACCCCCACGCCTAACCCTGACCCATCCATGGCAGCCGGGCACAAGGGGACAGGAGGCAGAGAACCCGGGGCCAGGTTGAGGGCTACACCCGGCTCGGACGCAACCGCGTGCTGGGAGTCATCGACAGCTGCCCCCGAGCCGCATACCGTCGCATCGTGCACTGGCGCCAGAACCGCACCCTAGCAGTGCGGGAGCTCATGCGCATGCACGTAAGCTGGGAGGTTGGGTCCGATGGGGAAGGCATGCGTGGCTCGTTTGGATGGTTGAAGGAGGTGTTCGAAGTGCGGTGAGGGAACAAGGCATAGCCTCCGTGGTTTCCGGGGCTGCGGATTGCTGGGTTATGCTGCGGTTGGGTCATTAGACGGTCCAGTACCTGCTAAGCTACTCGCAAATCCCTCCCCATCTACTCCCATCCACAGTTCTAAACCACTGCGGTAACCCAACACCTCCAACCTTCAATACTCCTCTCAATAACCATCCAGCCCCCACGGCCCCACCCCCATCCATGCACAGGGCAGCCCCGACTACTACGTCATTTGCTCAGCGGCTGCAGCTACGGCAGGCGTACGGCTGGCCTCACTGCCCGGCGGCATCCTGCCGTACCACCTGGTCATTGAAATGGCGCTCGAGGACCTGGAGGCGGCCCGGCAGGTGTGGGCGGGGGAACCCGACGCAGACTACGCAGAGCTGCTGCTGCCGCGGCGCCGCCCGGCCAGCAGGCCAGCGGCGAGGGCACGTCACTCGCCTGCAGGTGCCAAGAAGAAGGCTGAGGCGGTGGTGAGGAGGGCTTGGCAGGCGGTGCGTGATCAGCGGGCGGAGGAGCAGCGGCTGCTTGCGGACAGCGTGTCGCCGCTGGTGGCGGGTGCATGGGCGGGAGAGCTGCGGCAGGCGACGGCGGGGGTGAAGGTGCAGGTGCGGGACGGCGGTGTGGCGGGGCAGGGTCGGGTGCGCAGTGCGGTGTGGGAGGCGGCGGCGCAGGCGTGCGGAGGTGGAAGGCGGCGTGGGGGTGAGGAGGTGGACCTGGTGGGTGACGAGGAGGAGGAGGAGAGTGAGGGTGAGGAGGGTGAGGAGGAACTCGAAGACGAATGGGAGGTGGATTCCGGGGTGGAGGGGCAGGAGGAGCAGGAGGACTTTTCTGGAGATGAGGAGGAGGCGCCAGCGCACGATGGTACGGAGGGGCGTGAGGTTGACATGATCGACCTCGTCAGTGAGGAGGAAGAGGAGGAAGAGGAGGAGGAGGTCGACCTCGTCAGTGAGGAGGAGTAGCTGGCAGCGATAATTTTTTGAGTAATACATTACTTTTTGGGTAATAAATAAATCCCTTGCTCGTGGGGGAAAGTAATAAGAAAATCACAAGCAACGAGGGCGCACGGTACGGCTATTACTCGGGGCCGAAGGCCCCGAGCCAAGAGTGTAGGGGCCGAAGGCCCCGAGCCAAGAGTGTAGGGGCCGAAGGCCCCGTATCAGTTATAGTATTGGCGGTACATGAAGCCAGGGCCATGAAGCCTGTCGGCGAGCATTCTCAGGCTGTCAGGCTGGCATCCTTGACCGGGCAGAGTGCTCTACACCAGATGATATGGGCCTTTCTTTTGACGGGGACAAGGATAGTGGAGCCTTCGCGAAGCCACGCTGGAAGCAGCAGCGTGCCGTCAAGGGCCAGAGCAATGGGGAGTGGCGCTGGTATGGGGTATAGTGCTGCCAAACTCAGTCCTAAGGCACGCTGAAATTGGACTACAGGGGGGGGGTCTGGGGGGGGCGGAGCCCCCCCCCAGTGGCAAACGTTTTGGGTAATAACCAAACCTCTGGGGCTGGGATCTTATTACTCCCATAGTAAAAAAATAATCCTCCGGAAAATCGAAAAAAAAATCGCTGGTAGCTGGGCGGGAGTGGGAAATACGACGAGGAGGAGGAGGAGCGGCGGGAAGAGGAGCTTGCATGGGATCTGGATGACCAGAAGGGCGAGAAGAGTGGGAGGCACGCAAGCTTGGTATAAAGCGGTTGCGAGCGGGTCAAGGAGGCTTCTGGCTCTTGGCCTTCGGGGAACTTCGGCCTTCGGGTGTCGGACGGTGTTGGATGGATACCGCGTTCGTGCAGGGGTAGGGTGGAGAGTAGCGGATGGATGCCCCGAGGGGTTGTACTGGACTGCTTATGCTAATGCCAGTCGTTGCTAGGAGAACTAGCCGTGGGATGTCGAAGGCACGGAAGCTTTGTGTGTCTGCTATGACTATGAAGGTGCATGGTGTGTTGTGCTTCAATGGGCGTGTGTGCGCAGGCGGGCGCAGGGAAAGGAGGGCTGCGGACCTTGCATGTCATCCGTCAGGAGCACAGGAAGGCAACTTGCTGAGGCCGAGGCGAGTGTGCCTCCCAGTCTTCACCTTCAAGGACGCTACAGGCGTTTCCACACGGCCAAGGGGTATCATGGCATACACTTGTAAGGACCCATGGGTCAATGTAACAGTGTATAAACTTTGCCGCGCCCATGGTTCTTTCGCCTATGTCCCATGATGGCCAAACCCCACGAGAAGTATATATAACTCCTGATTGAACTCCGTCCCCGCGCCAAGTAACGAGTAGATGCCCTCATGGAGAGCTAGCTTTCGCCCCCAGGCGAATACAGATAGTTCAAGGAAGGGAAAGAGCAATTCACATTGCCTAGTACGAACATCTCAGCCGCCAAGCGACACAACGATTCCAGGAGGTCCCAAAACTCACTTCAAGCATATCGGCTTGCGAAATCACTGCTCTGTTCTGCGGATTCACGAGATGTACAATTGTAAATAACTACATTGTCCCGGTTACTAATCCACCTGCCGTTCGTGTCGTGCACGTTCGCCTGCATCACATGACCTGCTCGCACTTCCTGCTTCCAGCCCACGCCGTGAATGCAACCTGTCAAGCTGTCATGCCCGCGCACATGCATCCCTGCCCCGATCCCGGTCCCTCATCTCTGCTAGGCCTGCAGCTCCACCTGCACCCTATATGAGCCCCTCTTCACATGGGAAGGGGGCACCCCATCCCTTCCCTCGAGTCCCTCCCCTACCACTCCATAACCCCCACAGGCGCCCACTCCCGCATCCCCCAACTCCCCAGCCCTTCACCCACGTCCTCTCCTCCTTCCCACCCACATCCCGAACCCCCATCCAGCCATCCTCCCGTATCTCATCAGTCATCACTGGTTGCCGTCGCCCCCCGCGTCGCCCCCGTCCGCCGCCGCGATGCTGATCACCAGCAGCTCCAGCTGAAGGTAATTGATGCGACCCATGGCGTCCTTGCTCATCGCCCGCTCCAGGGCTAGGAACTCCGCCCGGCTGAGCTCCAACCCCGCGTTGCGTGCCGCGCTCATGAAGCCGCCCGTGGTGATCCAGCCGTCGGGGGAGTGCAGGTGGTAGGCGCGGCAGGCGGAGAGCAGCTCGGAGAGGCGGGGGGCGATGGTGTGCGCCACGGCGTGGAGCTCCTGAGGGAGGGAGAGGGATGAGTGGGGAGGACCGAGATGGGTTGGAGTGGGGCGGGCACTTGGCGTTATGGGGGTTTGCAGCGTCGCTTGAAACTGGGTTTTGGCAGTGGGAGGTGCTTCGGAGGCATCGGACCAGGCCCCGAGTCCACTCCTCTGCCTTGCAGTGCACTCCACCACGAGCCGACCCACATCATCAGTGCACAGGAGGGACCTCTGGTTCAGCCAGATTCGGTCCATCACCCCCACGACACCACCCTTTGCAACAATACTTGCGTGCAGGAACGCGGACGACAGCCAAGGTAAGCCTGTTGCACGTCCACAGCAGGCGCACCAGTCACCCTCCTTTTGCAGCAACGTCACCGTCCTCCCTCCTAACCAGCCCCCCCATCATCATTTCCTGCAACTCACGTCAAGCGCGGGGTCCTCCGTGGGCACGTACTGAGGCTGCGTGAAAAAGGATTTGCGGATGGTTCCAGGCGGCATTTGTGGCCGCTCGAGCGTGTGGTGCGTCGTCATTGCCATCTCCGTATTGCCGCCAGTGTGCACCAGGGACCCGTTCAGAATGCGTCCAACATACTCCTGCATTAGGGGAAGAGAGTTCAGGGGAGAGATGGGCACAGATGGAGCGGTTGGATGGGAGGCCGCTATAATGGCAAGCGTGTCAACATGACGTTCGAAGTTATCCCTCCTAGTTATTGGTCAGATCTTGGAAATACACTGTATGTGGAAGTAACTTTGCAGCACTTACCTTTGGGTGGCTGTAGGAGTGGGTTTGCTCGCTCTTCCACGGAGTTTGCCGGTTTCCCTTATACGTAAATATGCCTTCTTGGTAGTTTGGCAAAGATTGACCCTGCGGTTGTCGTGTAACTTCGTATCCCTGCATCCTCCGCATGGACTCGTCCAGAGGGTTCATCGTGAGGGATATGGTCTGGTTCCCTGTCGTCTCCATTCTTTTACAGTTAAGTCCTTGTAATCGCGCTGCAGGAGTGATTGACTGCTGTGTAACGGCACCTTTCTTTGCAGAGCTTCAGCAATTTCTCAACTTACAACGACGATGACTCTACAAGCATAAGAGGAAGTGGACAAACTGATTCCTTTAACTACTCGGAACAACATGTTGCAAGAGTCGAAGGATTTACGGCATGCGGATGGCCCACCGTTACGCATGCACGTTAACCTTGCGATCCCTGGCACTTGTAACGTCTATGTTACAAACGCCATGTTTGTATCAAATGGTCGGTTAATCGTGCAATTGGCCAGCGTTTGTTGGAGACCCTGCGATGGCCGATGGGTGTTACAATTAGCAAATCACAAGAGGTCGAAGAAGCGTTCCAAGCCCTGGCCGAGTTCCCATACAGAGATTCCCACGCCAGCATCGCGCGCAACCTGCGCAAAGGAAGCCGCACACAAAGAGACTAGTCAGACATGAGCCACTTGACGGAAAACGAATCCCGCACACGCCGCAGCGCAACAGGCGATGTTTGCTTGGACAAGTATGGCAGGCGGGCCAAGAGACACCAGAATCACCTGTAACCTCGCCTCCAAGCTCCGGGGCGTGGGGTACCAAACGTGGTGAACATGGCCCTCCTTGTCCTGCGTATCCGGCAACCATGCACTCCCTTATCAGGGTTATCACGTTACTAGGGTCAGCTTGTACTAGAGGTCTTCCAGCGGCATAACCCCACTAACCGAATGTTATCGTACACACTTCAAATATCTTAAACCACAAAGCCTGCAGCCAACCAACCACCTCGTTGCCCAATCTCAGCCGTCCTCACCTGGTACTGGAACGTGTGCTCCTCCACGCCCTCGTCCCACCTCAGCTCCGGCTGGTGCTTCTGCAGCAGCGGAACGAGGTCGGAGACGGTGACCGCAGCCAGGCCGCCGCGGGAGGGCGCAAAATCCCAACCGTAGAAGTTCGCCCCGAGCAGCACACGCGGGCGCACTGCCTCTGGCAGGGGCGGCTCCTTCGAACGCTCTGCGAAAAGGACACACCCAATCGTACGCTAGTAAAGCGGGAGAAAGGCTTTAGGCGCCGGAAGCTCTACCGGGAGTCACAGCGATATGTCATAGAGGAGACAGCCTGTCCCCGGGCACCAGATGCGGGTGCGCAACGACTGGTGTGTGTCTGCGCGCACAGCTTCCGCGCTCCCAAGCCCACGACGCCCCTTCGCCCTTCTTACTTGGCCCCTTCTCCATGTGCTTTATGTTGGCCTGCAGCCAGGGCAGCGGGCAGTTGGCCCCAGGCCGCCCCGTGGCTGTGTTGTGGTCGTAGGTCATGACCGAGAAGCCGTCAACGTGGGGTGCAAGCTGCGGGGCGGAGGGAGGCAGGCAAGGGAGAAGCACGCGTGAAGGGGAGCAAGACAGTAAAAGAGGTAGGGTGGGATACAGGAGGCGGCGGTCTGAGCAGGCGGGAACGCGGGAGTGGGACCCGTGCACCTCGGAAACAAGCACAGAAGAGGGCGCTGCGTGGTTTGTGGGATGTGGCGAAGATTGCCGTGTGTACCTTTTCTACCTAACGTTGGGCACAGGGTGCCTATTCCCCGACATGGTATTCCGTTCCCAACTTCCATGCCGAATCAAACCAACCCGACCCACATCAAGGAAGTCTTGCCGCGCCAGCCAAGGGCTCTTCTCCGTGGCCGGCAGTAGCGGCGGAACAGCCAAGAAGAACTTCTGCAAGGGCGGAGGAGGCGGCAGGCACCGTCCAGATTCAACGTGAGGAGGTCAGGGTCCAGCCCGCATGGGAGAGGTGCACTTGGACAGAAAGCTGATGCTTGCAGTTACGATGTGGCGGTGGCACGCAGGACAAGAAGAGGCAGGGCTGGAAATGGGATGCATGGACACGCAAGGCACTACAGCAGGGCCCCACCCCAGCCCAGCACCTTGCCGCCGCTGCTGTGCATCGCCTCCGCCAGCCCCGAAACCAGCTGCATGGCAGCCTTCTTGAACATGTCGTTAGACAGACCGTTGAAGGACTGCCAGGCAACCCACGTCTCAAGCACCTGCGTTGCTCGCGCCGTCCCCGGTTTGTCAAGGTTAAGGCGCTCACACGTCATGCCCAGGCGGCGAGCAATTGCACCCATTCTTACACCCTTCTTTGGTTAGCTTCAACCGCAACTGCACCTTACACCCTCGAACAAACGTAACCCAAGCCCTCCTCCCAAGCCCACCTGTAGAGAACTTAACGGTGAATCATCCCGCGCCCCGACCCACCATGCCATCAAAGTTGTTCTCTGTTACCACCTTTCTGACAGCCTCCAGCACCGCACGCGGGTTCTGGACCATCGCCACGTGTTGCGGCACCTCCGCCTCAATCACGAAGCGCGGAACCACCAGCGGACCCCGGCCACCCTGGCAGCAGCAGCAGCGGGCAGCAGTAGCATCATGCAGCAGTAGTGGAAGGTCAGGGGTGCGGGCACAGGTCGCTGCGGCGACGGGAACAGTTACACAGCGCAAAGTGCCAAAACAGGGCCAGTATGGTAACTGACCCCGTAAAAGCCTGAGCCGTTAAGGCCCCCCAAGTAGCTTGCTTAGGTAACCCGGTACCATTGGTGGCCATATGGCAAGCTGCACCATGCATTGCAATGGTATGCCACCCTCTGTGCCCATCGCCAAAGCCGAAGTAAGCCCCAACCTCGCCGCCCAGCCCCACCTCCCGAAGCTCAGAGATCCACGTCTGGTTGATCTCATGGGTGCCCTGCAACCACACCGGCGCAGCAGGTGTTCATTGCAGCGGAAACCGGCCGTGCGTTCCGCAGGGCGGCAAGGGAGGGTGTTTGGGTACAAGTTGCTACTACGATAAACGCGCACTGCATTGCGCACGTTTCGCGCCTATGCGTCTGCGGCAATACCACGGATAAAGCATCCTCGGCTACGCTTCCAAGCCGGGCACCTACGGTGATGGTGGGTGCAGCTTGACCCTCCGGCATCTTAATTTGGAACCACACGGGGGCCACCGCATCCAGCTTGTGACGGAAGGTTACGGCATTCATATATCCACCGCGGTTCCTGCAGTACACAACGCATCAGCCGCGTTGTCGTACGTTGCCCGTCATGTACGGCCCGCATGGCAATAACGAGGTGCCGCGCATATGCGATACCGGTATGCGTAGGAACATGGCATGCCCCAGGTACACGCCAGCGGCCTACCATACGCGAACCGCGCCGAATGCCCCTTACACTTTGCCCCTGGAATACCAAAGCGGCCCCTACTAGCCTTTTTGTGTTTCGGTGGTAGACCGCTTACCAGGGGGTCACGTAGCCAAGGACAAAGCCCTTAAAGCGCCGTACAGTTGTGTCGTCGTAGTATTCCCGGCCTCTCTGCGTGCGCACGGGTATGGCCACATGCATGTGAGTTGTCTCGCTTTCTAAGGAACGTATAACGCGATAAAGCGTTAGGACTCCTTCTGCTATATTGTCAAGTGAGGCTAGCGTCAGACTCCCCTTCATCTCTATCCCCCCAATCTCTTTAACTGACCTCCAGCATGCTGACGTGTGAGAGCTTTGTCTCCATGAGCCCCGTATCCCATATCTGTTCCGATGTGGGCCCTACGCGAAAGCAGGGTTGAACGAATGGTTACCGGTACGGCAGCTGTTTGAGGCGGAAAGGCATGGAGTGGGATCGCCACGGTGAGGCCACATCGAGTGTAGCTGGCTGCGAACCTGCGATGACCTTTCCGAGCGTGTATGACAAGGAGAAGGCGTACAAGGCACACGGCCCAAACAAGCACGTATGCCAGAGGACAGTTGTAACTGCCGCACTCTGGGCAATCGCTGCTGTCCAATAACAAGAAACTCGCTATACTCAACGGGCTAACCTGATCCAACCTCCACCTGCCGACGACGGCGTTGCTGCCGGCGCTGGGCTCCCTCAACCGTTCCGACGCTCGCCGCAAGTAAAAGCAGCGGGGCTAACAGCGCAAGTGAAAGGGCACGGGGCATTGTAGATCGCTTAAGTATGGCCTAATAACATGCAAGGGCAACGTTGCCACAAGTGTACAGAGGTCTAGGTCGGGCTTGCACGACGCCCAAGTTCGCAGCCGCAAAACAATGCAAAATTTTGCACTTGCTATTGCGTCAACCTAAGAGTTCTTAAGATTGATGAGTTGTTGCCCATTTCGTTTCCCGGGCACAGCACGTCGTACGAGCTGAGCATAGCGTACTACTCTGGTTGGTTCGCCACTCACAGAGATCAAGCATTATTGCACTGAGCACGGTAACCTGTACTACTGCCTATGGACTGCCCAATTTGTTATCAGGCCATTTCTCTAGAAGACGAGGCGTACGTTGGCTCTTGTTACCATCGGTTCTGCCACACGTGCATTAGCGAATGGACAAGTCAGCAACGCCGGCATCCAATCCCTGGCAGTTTTGGACAGGACGGTGGACGCCCGGACTATAGATGCCCCATGTGTAAGCAACAGTACACCTACATCCTCTACGACTGCGTCCTCAACTCCTTTCGGTAGGCACATATTAATAAAATAGTATGAGTTGTGGGGAACAGGTGGTTGCGTGCCACGGCGGGAAGTGCGTGCTGCGAGCTGCGACAGCTCGCCACAGACGGAAGTTCGTTGGTTCAGGCCCAACGTTGCACGCCAGATATCATCGCCGCCCTACGTCAGTTGCAGAGCGTACATAGCCGCTGCCAATGCCTGCACACTTGCCTCCACTCACGCAGGGTCGAATACGTAGACGCGGAGGCTAAGCAGCGGGGCTGCGGGGGTACTGGGGCAGGCTTCGCGCTCTCAGCTGCGCACCGGCGACGCAGAGCCCTCTACATCAGGCCGCCTTCCAACCAGCAGCCACGAGAACAACAGCCACCGCACCAGGAGGAGCAGCAAGGCAGCCAGCCGGGGGGTGAGCAACGCACGTTGCAGCAGCAGCAACAACAAGAGCAGCAGCAACAACAAGAGCAGCAGCCACAACCCGCCGCGCCGTCGCAACCGCAGCCAGCGAGGGAGGGCTCCCTACCCAGGCCCCCGGCTGCCAGCGGGCTCCCAACCCAGCGAGACCGGGAGGAGTCGGGGCCGGCACGGGGCGGAGTCCGGCCCGCATCAGGGGCCCCGGTGCGGCGGGCAGATGACCCGCAGCTCGGGGCCTTTGTGACGCGGGAGTTACAGGTGTGAGGCAGGGAAGGGAGCGAGGGGGATGAGCCGCACGTGTAAGGCACGGCATGCTTGCTTCGGCGTCTTCGGGGGAAGCTGTTATCGGCCGGCCACCGTTGTGAAGTGAACTACCTATCCCATTCTCCTGCTCTAGTCGTATTGAGTTGCGGCCCTTCCTGGTGATATGCTCGCTAAGAAAGTAAGGACTGGATGATGCGCTGCTGGGGCGTGCCTGCGCCCCCAGGCCGTGCTGTTGCAGGAGGACGTGGGGCTTGTGTCGCAGCACGTGCTGGGAGTGCTGCAGGGCGTGCTGGGCAGGAGCGGAGGGGCTGCTGGCGGCAGCGGCGTAGTTGGCGGCCGCCCGGGCCGGCATGGTGTTACGAGGTGGGATGTGCGTGGGTCAGCGCTACCGCCGGTTTAGGTTGCGCGATTGCTGGACGACGGAGGCGTGGCAGCAGATGTGGTTACGGGGACAATTCCTGGAAAGGCTGGTTCTTGTGCTTCTTGTACTGGCGCAGCAAAGGGATGCGTGGGTAAGAGCAGGATGGACATGGGTTATATAGATGTGCCTTTGCCCTTGCAGGTTTGTACCACAAGCCAAGCGTCTGCGCATGGCGCCGCCGAGTCTGCCGCCCCAGCAGGTTGGTATCATTGACTGAGTCGTTGGGTGCGCGAGTAGGAACATGAGAGCCTGGCAGTGCTGCATTCTGGAAAGAGAGCCCCTATGGGAAGGGCATGGATGGCATTGAAAAGTTGGCATCATGCAGCGTTTATGAAGCTGCTAGCTCCTAGTGTAAGGGGCCGCTAGCGCAAGGCGCGGAAAAGTCTACTGGTGGGCAGCGAGTGAAACTCCAAATAGACAGTGTGTTGTCTCTTGTCGTGCCGCGGTTTGGAGGTCGGCGCAATTCCACGTGTGCTGCCATGCCCCCTCCCCAACATCCCCGGACAGGAATTCGAAGCTGCAGTCTCAAGAGAAGCGGCATGTTTCCTACAGCGGGACAGTGACATCTTTGCAACGCAGCTTTTCATGTTTCTTGCCAGTGGCTTAAGCGTGCGTGCATACGATGCACTCTTGTTTGGGCCTGAAAAGGCAGGAGGCCAGGTGGGCACCTCGAGGGTCACAGAGGACGCAGCATCCTTGCAAAGTGGAAGGGGATTCCAACCTCCAGTTGCTGCTAAAAGGATTGCCGTTGACCAAGCAAATGAAAGCAGCGATAATGATGACGATGCAGGCGGAGACGATTTTGCTGACTGGTGAGGTCTTGACTATTGCGGTGGTTTCACAGGAGGCTCCACTAAGCCGTACCTGCTTCGCCACTTACCTGGAACCTGGCTTCTGCAAGGCATTGCGACGTGTATGCTTTACTAAAGATTAGGGGCTATTGTTATACAGGTTTTGTTCCGTGCAGAAGCTTTTGTTGACTTTCAAACTGCAGAATGGTATGAAAATGTCCGAACAACAGCCGTCGCACATTCTCCACAAGTCCAATGCCCATAGCGCCACCCTTACTGGAATGAGTCCTAATAAGCGTTACGTTGCACCAGCTGCTCAAGAGGCAGGCGGCCATGTTGCAAGCATCATCGAACGGCTTGCTACAAAGGAGAACAACCAGCCAGGTTCCGAGGCCCACGCAAAGAGCTTCTTTGTTAAGGACAGACAGCCTGCTCGGAGCATCCTTCGAAAGCCTGAAGATGTCGCTTCTCTGGAGGCATTACAGGACAAAATGACCACTTTGGCTGGCGACCTGCAAACCTTCAAGTCGCAACCTCAGACATCGCGTCGGGACTCCTTAAATGGAAGAGCAGGCCTCTTAGCTCCGGCTGCAAATGCACCGACCCCTCCGAGGTACCCAGAGGCTCTGGCCGCAAGCTTGCAGCCTGCACATCGCGCTCCTTATCAACTGCCACACAACAGACACGAGGCCCAACCTACGCAACAGCTCATATCAGCCTTCCCTGATACCAGCAGCAATCATGATGATGACGGGGGCCTAGGTTGCCACAGTGAGGGACCTGCTGACGACGTTATCAGCATACCGGCAGGCGCCATCGGCACATCAAAAGCCGCAAAGACCGCGGCTGAGACCTTCGACTTGGGCATTAAGCAGATCATGAACGAGGTCCTCACCAGGCAGCTGAAGCGCACCAAGCACGGCGCAACAGAGCAGTCACGGATTGGCGAGCTTGCGGGTAGGATGAGCGGCAGTACTTGTGTCAAGGCTGTTGCACTGTTGGCCTGCCGTGCTCCTTTGCGTCAGGGTCCACCAGATTTATGCCACAATGTGGGTTCACAGTGCCGCGTTAACACAGCTTACATGCCCCTCCCGAATGCAGATCTGGTGAAGAGCCTTCGCAAATGCGTCAAGGAGCTGGGGTCGCGGATAACGATGTACATTGACATGATGACCAAGGTCGAGCGGGAGGGCGCTCAGCAGGTGGGGCCCTCTAGCCTGCATTCCGCATGCAGATGCCGCTCTGTCCTCCACCCTTTCCGGAAGAGCATGCTGTTTCTTTGTTGGGTGGTGGGCTTCTTTACACGTTTACACCCCTCCCACCCATAACCTTGCTGGCAAGCAAGCAATCCAGTCCGAGTTTACGGCTTGCATCGTATGTTCAGGCATCGTCCCTCCATTACATCATGGGCCTGACGTTTCGTATGCTCTACACGTATTGCAGGTGGAGGCGGCTCAGCTTGCCGCGCAATCAATGTGCAAGAAGTTAGAGGTTGAGGTCGCAACTGTCCGGCTGAACCTTGCGCAATGTGAGCGCGAGTCCAGGTATGCGAGGGGCACCTTGAGCGACAACTTGACGCAGCCGTTGCTGCCCTTGCCTTACTGCACGGCGAAGCGGGCAAAAACAGAACCTCAAATACCAGCTACCCGACCGTTTCCCCGCTCGCGCTGGCCGCAGGGAAGACAAGGCCAAGCTTGGCTTCGACCTTGAGACCGTGCGCGCAGAGGTGATCGTGGCTGCATGATACGCCTGCCAGTGTACCTAGTTGCCTTATACGGTAGTCAATCTTTGTCTACCAACCTGCTGGGGCCACAGCGTTCTTGTCGTGGACGCTTGCTCATGACGCTTTCCAGCCAGGCTCCCATGTTCCGCCATGTTGCTGCGTTGCCGACCCCCTACTTGTTTTCATGGATTACAGGTGTCTCGGCTGTCACGCGAGCTGGAGCGGGTCACGGAGGAACGCGACAGGGCACGTGACGACGCGAAGCGCGCCGAGCAGCAACGGCAGCAGCTGGACTCCGAGCTAAAGGTGTGCCACGCTGACGTACCATGTCTATCGTTGCCATGCAATTTCTGTACTACACTAGGCCCGTTGCTGGGCCAGGGTGCCTGCCCCTCACGACCTCCTTCCATCAGCAGTGTGCCTCATTCATCATGGACACGCTCAACTGTGCAGGAGCTGCGCAAGACCTCGCATCAACAAATGCGCGAGGCATCGGTTACCCAGAGCGAGGCCGTTCGCTTACTGACGGAGGACAAGATCGCCGCTGACGGCAAAATCGCCGGCCTTCAGGTGCGTATAGTAACTTGTTGTGTTGATCCTCTACTAGATCTGCTACAAAGATGCTCCTCTGTGGCCACATACCTCTACGTAATGCGGTTGGTTCCTTTGTGGTGTGTATTGAACCAACCAACAGGAGAAGATCGAGCGGCTCGACAAGACGAGGATATTGCAAGACAAAGCCCTGAAAGAGTCGGAAGAGGAGGCGCAGCTGCTGGGTGCCCAGGTCGACCGCCTGACCGGCGCTCTGTCCGCTAAGGAAGCGACGTCGGCTATGCAGCAGGAGCAGATTGACAAGGTAACTGCGGATGTCACTGGTTGAGCTGTGTTTTCAGCTTCCGTCTTGCTACCCTTGCATGTCCCACTGAGCAAGTCTTCCAATTTTCACCAGGATGTTGTCTTTCTCTCCTCGCTCTTGCTTGAGATCACGCGTTGCTGGTTGCGCCCCGTTCCTTTCGTGTGCAGCTGCGAGCGGAGCTAAGTTCGAAGCGAGAGCAGGTGGCGTCGCTGATGGAAAATGACCAACAGCTGCAGCTAGAGCTGGCCCGCATCAAGCAGGACCGCGAGGAGCTGGCAGCGATGCTGGAGCAGCAGTCAGTGGAGCTGGAGGCACACCGTGTGAAGCTGAGCGCGGTCGAGCGCCGTGCCGCTGAAGACAAGGCGGAGTGGGAGGCCAAGCGCATCGAGCTGGAGGTGTGTGTTGGGGCGGTGTGTTGCGACGGCAATGATACGCGTAAAGGCGAGCTGCAATGAGGGATAGTTTGATCGCAAGGAACGCTTTGACAGCGGATGAGGGCAAGGCGCCGTCCTCCATTGCATTGGCTCTGGCTCGCATTGCTCCATCATCCTGTTGCCAGTCGGATGACAACGCAGTGATGTGGCGTGTGTTGCTTGCCCGTGTGTCCCAATCAGGCATCGGTGACGGTGCTTACGGCCGACCGTGCTACGCTCAACGACAACCTTGCACTGGTCAAGAGTGCACTAGCCGCAGCCATAGTTAAGGCAGACACGGCGGAGGCTCGAGCCGCAGAGGAGGCGACGGAGCGGGCGGCGCTGCTACGTGAGCGTATTGACTTTGAGAACCAAGTAAGGCATTGAATGGAAGTCACGTAGAACCCTGGCCGTTCACACCATGCATACGTATATACAGAATACAGCATGCGGTCTTGCTGCTCTCTCGCTCGTTGGCTGCACCAGATTCTTATATCTGTGGCGCGTTCACGTCCATCCCCCGTAGATCGAGCTGGCTGAGAGCCGCTGCACACAGCTCGATCAGGCGGCAGCGGCGGCACGCGAGAGGATGGAGGCTTTGGAGGCTGAACTATCCGCCAGCCGGCAGCAGCACGAGGCAAAGGACGAGCGCATCGCACACCTCGAGGGTGAGCAGGCATGGTGCATGGTGGAGACGACTGCTCGCTCACGTGCTTGGTAACGGGCTAGGTGACAGTGGGGTGTTTGCGTAGTATCTGGGTGGATGAGGCTCCGACCTAGGCTGATCGCTCTTAATCCTGCAGGCGAGTTTAGCGCGCTCAAGGAGGTGCTTGGCGAGTCTGCGAGCGCCGCTGGTGAAACTGGCATGGACATCGTGACGAAGCTGCTATCCAAGATCGCAACACTCCAGGTATTGGCTACTGGGTTTGTCGATGTCCTATCCGGCAGCATGCCTGGTTTGAGGTGTGAGCGCGTGCAACTTAGGCTTTGCATCATGCCATGGGAGGCGGCAAACCACTGATAGCCAGTGCTTATTCCATCCTTAACGCAGAGTGCTGCTGCGGCTGCTGAAGCCGTGCGTCGGAAGCTGCACAACGAGCTGGTGGACTTGCGCGGCAATGTAAGTTATGCCGGAACACTTCAGTCTTGCGTGTGGCAAGGAGCAATAGGGATTGCAGCTGGTCGCGTCCTACATCCTTCATCTGTAGAGCACGCAGTTAGCATAGGTTGGGGCTGTCCGCAGGTACGACAGGGGGCTAAGGTGTTACCGCAACATTAGGGTCAGTCATGGCCACCCAAATCCCAGTAAACAGTACGGCTATTCCATAACGCCTTGCCATGCGCGATGCCCCTTTAGATTCGAGTCTACTGTCGCGTAAGGCCGCACCACTCGCCATCGACGCGCATCGGCCAAGACGGCGCGTCAATCACGTTGGCGGCGGACGGCAAGGAGCACAAGTTCTCGTACGACCGCGTCTTCGGTGCGGACAGCACGCAGGACTCGGTATTTGCGGCGGTTTCGGAGCTGGTGCAGAGCTCCCTGGATGGCTACCACGTGTGCATCTTTAGCTACGGCCAGACCGGAGCTGGCAAGACGCACACCATGCAAGGTGGTGACACGCCCGCGTCACGGGGCATCATCCCCCGTGCGGTGGAGAAGGTGAGCATCTCAATGCTTTGCACTTATGAATGAGCAGAGCCCGGCATTGTTGGTTCTCTGTAGAAGTATATCACCTCGTTATCCAACCTCAAGTCGCGCTGTCCGACCCTTGTGTATTCCCAGATCCTGGCGACAGCTCGCAAGCTGGGGGAGGAGGCGGAGTGGCAGTACACGATGGAGGCCTCCTTCATTGAGATCTACAACAACCAGCTGCGTGACCTGCTTTGGGAGCCAGAGAAGAAGGGGGACAAGCCGCAGTATATCAACGACCCCAACGCCATTAAGCACGACTCCGACGGCGGCCACACTATCGTGCAAGGTACGCAACACGGTTGCATGGCTAGCTGCAGTTCACCAGCAGGACGGGTGGTTGGGGGCCTCGCGAAGGCCGGTTTCATGGCTATAAGAAGGTAGGATAAACTGCTGGCAAAGTCTTTGAACATCCAGCGTGGCTTCAGTGCTTCCTCGCATTGTCCCACGGACACTGCACCACATTGACGATACCCACCCCGCAATCCTTATGCACTCATTCATGCCAGGCGTCAAAAAGGTCCCCGTGGATGACATGGAGGGCGCGTTAAAGCTGATTCGGCAGGCGTCTGCTGCCCGGGCCGTTGAGGCGACCGCAATGAACAGCGCCTCCAGCCGCTCGCATGTCGTGTTCATGCTGTACATCACGGGCAAGCACGAGGAGAGCGCCACCCGACTGCAGGTCAGTGGCAGGTAGCTGACAGTAGGTCAGGGCACCACACGAACACGACAGTTTTGTGGACACCAACAGGCCGCCTGATGACGCCGCCCTATTACTTGGGGACTAGTTGTTAGGGGTGCCATACATGCGGTGCATGCGTCCACTTCCACTTTAAGCACCTATGTGTACACCTAGCCCCGGTTTCGCTTGGCCGCAACTGACCTCCCATGCCACGCTACCCTCTTCCACCACAACCAGGGCTGCCTGTGCCTTGTCGACCTTGCTGGAAGGTGTGGATGTGGGCTGGGTGCTTCGCGGCTTTGTTTCCTCATGTCTAATGGTTCGTGCTTGTCCTGTATCTTGCGCTGTTAGCCAAATCCTTTCCTTGTTTGTTAATGTCGCCTCCAAAGCACAGCCCCACGTCTCCCATGCGTGCGCAGCGAGCGACTGGACCGCTCCCTGGTCGAGGGCAAGGCCCAACTAGAGGCCCGTGCCATCAATTCCTCCCTGACCGCGCTTGGCTCGGTCTTTGAGAAGCTGTCGGCAAAGTCCAGTCACATTCCCTACCGAGACTCCAAGCTCACGTACCTCCTGCAGGCAAGTTGTCACTGCAAATCCTGCGCGGCTTTAGGGGAACAACCCGATCCCGTACATGTCCCTGGATCCCATGTCACATTCCTGAGGTCCTGACAACCCTGAGTTATATAGTTCTTGTTAAGGGTGGATGCAGCCCATATGACTGACTTCAAGCTGTAGCCGTAGCTTTCATTACTTGCCGGTAAAAGATTGCTCCGCAAAGTCATGCTAACTCTGCCACCGTCCCCACCCTGGCATGCCGCACGCGCATCCTTTGCACACTACAGCCATGCCTCGGAGGCAACGGCAAGACGCTGATGTTCGTCAACATCAACCCTGAGCCGGCATCCGCGGGCGAAAGCTTGTGCTCCCTGAGGTTCGCCCTCAAGGTCAACGGCTGCGAGTCGTGCGCCAAGGGCGGTGCGCGGAAGAACACGATGCCCCTTCTTGGCGGTGGCGATGGTGGCGGCGGCGGCGACGGCAGGGCCAGCATGGCAAGCGACGCAGGTGAGGCGCGTCGACGGGGCAACCCACCACCAGGAAACGCAGGGGCAGCGGGAGTGATATATTCAGCGGGTGCGGGGTTGCCCGCGTTTCACCCGGGTAGGCAGGACCCGCCTCGGCCAAACGGTGGTCGACAGATCAGCCGTGCAGCTCAGACCCGTCCAGCAGCACAAACAGCGCCATCAGCCTCAGCCCGCCCCGGGCCACCTGCAGCACGCCCAGGCGCTGCAGCTGGCAGCGGCAATCCCACCATCGGCAGGCGCATTCCTAGCGCCGCTGGTGCTGCCGCCGCCGCCCCCGGGGCAGCGTCCATGGCGGCGGCTTCGGGGGCTGCTCCGCCAGGTGCGGAGACCTACTGCTGGTTCCGGAGGACATCTTTACGGATGGCTGGGACCCCTAACTGCTGCACTTACAGCACTTCCACGTGCATAGTGCGCTATCTTGCGCTTGGCTACATGTTGTTTCGAAAGTCCGTTTTCCCGTCTCTTCACGTGTCCCTCAGAGAACAACTTACGACCTAAAGCTATGCATCATCTTTGGTTGCAACACAGGTACCGTTCGCCGGCAGTCGAATCTCCCGCGGCCCCCGACGACTATAGCTGGCGCAGGTGCTGCACGGCAGGGGCGCGCGGGTCCGTCAAGAGGGGCACCCCTGGCGGCGACAGGGCAGAAGCGGTCCGCTGCTGACGGGCTGGGAAACCCAAACAAGCGCCCCAGAGGAGGAAAATAGTCATTGAATTTGGTGCATGAGATGTGTATATGGTGTTGCCTACATGGCGCTTACGGTTTAACTGGGTTTAACTGGGTGGCCTGCGGGTATGTTTCTACGATTATGCAGATCGGATTCCGTACGGCTTCCCTTCATTCACCGCAATGACTCTTGTATGAGCATCGCGAGACATCAACCATTGCTGTTCGTTTATATAAATAAGCGCATATGGCGGATTAGGGCTGAACTGGCATCTCGACCGCTTTGCGGCCTTGGGACTTTGGGGCTTGGCAGGATGTCCTTGTTATTTTCGAACACCGCCCTAGGCGTTCCTGCAGCTGGTAGCTCAGGACCGATCTTAAACACGCAGGTTAGGGCGTTATGTGGGTCAGCTTGCACGAGTTGTTATCGTCGACAGGTGTAATATCTGAGAATTTCCAACGCAGGCTTTGACACCATGCCATTTAAAGCATCAATGGTTGATAGGAATGCTCGGACCGTGTCCTCTGCGCCGCCGTTCACCGCGAAAGACGCAAATTGTTGCTGTTGTCTCACGCGCCAGTACAAATTCGATGGCATTGGGAGACCAGGTATGATCAGGCCAATATATGTAGCACATCGATGCCAATTGTATCAGCTCTGGCTTGTTGTCGCTTGGAAGACGAATGCAAGTCATGGCTCCCTTAATTTGACACCTGAATTCCGGGGTTTTCGTTTGCTTGCAGACAACGTTGGAAGGTAGCAGGAGAGACGAAGTCGAATTGGGCCACGCGCAAGCTGAGGACTATCTAGGGTTAAATGATAGCCCAGGCGTAGGGATAGCAGCATCGGCATCGCACCCTCCACAGCGACAACAAGTGGAGCTTGTCAGCAAGCCACAGCTCCGTGCACGCGCGCGAGCACCCCTTCCGCAGAGCCCGTCCCGGGGGGCTGCTGGACAACCTGGAGCAGGCCCAGCGCCTGACGTCCTTCCACCGCCGCCTCCGAATCTCCAGCAGGAGGATGTGCCCTTGGGTGCCTACATGAAAACTAGCATCGTAAGGAAGGTGACTCGCAAGCTGCAGGAGCGTGCCGCACAGCTCGCAGATGTGATCCCAGGGCCTTCAGCAAGCGTCGGTGCTGGCATCATTGACAGCCGCACAGGTGTGCTAATGTCGGACGCGCCCCTCGCGCCTCGTCTGGGAGAGCGGATGTCGCAGCTGCGCATAGCCCAGATGTCGCAGCAGAAGAGGCGGCGGAAGACTGGCAGTCACAGCATGGAAGACGATGGTGACGTTGTGTACAACGCGCTGTACGGCACCGCGTTTTCCCATCCCGCCGCTGGGGGTCCATCTCCCGCCGCTGCATCTGCAGCTTCTGGCGGATCCCCAGCGGGTAGCCCGAAGTACGGCCACCCGCCTCTTGGCTCCTTTGACAGGGAACCCCCATCTCCCCCATCCTCTCCGGGGCGGCAATCACTGCGAGCTCTGCCTCCACCATTCACGCCTCAATCCCCCTCGCCTGGACCAGGTATTCCCTTTCCCTGGGTGTTCCCCACCGCCTCTGATTCCACCGCCACCACCACCACCGAGCCCTTCGCTACCCCAGCCCGAGCTGCCCTCGCATCGTCTGCGCAAGCCGAAGCATTCACCGCTTCCAACCGCCGACCCATCCGTGCCGAACTGGAAAAGCTCATACGCGCATGCGCCGATCTGGACGCCCTGCGCAGCTTGTACGACAAGTACGGCAGCTGCATCGTACGGCAGGAGGCGATACTGTTTATCAGCCACCTGGCCTCGCTGCAGGAGCCCACTACCATGACTGTGCGGGTGTGGAGTGCGACGCAGGCGCTGCTGGTGGAGTTGCTGCAACGCATCACGCCCAAGCTGGACGTACTAACCATGCAGGTGCGTGGGCGGGGGGTTACGTTGCATCAGCTGCTGGGAAATTGGCCCTGACCTGCCGGTTGAATGGGCATGTTTATTGGGCATGTTACGGCACCATACCGTTTAACCCTTTCAAGCTCTGGGCTGGAAGGCTGAAAGCTAAAGTCAGTGGATCAGGTCTGTAGCGTCTGCTTCCCCATCGTTAAGACACTGCATGCTGCCTTGCGTGTCTTTTTAGTAGCTGGTTACCGGTAGTAAGGGTTTCTGTTGTCCTCGCTGCGGCTGCTGCGGTTGCTGCGCCACCTGCCCGCAGGAGTTTGTGGTGATCCTGGCGGCTGTCTCCAAGCTGGGCTACGTGCCGCCGGAGGAGTGGATGGCGGCGGTGCTGGTGCAGAGCAAGCCGCGACTGTACAACGCATGTGAGTACGGGAGGCACCGGTGTGCCGTACGCCGTACATACGGGGTGGATATTGCTGGGTCGCGTAGGGCCGGGCTGGGGCCGGGCAAGGCTGGGGCGGGGTTTCCAGGAACCTGGGATGGGAACATGAAACGGGGCGCGAGTAGAGGAAAGTGGAACGCGGGGCGTGTGTTACTCTTCTTCTAACCCTAACCCCACTTCCCTGCCCCCCGCAGCCCCCTCCTTCCTTACCACCACCCTCAAGTCCATGGCCCGCATCTACACCGACCCCTCCGACCTCAAGCAGGCCGCCGCTTGGGACGCCTGGATGAGTCGGTACCTCACGTCCGTACAACGGCAACTGGCGTCGTACCGGGGAGATGAGCTGGTGAGCGGGGGGGGAGCGGGGACGCGGCACCGGTATCCCGCTGCGTGTGTTTTGGGGTATTGCGGCTACCTGTACAACGTTGAGCGGGATGTGAGGGGAGCACCGGTGAAGGGGGCTGGGGGGTTGTGGAGGTTCAGCTCACCCAAACCTGCACGTAGGCTAGGCGTCTAAGGCGGGCCTCTTCTCATTACTAACTACTAGCGCGGAAAGCAGCACAATGACGAACACCGCCCCCTCCCTTCGCACCTCTCCTCCCACTCCTCCCCACCCCACCCCCCACCCAGGTCAAGACCCTGGTGGCGCTGTCCGAGCTGCGCTACCGCCCGCCCGCCGAGTGGATGGCTCGGCTGTCCACCGCACTACTCAACAAGATGGACTCGCTGGGCTCCCACTCGCTGTCGCAGGTGGGTGGGGGCGGGGGGGATTAGATAAACTGAGCCGCGAGGAACCACTGACCGTGACCCGTTGACGATGGCGTCCAGCAGAAGAGATCAATGTGGCGTATGCGTTGATGGTAAGGTATCCAACGAGTGAAGAGTGTAGGATACTATGACGCACCAGCAGTAAGCGCAGCCCGTAGGGTGGAGTAGCTGGCAGTAACGGCGGGGTGGGGGGGGCAGTGGTGGGCGATGCCGAGCCGAGGGGAAGCACTGACCGGTGGATCGGGGAGTGAGGGGAGTTGCGGGGATCCTCAGAAGCGCCCAAGATGAAAGGCTCCTCGCCTGCAACGGCTCAAGCTGCCGTACGGGTTATTTCCGGGATGCCGCTTCGTAGGACAGGGGACGCACCCCTTTTTCGTGTTGTGCTCCTCCTCCTCTTCTCTCCTCCGCTCCTTACCTCCCTCCCTCCCTCCCCACTCCCTCTCCCTCACCAGGCCATGCTGGCCTTCGCCTCCCTGCGCTACCAGCCCGAGCCGCCCTTCCTGCGCGCCTACTACAGCTGCATGCACTCGCGGCTGCCGCTGGCTGATGACGGCGACCTGGCCACCTTTGCGCAGGCGGCCGCGCTGCTGGAGCGGCTGGTGCAGCAGGACTTCATGCTGGTGCGGGGGGGGGACGGGATGGGGGGGGTGGAATTGGTGGTGGCAGTGGGATTGTATAACAACTGAGCCGCGTGAAATACGGAGGTGGAATATGGTGTGGGAAGGGGATGGGGGATAAGGCGTTGAAGGAAACCGGGGTTAGCGCATTTGACAGAAGGAAGAGGAGAAGGAGGAGGTAGCGAAAGGAAGAGGCGGGGAACAAGACCTGCTATTATCCCAGCCTCGCCATCCCATGCAGCGCAGTGCCTATCCGGCTCCCCTCGTCCCTCCTCCCTCCCCCCTCCTCTCCCCCCTCAGGAGTTCCTGGCCGATGTGTTGGAGAAGCTGCCCACCTTCGCGCCCGCGCACCTTGCCAACCTGCTTAACGCCATGGGCCGTCTGGCCGCCCCGCCGGCAGGCCGCATGCGCCCGCCGGCCGGCTGGACGGCGGCGGTGGCGGACCACCTGATCCGCGCGCGCCGGCTGGGCAGCTTCAGCGGCTCAGCAATGGCGTCGGCGGTGTGGGGGCTGAGTGTGCTGGGGCTGAGAGCCACGCCTGCGGTGGGTTGGGTTGGGTTGGGTTGGGTGGGTGAGCGCGGAGCTTGAAGCTCGTTGCCTCGTCCTTGTATAGCGACTTTGTTGTCGTGGCGGTATACCGAATGCCCGTAAGGCCGTAACCAGCCGTTTTGCTAGCCCCCGCCTCCTCATGCCATCCAGTCCCGCATGGCGCCAGCCGCAACCCCATGCGTCCACACCGCCCACCCCCCACCCTGCTTCACCCACCACCACCACCACCACCCACCCTCATGCACGATACCATGTTGTGCACTTGTGCTGTGTGGCCTGTACTGCAGTTCCTGGACGACGTCCTCTCCGCCTCCTACGGCAAGCTGCACTCCTGCGGCCCCACCGACCTCATCCTGCTGCTCACGGCGCTGGGCAACCTGGGCTACTCGCCTCCGCCGGGGCGGGAGGCCTTTTGGAACGCCTGGATGACGGAGTTCGAGAAGCTGACGGCGCGCAAGACGTACGACACACGCGGCGTGTGCGACCTCATGGCGGCGATGGCGCGGCTGCCGCGACCCATGGTTCCGCGGGAGAAGGCGGTGGAGATGGGGTGGGTGCCTGTGCCGGCGTCGTCGGCTGCGGGTGCTTCGTCGCAGCTGGGCATATTTCAGGTCGCCGAGGGCGATGGCAACGGCAGCGAGGGTCAAATCGAGGAGCAGGGAGGGCCGCAGGTGCAGCAGCAGCAGCAGCAGCCCGTGCTCATTCCTCGGCCGCCCAATGATGCGTTCGTGGGGGGAGTGCTTCGGTCCACTCGCATGTTCAGTCTGCGTCACACCTGCCCTGCGCGCTTGGCGGGGCTGGCGGGCTCGCTGGCAGTGCTGGGGATTAAGCCGGACTTTGGATTCCTGTACAACTATGCGCAGGTGGGGAGAATGGGTGGGTACATGAGGGGGGGTGACTGGGTAGCTGGCGGAGTGAGAGGGTGGTGGGTTGAAGGAGAGTTGGAAGAAGGCAGATGGAACTACCGGCTTTCCTACAGCCACATCTGTACAGCGCCAAATTTGTTCCATTTTTGTTCCACTTCCCTTGCCCCTTTTGACCCCACACCTCCTGCTACTCCCTGTGCAGGCTGCTCGCTTCATGTGGAGCGCCTTCAGCACTCGGGACTACGCAACCTTGCTGGGAGCCATGGTCCACATCGGCACCCCAGGTGTGGCGGACCCGCGCTGGGCGGACGACTTCCTGGCCATCCTCATGTGCCGCCTACCCGACTTTGACGGCCCCGGCCTCGCCGCCATCCTCACCGCCATTCGCCACCTGCCCAAACCCGAGTTCGCACCCGGCCGTCAATGGCTGGCGGCGGCGGCGCAGCGAACGGTAGACCTCATCCGTTCGCCGCCGCCGCCACCGTCGACGGCGGCGATGGTGCCGCGGGCCGCAGTTGTCGTACCCGCTGCTGATACGTCGGCGGCGGCGGAGGTTGCCGGTAACGAAGGCGGTGACGGCAGCGGCGGCGGCGTGTTGATACCCACGCCGGGGCCCCTGGTGGGGACGATGTCGTACCGGGCTGGCGGCGTGGTGCCTAGCGGCGGCCAAGTGGTGCGGTCTCCGGAGGGCCGGGCGTTCGTGGCCCCGCCCATGAACCCGCTGACGCCGGAGATGTTGAAGCAGGTGGTGGCGGCACTGGCGGCGCTGGGATACCGTGCCGTACCTGAGGAGCCGTTGGTGCGAATCGTACGGAATGTGCTCATGCGCAATGCTGCGTTGGTACAGGCGCAAGACCGTGTGGCAGCAGGTGCAGCAGCGGGACCCGTGCCACCGTTGGGCTCACTGCTCCTGCCACATCAACAGCAGCAGCAGCCACCACAAGCGCCGCAAGCACAGCCCTCAAACATGGCGGCGGCAGCGGTGGCGGCGGCAGCGTTCGAGCGTGCCAACGCAGCGGCGGCGGCCGCTGCTGCCGCTGGCAGCGAAGCGCCGCGGCCGTTGCTCAGCCCCGCTGCTGCTGCGGAGCTGGAGTCCTCGCTTGCCGTCATGCTGGGGCTGCAGGTGCCGTTAAGGCCGCCGTCGGCGACCGCCACTGACTTGGGGTTGCCTGTCGGCGCCGTGAGGACACCGGAGCATCTGGCGAGGCAGGAAGCGGTGTGGCAACAGAAGATGGCGGCCAGGAAGAAGCGCTCGGAAAGCAGTGGCAGTGACGCCAAAGCCAATGAGTCTTCAGACGACCGTACCAGCGATGACCAGGTGGCGCGCAGTGCAGGCGCCGGTACGAGTACTGTGGGCAGCAGTAGCAGCAGCAGCAGCGGCAGTAGCATTAAGCAGCGGCAAGGAGCGAGCCGCTGGAATGGCCGCGGGCGTGCAGGCAAGTGGATTGCGCCGGGGCGAGGAGCGGAGGAGGCGAAAGGAAAGGCTGCGCATGTTACCGAGGGAGCCAGTGGCCAGCAGGGGCCCGTTGAGAAGGGCACGAGGCAGCAAGGGCGAAGCCACAGGGGCGTGCGGGTTCACAGAAGCGGCGCCACGGCAGGTAGCGGCAGCAGGAGCAATAGCTGTGATGGTAAGAGTGGGTAGGAGTAAAGTGCTGTTGGCGCCGTTTGCAGGGTTCACCAGGGGCCCTGCGTGATGCAGTTGAGGGTGTCTTGCTAGCATGGAGCTGCTGGTGCTGCTGTCACTGCTGCGAATGCAAGGGCAATGGCGGTGCAGAGCGAGTGTGTGCGATGCGAGGCTCCGTTTTTATTCTGTGGGCTTACGCGACCGTCGCCGAGGGCTTTACTATAGGTAGTAGATGGCAAGCAGCGTCCTAAGTGTCTGTATCTTGCGATAAGAGCGGAGCAGCTGCTGTTGCTTCTTTAGGAACGAGGACAGAGCTATGTGAACTCTTCGAGAAGTGTGGGGTTGCAGGGGTGAGAGCGCAGCATGTGTTTGTTGATGTGCCGTGGAGGCGTTCCCTGGCCGAAGCGCCTCACTTACGTGTATCGCTGTTGATGTGATGCCTGGAGCCAAGCCGCGGTTGGAGCAACGGTGGCAGTGCGCAGCGGTTGGAAGTGTTGTTACCGTGTGTGGAAGTGGGGATAGGTGACTGGTCGGCGTTTCTGCGTCTAGGGTTGTCTGGCGGCCCTACTACCGGTAGTGGCGAGGCGGGGGCAGGGACACGCGGAAGAACACCGGCAGAGGTGGTGTCTAGGGGTCGTGTGTCGAGTCGGGCCCCTAGGGCCGACTCGACGTGATGCAGGATGTGATGGATGCAGGTGCGGTGCAAGGCAGCGCCCGCATGTGAGCGTGGGCGTGCACCCGCGGCGGTGAAGTCTCTTCTCCTGTATCCCCTACGCAGGGTTGAGGGGTTGCTACGAGGGGCGGGACCTGGGGACACACCCACGACATGGCTTCACACAGTCTTGTACCGTCTCCTTGCCGTACCTTTACTCTACTTGGAAGAGCATTACAGCATAACCGGACTCACCATCCTACGCATGCCTAGCACCCAGCTCACACCATACGCCATGGCACCCCTCTCCAGCCAGCCGGTCAGCCCATCCCCTTGCTGAACCATTCCTACCTACCGGTATCAATCCCTGCAAAGCGATCACCGTAATGCCCAGAAAGTACTTGACATGCGTTGTTTTACTCAATGGGCTATACGGCTATAAGTCCCCAGCAGCTCGGTGCATCCTGTCACGCCACTAGAACAGCCCCGCCGCCTGCTTCATCCTGCTCCGCCGCCACCCTGCCAGCCCTCTGAACTGCCGCCAGTCCAGCCCCCCGAACAGCCGCCTGAAGTCCGCCTCCGCCAGCCACTCCTCCCGGCAGGCGGGGTCCACATCCGGGGGCCAGGCAACACCCGGCCGCAGCGCCTCGGGAGGGTAGGACACTGGCCTGCCTGCAGTACCGTAAGGGGCGGCAGAGGAGGGTTAATGAAGGGGCAGATGGAGGTGCACGTAGGAGGGCAACGGGGCGAGGCGAGGAGGGTGGAGGGTGTCTCGTGGCCCCTATGACTGTTGGCGATAAAGGGTGCCATGAAAGGGCCATGGACAGGGACGTGTGCCGCAGGGAGTGCGGTACAAACCCAGGTTGGTAACCTCCTCACAGGCTGCGTCAGGAGGTGGTATCCTCCAGCAGTGCCGCTGGCGGGGCTTCCATGAAGCGCTACACGGGCAGCCGGATGCCGCTCTCCAGCCCTCACGCCATGCTGCCTAGGCCACCATAACCATTAGCGAGATCCGAGATCGCGCCCTGACTGATCCCGTACCAACCTGCAGCCGACGGCCCCCCTTTCCACGCCTCCGCAGCCGCGCCTCCTGCCTCTCCTGCCGCCGCCTGCCCCGCCCCATCCTGCGGCGGCACAGGTACCACCACCTGCTGCCGCTCCAGAACCCGCCCCAACCTCGCCTGCAGCGCCGCCCGCCCCTCCTGCCGCTCCCGCTGCGCCGCAAGCAGGCTGTCGTACACCTGCCCCCCCAGGGCGGCCTGCAGCTGCTCGGGACTGCGCAGCCCCTGGAGCGTCTCAAAACTGCGTCGTACGGGCCCAATACACAGGGCAATGATTGCCGTTGATTGGAGGTCGCGGGTTTGGCGTTGTGGATTGGAGGAGTTACAAGCAAAGAGTTGCCTACGACCGACCCATGGGTCACTTCACGAGTCTGTCCGACCCTAAGCAGATATCACCAGACGACCCAAAGCGACTCATGTCCGCACAGCCAACTGCCTAGAGGTTATCCAGCAAAAGCAGCGCTACTGCGCAAGGTTCCTAGAGGTAACCGGCACAGCCAACTGCCGGTTACCTCTAGGAACCTTGCGCAGTAGCGCTGCTTTTGCTGGATAACCTTCTCACCTGGTAATTGCGTACTGCCTGCTGGCTGACTCCAGGGCCGCTAGAGCCGGTGCCTCCGCTCCCTGACACACCTTTAAGGGGGAGGGGCCACGGTACACCGGCAGTGGGCGCGGCGGCCGCAACAACAGCTTCACCTCCCAGGTGCGGGAACGCCGTGAGACGGCAGCGTAGGCACCGCGTCTCAAGCCTTCAGACGCATACTCCTAAACACGTCTCAGGGCGCGTTCCTGTGCCGTCCCAACTCGCCCCAAACCCCAGTGCAACCGCCTTGCTACCCTCAATCCTTCTGCCACTCCCTCTCCCCCGCTGCTGCGGCTGCTGTCCCCCGCCCCTCCGACCTGCAACAGCTCAAGGCAGTTGTGGACGCTGAGGTGGCGCTGAATGACCTGCTGTGGGCAGGGCGGGGGGGGGGCAGGGGGGGGGTAGCGGAAGAGGCCTATCAGGAGGGAAGCAGCAAGGGGGAGAGGCATGCTAAAGATAGGCTGTCAAGAAGAGGATGGTGTGGAAAGAAGGGAAAGTTGAGACAAGAGAGGTGCAGGAATACATGGAAGGGCTAATACCGTACGGTACGTCATTTACATCGAATCCCTGTTTGCAAGGTTACGAAAAGCAACACCGCACCCGGCAGCAGCACTCCTGCAGACTGCGGGGGCCCCCCGCAGAAGAGGTCGGTGGGGCTCCCCCAGGCCTCACAGCTAGCGCGGATGGCCCCGCCGGCGGCCCCGCCACAGCAGCAGAGTCAGTAGCAGTGGCAGCAACACCTTGATTGGGTCGGTGCTCTTGAGGACCGGATCCTGAGCATTCCTGCTGCCCGTGTGCTTGCGTTATATCCTCATGCGGGTCGTGGGCAGTCTTGGGCACGGCAGCGGGGCATGGATCCATCATAACCACCACTACGGTACCACCGCTGCTGCTGCTGCTGCAACTCCTGGTTAACTGCTGGGTCTTGACCCCGGTGGCTTTAGTGCTGCGCCTTATTGGACCCCTATTCAATGCCGCACCTCACTGGAAGTGATTTTAGAAGTGCCCCGGGGAGAGTGTGTTACCTCATTTTCCCTGAGGATAGGGACACAGCATGGGGTGGGGTATCGACGAGGTGACTAGTGCGGCTTGCGTAACCCGTCTGGGCGCTTTCCCGGCGCACCTTATTACAGAGACTGTTGCGCAATATGGCCGCTTGCATGTTATCGATGTGCGATTTTGGCTAGCACCAGTATCCTAGATTCCTCAACAGAGCGTTCTAATGGGTCTTGTGACGTCTTTGTCGCAGGGAACTGTCAAGGAAAAAGCCCGAGGCACGTTGTCACGCTCCTAAGCAATGCACTGGCTAACACAAGTGGAAGGGAGCGCCATTTACAACTTCTTTGAAGATTATGACGGTCCGTAGTGTTGAAAAGATGCAATGCAAGCCTGCACAAGGCATGATACGGCACAGCCCGTACAATCTCAATGGGCAGGACTGACAGTTTTGGCCAGAGGTCTGTAACATGCCTATAGAACACTTGACCTACCATTTACCTAGGCTACGCGAGCGGCGAGAAGAGAAATGCTCAGCCACGCCCCGACCCAGGGGCCCTTCCGTGTGTCATACTGGTCCGCGGTCCCTGCCTTACATCCCTGCCCCAACTCCATTGGTGGGTACACAAGGCAAGCGGGGGCCCAGCATCGGCTCGCGTGGAAGCCCAATTAGCTCGGGCTCAGGCTTGGGGGGCGCTGTACTGCCTGGACTACCTGCCTAAGGCCTGTGGATGGGCCGCAGAGCCTGAGGGCTCCGGACAGAGACAGGCATGCCACAAGGGTTCGAAGGAGGTGACGGGTAGTGCTGGCATCCGTGTGGTCACGTGCGAATGGCAGCGTACAGGTATTTGGGTATTTGGGTTTTAGGTATTTGTACTGGTATTTGACTGGATGCAAGCAACACTTAGCACTTAGTTAAATTAACTCCTTGAAAGGTGACGGCTTCGGTGTGATGTACATGGCCCCCACGTTTCAGTCGCCCCGCGGGTGGAGGCGTGCGGGTGATGAGCTTCGTGATGGCGTGAAACTCCAGCGTGAAGTTACCAAAGTACCAATGAGCTGTACTTCAGTACAGCGAAGGGCACTTACGATTATACGTTTGTGTATCCTGACCCAGCGGGTCAAAGGTCGTGTCGCGGGAGCTGAGCAGAAGCTCGGGTCAACTGCCCATGGCATGCAGGAACTCAACAGGCAGCGGTCCACCATCCTCCAAAGCTTTCCGCGTAGTGGGTAATGCACGCAATTTGTGTTAAGTTTTAACGCGTTTTGGGCATATAAAGTATGCTAAATGTACAATGTACCATCGTTGCAAAAGTACGAAGACGCAGCTGCCCCTCCTTATAAATAGGACGCGACAGCGTGACGTGAATGTATATACAAACACGTGACCCACAAAACATATTAATTGCCACCCGCTTTTCGATTGGAATTAGCTTTCCAGGATAACTACAAGACATACGTTGAATACCGGTGTCACGTAGCAGCAATAGCTACTAGGCTTGCATCATTTAAATTTGTGCAGCATATACCGGCTCTTCCGGCACTCTACGCTGCTGGTGAGGAGAAGGTAATCGTGGCTGTCAACTGGAAGGCCGCGTCGCAAACGTCTCGTCGGCTCGGTTTCCTTGCGTGTCCTACATTGACTGGGTTTATTTCCTGTATTTCGCAGTCTTTAGGCGGCGTGCGGAATGTTGCTTCGTCGGCGTGTTGCGGCATTGATGGTCGTGGCTCTTGTAAGCACATTGTCTACAGCTGCGAAGGGGCAGTCTGGCGGTAGTCTCAGACGGCTCACGGAAGCGCTGCTGCGAAAATCAGTAACGCAAGCATCGGATGGCATCATCCCAGCGGAGCTGGTAGCCCGTCAATTTATACCTCCCTTATGGTCCACTACAGACCGAGACGTCATTCCAAGCGTTGGCAAGCATATCGGCAGGTCCCCTAAACAGGCTCAAGGGGACGAGCTTTCCAACGGCGCTGCCGATCCTGACCCCGACCCACACCCCAATCCCACCCGGCGTACCCTCCGCAACGACGATTTCGTATACACGGCGCCCTGCACTCCGCAGCGGCTGCCCCTGGCTCAGGCTAGTCGTTACTGGCGCAAAGGGATGCGTGCCGTGTTTGTAATGGACGAACCTACGGGCAACCTGCCAAAGGAGGTTACTGCAAGCGCAAACAAGTAAGCGTGCTGGCTTGTCGCTGTATCGACTCGCTGTTCCGGATACAGCATGGCGAACTACCTTTTTTCTTTACCTAGCCTTACGCTACCATTTTGACCCCTGACCCTCATCCTCTTCCACGCCAGCTTCACCTCCTGCCACTCCCGCACTCCACCAGGTACCGTGAGTCCTACGCCTGGTTCCCCAACTTCCGCCGCATGGCTAACGACAAGCGCGACCACTACCTGGAGGGAGACCGCCGGGCCGCCATGACCCCCGTGCTCGCCTATGCGGCGCTCGCTGACCCAGCTGCCATGACACCCTGGACGCAGCTCCCATCCGGACCCAGGTCCTCCGCCGCCAAGCCGACCCAGATGGCATCGGATCCCTCGCCAACACCCACAGGAGCGGCGGCTAGCAGCGGTAATGGCAGCAGCGCTGACCCCTTCCAGTGGTTGCTGGTGGGAGATGACGACACCATATTCTTCATGCGGGGCGTCAAGGCGCTGTTGCGGGATTACGACCCGCAGTTGCCGTACTTTTTATCGGATTCCATGTACGTGGGATCCAAGTCGCCGCAGCCGGGTGTGTGGGAGATGCGCTGTTACCCGTGCCACATGCAGTGGGGCCGCTGGCGGCGGCGCGCGGGGCGGCGGTTGATGGCGACAGCAGACGGCGGGCGGGAGGTGCAGCAAGCCAAGGGCTGCGGGTGTAGCACCGAGGTGCGTGGTGGCTGGTTGGATTAGGGGACATACCAGTACTGCGACCAAGATAAGGAGGTGTTCATCCTGAGTACGGGAAGACACGTGTTTACCGTTGGGGCCGAGACAGAGGCTTTGCTTGCACATCTTTCCCTTCTACGTTTTCCCGTCTCCTTGTCGTATGGCTTATGTCCGTCATATGTGGCCTCATTGTAGCCTCCCTTCCGTCGGTCCCATCCACAGAACCTGTGCAAGCGGCGCTTCCCCGGCAACGAGACGCGGTGCCAGCAGGAGTGGGAGGGCCCGGTGCCCTGGGGCGGAGTGGGCTTCATCTTCTCCATCGGTTTCTTCAAGCAGCTGGCCGCCAGCCAGGGGGGCACCGGACTGCGAGCGTATGAGGTGCGACCGACCGAGTGTCGACCAAGCGTGGCCAGGCTAGCACGCATACGGCGTCCCCTGCTGCCAACCCCCGAGTACGCACTATCCCTCGTTTCTCCCTCTGCTTTCTCGTTTCCCTCTGTTTTCCCTATCCGAGAGCACCCAACATGAACCCCGAACGCTCGCGGGCACATGAGGCCTGTCACCAGGGTGCTGCGCACACCACCAAGGCTGCCCACATCCTCGCGCGCTCTCTCGCTCCTTACCCCCGCCCCACTCGCCATCCTGCAGACCTGCATCAACGCGCCCGAGACCTCGGTGATGTCCTTCCCGGAGGGCGGCGACGCCTTCATGTCTCGCTGCTTCTGGCGCCTGGGCTTCCCCATCACGGACCCGGGCTACACGCCCCTGGGCAGGTGTGTTGGTGCGCGGCCACGCACTCATGGTGAAGGGGTGAAGCGGAGGGGCACGACGATGTGTGCCCGTGCTTAGGGAGCGGTGACCTTGCTGTCGGTACTAACATACTATTGCGCTTCGGAGCCTCCCTGCTCCCATGCACCTGTTGGCAGCTCGTTCATGTTCGCCTCCACCCGCTCATGTACGCCTTTCTCTGAGAACCCAACGCAGCCGCGTTGCTTTCCTGCACCCACGCGATGCAATCCCCGCTTACCGGGCCCCCTGCACCCACACCCGCGCCCTCCCAGGTACATGGGCGAGGTGCTGCATCTCGGACACCTATACGACGCCCCCGCCAACCTCACTCGCGGCCAGCTGCCCCCGCAAGCCATGGAGCGCTGGTCCACCGCCGTCAGCATGCACCTGGGGGCGCGGCAGCAGCGGTCCTTCAGGTGAGACGGGGAGGAGTGCGCGGGAGCTGTGGTGGTCTAGGCCTCGTCCCAGGTGTGGTCCTGATGTAGTTCAGGATCGCTGCAATTTGGCGTTTCCTGTTCCTGCTTGTGGCTACCTGAGAGGCTGAGTGCCGGCATTGTCCTGTTGTTTGCCATCAGGTCTGCTGCCCTGACGATCAAGTACATCTCGAGTGTGTACGACCTGGTGGGGGAGCTGCTGTGGCCCACGGGTCGGCGGGCGGATGCGTGAGGCACCGGCAGTGGTGGCTGCCGTGACGGCTGCGGTGAGGACATGTTAGATGCTGTTATGAATTGGTAAGGAGGCTCCTTTGGTGGTTCCAATGTATAGTAGTATGGCTTCTGTTCAAGTTGTATATACTTCAGGTATGACATGCATCTGAAAGGATGCATCTGACAATAAAGTGAGCGCGTATGACCAGTATATAACGCACGGTTGTTGCTGTACAGAGGGGCGGAAGCGTGACACGATTACGGAATGCTAGGCGCATGCATGACTAGATTTAGCTTCTACTTGTCTCTTATACGGACTATATCTTACACTCTGCTTTGCTCGCTAGGTAGACGGCACGGGGCCACGGGCACGATAAACGGGGCATGAATGTCACTACGAATGCGGGCATCGGCTAGCATTGTTCATTCTGGTACGCAAAATAAGCGTAGGGCCTCGGCATGCGCCATGCTTTGCAGGCTTGGCAGCGGGCAGTCGAGCTTAAGCGCCGACTTGCTTGAAGCACGATTGGTATTCATGTCGCACGTGTATAGGAGTGTAGGTTAGTCGTTGATTGTTTCCCTCGGTGGAATTGCCTTGTATGCCAGCTTGGACTGCATGTGATGGTAATAACTGTGGTGTGAAGGCACCATGTCTCAGCGCGGGTCATTGCCGCTGCATGGGCTTTCTGGAGTGCACTCATTTCCGTTCTGAACAGTGCCTAGGCCAGCTCTTTGTCTATGCTTTTTCTGTGGTACGTTATTGGCTCGCCATCATTTTTTCAGTAATCTCCTGCTACTAATAACCTAGCCTCCTACCGGCGTGCGCGGGCATCTGTGCCGTTGGTGGTCGTGCAGGGACGCTCCGGTGATGTGCGTCGTATGTTGTGTGTTTGTAGCTTTCACATTCTTACTTGCCAATGCGTATTGCGATGCAAGCTCTTTGTCACTTTGCCTAGTCAGTCAGTATGCGGGTTTGGAAAGCGCAGAAAACCGAGGTTTGGGATTTGGCGAGGCGGGTCTCGTGGGTCATGGAGGTATGCCGCGAGATGTACATGTAGGACGTTGTGTGTTGGTATCCCGGGGATGCACTTTTGCTTTTGGGTGAAAGACACACATGGCCGGTGCGTTAGGATTCTAGGAGGCGCTGGTGGGGTGGTGTGAACTATTCATGTGTATTCAACCGAGGAAGCCTACATATGAGTTGGGAGGTGGAGTCTAAGCATAACAACACACTTTACATAGCGGTGCCGCACCCCAGGCCTTGCCGTACACTGAGGTAAGGACTCATGGGTCACGCCCGTCTAACAGATATTCGACAAAGTCATTTGTAACCATGCAAGAAGCTCTCGGTTCCATTCATAGTACAGGGAAGCCATCCCCCAAAGTCTCCTCATGCATAAGTCACGCCAACCTTGCATGCCCGGGTTGGGCCCCTTCCACTGCTCTCGTCCGACCTTTGATAGCCAGCAAAGAAGTGCCGTAGAGTTCCAAGCATTGCTGTGCGCAACAGCACTTCACTACGCAAACCCTACGAGTGTCCAAGCTCAGTCGGGCCCTTTTTGACCACATGCTCTCACACTCGCACGCAATCACGAACGCGGCCCCATCGTGTCACAGATCCACGAAATCACGAGCAATTATCAAGGTGTATTAAAGCACCAAGGCGCTAAGAGATACAAAGGGCGGCTCGAACAGCAAAGAACTGTTGCCAAATTGGAGACTGCACAAACGCTCGTTACTGTTCGGCACACCTGCACAAAATGTCACCCTCCGGACATGGTCGAAAGTCGAGTGTATAATGATCAGTTGCAAGAGCGACTAACAATTCAGCTTTCGACGGACGTTTCCGGAACAGGAACAAAATCCAATTCGTTCATGACGCCAACATTGCATTGGCGCATTAAAACAGCAACGTGCGAGTCAGATCTGGGCTCTTTGCGCGTTACGATTGTACCGCGGGATATGTACTTCGTTATCCTGCATGATACATTTATTGGCTCGAGCTTCAGATACAGCAAAACTCTTCCAGTCATCCTCACCCCCAACCACCCCTTACTCGCCTTAAAACCACGACCCCTATCCAGACCAACGCAACCCTCCAACGCTGCTGCCCAGCCCGGCCACCTGACGCACTAGACCTGCTGCTCCAGGATCGCCCCGGACAGGTACGTCCGCATGAGCCCCTTGCCCTTGATTGGCACCTCCCCGCGGGCCTCAAACTCCGCCGCACTGGCCGCCAGGGTCGGGTGCGAAACCATCAGGTCGTACGTCACCTCGGAAACCTGTACGACACACACCACCGGCAAGTGCAAGCATGCAGTGTTGAGGGTCAGCGGCAGCGGCACGAGTGTTGCGCAACGTACCACCATGCAATCTGATGTGCTGGTACTGATACGCCCACCACAGTACGAGTCCGCATACAACCGCCCACATCTCCGGCAATAACAGAACGTTCCGACTCGCGACCAGTTTTCTTAACACACCCACACCCGCCCACCCGCCCCGCCCACCTGCACACGTCCCGGCACCCCCGTGCTCTCCATGCGGCTGGCCGTGTTGACGGTGTCGCCGAACAGGCAGTAGCGGGCGCGGTGGCGGCCCACGATGCCGCTCATGACGCGCCCGCTGTGCACCCCCACACGGATCTGCGGGAGGAGGGCAGGACAGCCGCCAGCATGACGGGGCAGGGCAGAGGCAGCGCGGGGTAGGGTTGGTAATGCAGTCCTCATAAAACGAGCAAAGAGGGACACTGGCGTAGGATACAATGAATAAGAATGCAAGAGCACGCGCTTGGAGAGGGCCTATCCACGCAAATCGGCGCCTTTGAGAACAAAAAACACAAACAGCTGCAACCGGGAACGCAGCAACAGCTCCCCCCCCCCCGCCCGCCCGCCCCAGGCGGCCACCTGCACGCGCCCGCCCGTCATGGGGTTGACCACTGAGGCCGCCGCCCGGATGATCGCCTTGCCGAACGCCACCAGGGCCGCCGCGTGGTGCGGGTCCTCCGCCAGCAGACCCGAGGCAGCCATGTAGCAGTCGCCTGCGGGGGACAGGAGGGGGAGGAGGGGAGCAGGGGGAGGAGGGGCAGGGGGGTGGCTAGCTCCTGGTTAATTGCTTAGTTAGGTAGCAAGCGAGCAGTGCCGAGAGAGGCGAGGTGGGAAATGCGGCGCCGGGAGGTTCCACATGATACATGATATATGCGGCCCCGGAGTTTGGGCTACGCTGCTCCCGACTGGTGTGCATGAGGCCCCGCCCCCTCGCTTTCCCAAACCCGCAGACATGCTGTGCTGGGGCCTCCCAGGGGGCTCACCGATGGTCTCCACTGCAGGTAAGCGGAGGTGTGCGGGCGGCGGGTGGTCGCAACAGGCGGCAGCAGCAGTAGCAGCGGCGTGCGAGGGGGAGGGAGCACAAGAGCGGGAACGGGTCAGAGGCAGAAGCAGGTGTCAGTACTAAACAATGACGGGGCGAGAAAAAGGAGGAAAGCCCCTCAACAGTCATAGCACCTCATCACGTCACTCAGTGTCCCCGCATGTCCCCCCATGTCAACCCCGGCCGCTCTCACCCTTGTACACGCCCAGTTCCTCCGCGATTGCATCGTACTTGCAAAACAGCTCTGGGAGGGAGCAGGGGCGCAGCACGCGAGGGGAAGGGAATAACAACCAATAGAGTTTAACAGCATTGACCCAAGGACTGCAGGCGCCGCGCCGCAGGTACGCAGTAGCGACATTAAGATGGTGAGATGGTACCCGTACGTCACCAAACAGGTGTACAAAACAAACACAACAGGTGTAGGAGAACTCCGTACACCTTCATGGGACGAAGCCCCCCACCCCTACACCCGTCGCATGGGGTCTCAGCCCCCCCCGCCCAACCCCAGCAGCCCACCGTGCAGCAGCAGCATGACGTCATCCGCCTCCATCTCCTGAGCCATGCTGGTCCACCCAACTGGGGGGAAAAGCAAGAGAGGGACATGGCAAAGGAGGGGGAGAGGAGAAGGGGGTTGCAACGCAGATGCGTGTCAAGGGAGAAACGAAACGGGGCGAACGTGACATGCGAGGGGAATTCACAGGCCACAAGAAGTGCTGGAGAAGGGGGAATTCCACATCCCCGCGCCGGGCCTTTACTACCAATGGCTCTCCCCAACTGATTCCCACAACTGATTCCCACTCACCAATGTCAGCGAATAGCACCGACACGCCTCCGTGCCATTGCCTGCAGCAACAGAACAACAACAGCAGCAAAAGCGGCAGCAACAGCACACGTCGCGCGGCAACATGCACACATGTCGACAACAGGCAAGCTCATCCGGCCACTCATGAGTAGCGGAACGCCGCTCATAGAGAGCCTGTGGACCGACAAGACCCAACACGCCAATCCTGGAAAGGAGTTCCGGGTTGCAACCGTACCCTTAACTCGGCTCTTAACCTCCCACCTCTCCATCAACCTCCCCCCTCCCCCTTTCCACAGTACCCAACCCCTCTCGCTCACTTGTACACAATGTCTCCCGTGCTTCCGATGCTACCCAGGTACGCCCCCGTGCCGCCAATAGCCGACCCATCTGAGCTCATGCCGCCACCGCCGCCACTGCCGCCGCCGCCGCCGCCATCATCCACCCTCGCAACATCACCGCCGCCGCCGCCACCGTCACCGCCGCTGGCACTAACGCTAACGCTATGCCCTCCGCCACCGCCGCCGCCGCCGACACCGCTGACGCTACTGTTGACTACGAGGCCGTTGGCACTAGCTGCCCGAGCGTGAAGCGGCTGTTGGGGTGACTGCAGGGGATGCACACCGGGGGACGTGGCGGGCCGTACTGAAGTGCTGCTGCCGTCACCGCCGCCGCCACCACCGCCGGCAGTTAGGTCGCCGGCTAGGGCCTCTGACGGCAGCATCACTTGTCCCGCTGAGTTCGACAGGTACCCGCCGGCGGCCCGGTTACTGCCGCCAATGCTAGCCCGAGCGGTGGATGCAGTGGATAGGCCGCCGCCGGTACCCCCGCTGGCGGCGCCGCCGCTGCCGGTGCGTGTCATGGTAGCTGCTGCTGCTCCCGTGTTGCTGGGTGAGGTTCGGCGGGCCTTGGAGTCCATTTTCATCTTCATAGACATCAGGGCGCCCGCCACGTTGGAGGGGAGCACATCCTGTGAGGGGGAAAGGGGGGGAGTTGGGTTGTGTGGTTGCGGTGGGGTGCGGTGAGGAGGGCATTGAGGTGAGGAGGGCAACCGGCCCATCACGCCGGACTGTGGTGGAGTGCGGTGCGGAGGGGAGCGGCAGGACAGACATCTAGGAATGGACAGAGAACCCCATCCCACCCCGCCCCATCAATCCATTGCGCTCCACCTCCTCCGCCGCCTCACCCCAGATCCCCCATGTGCCGCCCACCCCCACATTCCCCATGAGTTGCGAGTTTCAATCATAGTGTTTCCGAATGGGCTCACTGCATGAGTCGGGATTTGGGATTGGGACTCCGTTGCTGCACTTATCATTTATTTTTTCCAACAGTCCCCATGCAGCCCCCCCCATGCAGCCCCCACTCACATACAGGATCTCCTCCCCCGCCCGGTGCTCCGCCAGCATGTGCCGCAGGTGCAGCGCCCCGCCCAGCGCATGCGCCACGTCAGCACTCAGCCCCAGCAGTGCGGCATCGAGCTCCCCGTGCACCGGACTCAGCACCAGCAGCGCCCCCACGAGGGAGGAGGCGGAGGAGGGGGGAGGAGGAGGGGGCGGGCCAGATGGTGGGTGCGATGAGGGGTTGGCGGAGGCAGAGGTGGAGGTAGGCGCGGGTGCGGAGGAGGAGGAGGCGGTGGTGCCGAGGCCGGAGACGGGGATGACTGCGAGGTTGGAGGCGAAGGAGGCGGTGAGGAGCCAGTCCAGAGCAGCAGAGCCGGTGCTGGTGAGGAAGTGGGGGGAAGGAGGCGGAGGAGCAGGGGAGAGGGTAGTTGAGAGCGGGGAATGTAAGGGAGGGGGCACGTACAGAAGGATGGTGGAACTGCCGGTGGCCACAGAGGTAGCCAGGGCACGTCATTGAGCAGTGCGGTATATACGGCACCCTACAATAGCAGTACTAACAAGGAACATCAGCCGCTTCGTTTCCAACATGACCCATGGGTCTGTCCCCACCCCGTTCCCTCACGCCCCATCGCCCCACCTGCCCCCACCACACGTCGGCCCCACATCCGTCGCCACCACCAGCTCCTGAGGCCGCAGCTGGGCCGCTACGGAGCGAAGGCACTCCCACGCCACCGCCGCTGCCGTACCTCCGCCTCCGCCGCCTCCTCCGAACCCGTCATCAACGC